ATAGTCCCAGTCTACCTGCAACCATCTCGACTAGCTCCTCGTGACTTCCGTATTTGCTACGTTTAGCCCGGTGAGCATCATCAAGCGGTCGCTGGCCCGAGACTATTTGCGCGTCCATTATAACCCCAATTCCCTCTCTACTAGCGATGATGTCGAGTTTTCGACGACCTATAGAGGTCCTGAACTCAGGTTCCAAATAGACCGTCCACCCTTTCCGGGTCATCGACTCTGCGACGGCCCTGACGACACAGTTATGGCGTTCAATGCGTCCGACGTGCGTTTTGAAACACTGCTAAATGGTGTGAGCCGTATTCTCCCTAACCACTCAACCAGCGCGGCAGTTCAATTCCGACTCACGACCAGTTCGACGCCCTCTCGATACCCGGACTCGGAAAGGGATGGCCTTTATATGGAAGTGAACGAACTGCACGAAGTCTCGTCCGCTTATCTCTCCGCTTCGCTCTCTCAACCACTTTGTGGAAGACGGATTCCGGAATGACTCTCGAAGTTCGAAGCCATCCGTCGATGCGTGAAGTGCCTCCCGCCAATACTGCGTCGCGGCTGTAACCTTATCCTTACGTGCCCAGCTCAATTTTTTACGGATCCTTTCGGATCTGGCGGCGGCTCTGGCGGCAGATCATCCCGACGAGATCAGAGCACCGAATCTGCGTAGCACGAGGTCCGGAACAACTGTCCGAAGGGACGGAATTCCTAGACCTCCGGCCTTAGTATCTGCATGGAAATAAGCTTTGGGTATATCACCCGGTAGCCTAAGCCATCGCCTCACAGCACCCCGGATTTGCACATCGAGCATTCTCAGTCTATCATCCGATATCGTCCCCAGCACGAGACCGTGTAGGAACTTAGGGATGAGGTGGGTCCTCACAATTTCGAGCCTCTGTTGAGGATTGAGGGGTGCCTTCGAGATGTTGTCGAGGCCACGTCCCACCTGATGCTCAATGTTCGCCGATCCAGAAGTCTCAAAGTCCACTCCCAGGTAGCGCCAACGTTCTACGCAAGACACCTGCCGAAGCTTGTACCTACCAACCTTAAAGGTCTTTTCGAAAGCTTGGGAGAAGTCGAGAACCGCCACATGGCAGTCACGCAACTTTTTCCTGCTATCTCCTAACACCGCATCTAGCACGGCCGTATTTTCCAACGTACCGTCGGAGTTAACAAAGCCACGCTGGCGTGTGTCAGGTGGACAACAAGCAAGTAGTCGATGTGCGAGGATGCCGTGCATGTGCCTCAGTGGCACAGACGCGATCGTGATCGGTCTGTACTCAACTGGGTTTGCTGGGGCATCCTTTTTCGGTACAAAGACCGTCCTGCATTGTTGTAGTGCATCAGGTACGCCATGAATTAACCAATCGTTGAAGAGTTCTGCCTTGACGGACGCAGGAACTGCACACCAGTCTTCGGAACGGATGCCGTCCGGGCCTGGTGCCGTTTGTCCTTTGGGCTTGTGCGCTTTCACCTCCTCGGAGGTAAAAGGAACCCACAGTCCGGTAAAGTTACGATTGCCCCCGTACTGCTCGGAACGCTCGAGAGCGCGTAGAGCTTCCGCTGTAGGCCCCGGGGCGTCCGACGGTGCTTCGAGAATAGGACGCCAAAAGGCTTCCAATTCATCGAGACCATGGGACACTACCCGGGTTTCGCATCCTATCACCTCATCTGCTGCCCGTTTGGGACATTTTCTAAAGAGTTCCTGTATCCTAGCATACTCTCTTCTACGAAGTAATCGCTTCGAAACAAGTGCTCTATCGTCAAGTCCGTTATTCATGTTACGACGCCGCCTCGAGGTCCTCCTCTTCGGCCCGTCGCAGCACGTTCGAGCTTTGGCCCTCTGCAAGAGTTCCGAAAGCACGCATACTGCGTCACGGCTGATCTGAGTATGGACTCGGGATGGTTCATCAGCCGGTGTTGCGACTTCAGGGCTCTCCAGTGTCACGACCGGAGGCTGCGCGTCCGGAGTCGGATTGGTTTCCAAATCCCTTCCCACACAAGGGACGAGCTCCGGTATCGCGGTTTCCTCGAGAATGGTTTGCACCAATCTCTTGTACTTCGCATTCCGTCGCTGACCCTTGATCGCCTCCAGCGTCCTGTTGAGCTGGGGCAATTTAGCGAGAAGGTGTACATTCGTAAACTTTCCCTCCTCTTTCGTCAGCTGCGCCTCGGTACGCGGCAACAGGAGCAACTCTTCTTCACCCCACCTGCGCTTCACCATATTAGGAGCGGCGTCGAGATTTGCCTCAACGGGATGTGCCTTCCTTTTATGGACGCCCAATCCCGCTTTCGTTTTAAAAGATCCACCACATAAGGGACATACCCATTCAGTCGACCCCCCAGCGCTCCCGCCGGGGACTTCGGGTTCTGTCACCGGAGAGGAATTGACCATGCTCCCCGACTCCCGTGGAAGGTCGGAGTGGCCCAAAATATTCATATTTCGTACCATTGCAAGATAAATTCCTATGTGGAAGGGCCGCAAACCCCACCACAAGGTTCGCCCACGATTTCGCGAAGGTCCCAACCGAAGAAAATCGCTAGGCTTGGCGGAATCCGTAGAAACCACCCATCGGGACTGCTGCGGGGAATCTCACCCCGTAGCCAACACCTGGCTCACGCCCTCAACAGGCAGAAAGAGCGTCGCACCACCCCGCAGGGGAACCAGGGAAACGAAACCGACGCGACCTTACGGCTAGGAGGACCCACGGAAGGCCGGAAGGTTTGCTAAGGTTTCGCACCACGCGGGTCCCGCAGCAACCCTAGTCCACAGGACTACAGAAACTTAATCCGAAGTCGACGAAGAAACGGCGGTCATCTGATGAATGAATCTTGTCCAGTTCATATGGCTTCCCCTTAAAACAAGGCTAGGTATTAATTCGAACAACGGATCTTTTAACCCAAGGAGCTTCATCTCCCTTGCGGAAGCACCGCTCCATACACCTCGAAAAGAAAGGGTGCATGTGGTCGAGCGAACATACATTTATTTATTTATTTGGTTCTCCAAGAATGTGTACACTAAATAGATACAATTTTCAATGAATAAATCTTAAAACTAAGTGTCACAATTATTTACAGGAATTAAAAATTATTTACACATCATGCACGAATTATTTAGCGGAACAAAGATAAAAAAAAGGAAACATGGTTAATTTAATTTAATCTGAGGTATGTCAATCAATAGTGGATAAATGTGTCTTTAATTTGTTTTTAACGACCCTAGGTTGTCGTGAAATAGATCTAAGCCATTTATTTCTTTCCCTAAATTATTGAATAGTATGCTCACCCTTGGTATTGGAGAATTTTATCTAGCTCTTGTTTTGTATCTGAGTAGTTGGAACAAGTTACAACCGAAGCGAGGGATTATTCTCGGTACCGTGAAACAAAATTTGTTCAATATTTCTGGACAGTCGATATTATTGTTGAAAAAAAAACACATGTTTAGATAGGATCTTAAAGTACTTAAGCCTTTCACTGTAGGTATTAAAAGAGTTATTTTTGGTTTTGTACGCCAAATGCCTTACAAATCTTTTTTGTATCTTTTCGATTCTTATTTTTTGTGTTATATTGGTTGGACACCTAACTATGGAGCAATATTCTAACTTGCTGCGAACATAGCAGTCATAAAGTCTGATTACTGTACTCGTCTTTCGAAATTCTTTGCTACAGCGCATAATAAAACCAAGACTCTTATTGGCTGATTCGACTATTTTATCGAAGTGTTTATTAAAATTTAACTTCGTATCTATTGTGACACCCAAGTCTTCAATGTTCTGAACCTCCTGCAGTTCTATACCTTGTATGTAGTATTTTGAATTTATTGGTCTTAATTTGCGTGTAATTTTAATGTGTTTGCATTTATCTATATTTAAAAACATTTTGTTTGTCTTGCACCAAGTATCCAGTGCATTTAAGTCATGTTGCAGAAGCAAGACATCGTTTTGTTCTTTTATGACACGTGTTAGTTTGAGATCGTCGGCGAAAAGGTAGCAGCGTGAATATTTTAATGCTGTAGTAATATCGTTAATAAATATATTAAACTGTGGAATACCAGAGTATGCCATGACGAAGTGAGATTGGTAGCCGTTTACAACAACGAATTTCTAGCTTTGAGATAAGTTGTGCACCACATCAAAAGGGCGTTTGAGATTCCCAATAGCTTTAATATTTTTATCAATAGGTTGTGGTTCACTTTATCGAAGGCCTTTGAAAAATCCGTATATATAATGTCATTCTGGTGGCCCCTGTCCAGGTTTTTAGAAATATCTGACACATACATCATGAGATTTGTATTTGTAGACCGTTTAGTAATAAATCCATGTTGCTTGTCCCTGAGGTAATCTTTAGCGTAGCTGTAAATGATAGGATAAACCAGAGATTCAAATACCTTAGACAAAGTACACAAAATTGAGATAGGTCTGTAGTTTTTAATTTGTTCGAGTTTCCCTGATGTATATATTGGCACAATTCTTGCTTTCTTCCACCTTGTAGGAAATTCCCCAGACGATAAGGATTTGTTATAAATTAGCATTAGTGGAAATGATAAAGTGGAGGCACAATTCACAAGAAAAAGAGGTGGAATATTGTCTGGCCCCGCAGCTTTATTAACATCTTTTCTTTTTATCTTTTTATAAATCTCAGTTTGTATTAGCTTAAACGTACGTATTCCATTTTGGTTTATTTTATAAGAAAAAGGATCAATACCAGTTAACAAATCTCTCTCGTATACTAAGGATAAATTGTATGCGAAATAAATGCAAATAGATTGGGGGTCATTAGACTTTACGTCGCCGAGAAACATAGTTCTAGACTTCGGGTTCTGTCTCCGGAGAGGAATTGACTATGCTCCCCGACTCCCGTGGAAGGTAGGAGTGGCCCAAAATATTCTTATTTCGTTCCATTGCAATAGTACTATTCCCATATGGAAGGGTCACAAACCCCACCACAAGGTTCGCCCACGATTTCGCGAAGGTCCCAACCGAAGAAAATCGCTAGGCTTGGCGGAATCCGTAGAAACCACCCATCGGGACTGCTGCGGGGGATCTCACCCCGTAGCCAACACCTGGCTCACGCCCTCAACAGGCAAAAAGAGCGTCGCACCACCCCGCAGGGGAACCAGGGACAAGCCTGACTATGCTCTGCATTACCGCCATCGAGACGGGCTCTTAGCGGTGCGCGGTCGATTATATCGGCGGGCGTACGGTGTTTCGTTCCAAGCGTGCAGAGTGGCGGCGTGGCGGTAACGCTCGTCGTCAAACAACTCCCGCGTGATCCGGTTCGAGGACACTGCCAGGCGGGGAGTTTGACTGGGGCGGTACATCTGTCAAAGAATAACGCAGGTGTCCTAAGGCCAGCTCAGCGAGGACAGAAACCTCGCGTGGAGCAAAAGGGCATAAGCTGGCTTGATCCAGATGTTCAGTACGCATAGGGACTGCGAAAGCACGGCCTATCGATCCTTTAGTATGTATAAAGAGTTTTTAGCAAGAGGTGCCAGAAAAGTTACCACAAGGATAACTGGCTTGTGGCGGCCAAGCGTTCATAGCGACGTTGCTTTTTGATCCTTCGATGTCGGCTCTTCCTATCATTGCGAAGCAAAATTCGCCAAGCGTTGGATTGTTCACCCATCAAAAGGGAACGTGAGCTGGGTTTAGACCGTCGTGAGACAGGTTAGTTTTACCCTACTGATGGCTCGTCGTTGCGATAGTAATACTGCTCAGTACGAGAGGAACCGCAGTTTCGGACATTTGGTTCATGCACTCGGCCGAGCGGCCGGTGGAGCGAAGCTACCAATACCAATGTATAAAAAAACTTTTCCAATTTATTAGAGAAGAGGGCTGGAATCCCTAGACCTTGAGACACAGTTAACGCATTCTGCAGACATCCAGAGTGGCACGCTAGAAAATTAGGAAATTGTTGGCGGTAGATAATAAATAGTAAAACCATCTGACATTCATCAAACATTCTCATCTTGTCTGCCAGTGATCAAACGACGAACGTCGGGAGTTTGTTGTTAAAAATAATGAAGAAGACGTAGTGAATAAGAAAAATATTAGTTTTTTTCATCTATACTTTTTTTTATTTTTTTTTTATGATTTATGATTATTAAAACGTGTAGACAGATAAACTAAGGGATACAATTGAGGAGGCTATATTAGTGGACTTTAATGTCGTTTCTTTGTATTTTCAGGTAAAGTGTAATTGTCATAATTAAACGATAATTGTTATAATATTGTAAAGGCGTGTCCAGAAAATAAATCTTTGTATTTTCAGAGAAACAAATTGTGGTTTGCTTTGAATGCCCTTGATTCCTTATAAAACGACCTTTTTGTAAACTACAAGAAGATGGACCGGCTGCAATTTGAGTTTACGATGATAGCCTCCAATGAGGGCAAATCTAACGTGCTAGATATAATCTTAATAACTACAGAAGAAGGAAAATGTTGTTTTACCAGATGAACTGAAGCCGGTGATTCACCATACATATATTATGAAAATGAACACATTCTCGAAAGTAAAAAATAGTATTAAGAAAAGGTATCAAAGTAGAAAAATATGGATAAAGTTGGATAAGGATCTTAACCCGTATCTTCCCAAGTCCTCAAAACTCATCTGATTGAAGCGAAACTTTCAGAATCATTTGTTAGTAGCCTAATTATCGATAATATGCAACAAAAAAAAAAATTTCGATTTCCGGTATTTCAGTTACAGTACCGATCCAAAAATGGAACAGTAGGAGAATATGCCACTGTATTTTATTGTTGGTATTGTGTGCTTTTTAGGAAGATTGCTGTAAATAATGAAAGATATTTATGAATAATCTTATTTATTTTTAGTATATAATTTTAGTATTTTTAGTATTTTATATAACATTTAGTATAACATTTAGTATTACAATTTTATTTCGTATGAAACGCAGGAGAACACTTTTGGTGTAGGGCGACGTTGCATTTGCCACATTTCATTGTCGTGTTTTTATGACATAAACCACAACGGTTTTGTTTATCACTTTTGATAATATGGTGTGCCTTTCCATCTAACCTAATATCAACTGGAACTCGTTTTATGACTGCTAGAGATGATCTTGGAATAGGCTTCTTTACTGAAGAAGAATTTTCAGGAAAAGTCTGAAGATATGTTGTTACAACATGTCTTGTAAATGACAAATAGTCATGCTGATTGTTTTGTGAAGCTGGCGATAATTTATATAACTGAAAAGCATTATTCATACATACATTTATAGGAAACATAAGTAGCTGCCAGTACCACCTCTTCAGGCGTATAGAAATACGATAGCATCCCACATTTTGATCCAAACGGTCGACACCGCCCATATATTTGTTATAGTTGACGATGCAGCGAGGTTGGTCGACGTCTTTCTTCTGCTTGTCACAGTAACGTTTTACCTTAGCTAAAGGCTCCACACCACATTCGGTTGAGGCAACGGTAACAATATTGTTGTCATTGTAACGTACGAGGGTGATGTTCGTCAGAGTATCTGTACACTGGTCAAAAGACCCTCTGCTCATTTTCTTCATATCTTTCGCTTCTTTCAAGGGTGCCTTTTCTACCCTATTTGCCCTAACCGTTCCCGTCGCATCGTGTCCTAATGTTTTTATGTCATCCAACAAGGGTAAAGATGTAAAATAGTTGTCCATATAAAAGCTGTAAGTACCGGGCGGCAATTTGGATATGAGGTCTAAAACAACAGAAGCACCTACACCAAGTTCTGGGTGGGTATTTCCTGTGCTTGCCCCTTGATAAAGCTCTCCATATATCAAATATCCAAGACGAGTACATATAGACCAATTCTTATAACCGAACCGAATGGGTTTACCATGAATATGTTGCTTCGTCCCATGTTTCCCGAAATATGGAATCATGGATTCATCAATGCTTAGATTCCTGTCACCGGGATAATATTTTACCCATCTCTTATTGAGTAGATTCCAGAGAGGACGAACCTTCGCGAACTTGTCCTGTGGAGCTAAGTTATTATTATCGGCGACGTGAAAGAATCGTAATAGTTCTTCAAATCTGTTCCTAGGCATAGCAGCTGCCACACCTTGAAAATTACAATCAACACTTTGCTCCCAGTACATACGATATCTAGCAACACTGTTGTAACCAGACAGCAAGAGAATCCCTATAAATCGTTTTATTTCCTCAGTTGTAACTTTGAAATTGTGGTAACCTTTTTGAATAGCATTTTTTTTCGGTTTCAGAGCGAATCAATTCAAAAACGTCTTCGTCAAAAAAAAGTTCAAAAAAGTGAACAGGAGTATCTAGGTGTTCTAAGAAATGTGGTGGCTCTGATGTTTTCTCTGTCTTCACTGGAATATCTACTTTCCTCCACTTTCGGGTAGCTGGACATTTTTTTTTCTTTGCCGGTGGTTGTACTGATAAGTCGCCGTGTGTATTATTATCTATAGAAACTTCATTTGATACGCTTTCTATAATATCTAAATTAGACTGTGAAGATACAGTAGCCCTAAACTCAGCCTGTGCTAAGAGCTGCTGCCTGGACAGGTGATTTATGTTCGAAGACTCCTCATCTCCACTGTCTTCATCACTTTTGTCGTAATTATCTGGGGGTGTTATGTAAATATCTGCTGACAATACGTCATCGTTGTCTTCAAGATGCGATATTATGTCATTTACCGACAATCTAAAACAAAATAAACGCAAAATTCAAAAATAACAATTATGTCACTACATAAAATGTTCCATATCCATATTATCCTACTGATCCATTATTGGATCGGTACGTATAAAAGTAAAAAATAAATGTAAATAAGCTAAATGTGCATTTCACTGTCTTGCAATATGATAACTCAACTCCTAGCCGATATAAATACGATACAATAATTATAAATTATCTAAAAAAAAAACAAGAAATACTTACATTCGGCGATGAGACATTTTTTCACAATTTCCAAAAAATTCAGTGCGTAACAAAACACAAAATACGCGGCCCACCGAGGATCTGACAAGTGAATATGGCGGCAAGAACTGTCAGTGCTGCCACCATAGACAAAAAAAATGGCTGCGTTCACGAAATTTTAGTAAAAAAAATATTAAACTAACCGATCCAATAATGGATCACTGGGATGATACGGGTTAAGAAAACCTATATAGATGAGGAAGATAATATATAGTTTTTAGATCAATATCTAGAAGAAATGAATACAAAACAAACAATAGATAAAAATGAAAATTTGCAATATATCTTGGAAAAATTAATAGAAACCACTACAAAGAAAGAAAATCAACATAACCTGAAACACATTTCAGAAAAGATTATTATTGACAAATTCACAAGCAAGAACCCTAATGCAATGCAATGGATTGAGAATTTTGAAAAAAAGTGTGAGCGCTTCAACATATTAAAAGATGAAACAAAAATAGATATATTAAGGTTGTTTTTAGAAAAATCATGTTTGGATTGGTATAGCTCGATGGTCATCTGGATGGTCATCGATGGTCATCAAACTTACTATAAAGGCTGAATGGAAAAACAAATTTTTAGAAACTTTTAAACACCAAGGATAGGACGTAGTGACATATGCTCTCACATTCAGATATAAAGAAGGAACACTAATTGATTATGCTTTAAAAAAGGAAAGGCTTATACTAGATATAAACAAATCAATAGACTCCAAAACAATGATAGATCTTATTGCAACAGGTTTACCTGGGTTTATCTTAAATAAGTTAAACAGGGATGAACTCAGTGACACTAGTGATTTGTTCAATGAGATAAGAAAATATGAAGGTATGATGTACAAGAAAAACTCAAGTACAATAAAGAATAGTACATTCCTTTTTAAAAATAAAACTAATGAGAAGAAGCCATGTAAGACTTGTGAATCTTTGGACAAGGGAATTAGATATCATCCGGAATAGACATGCTGGTTTAAGAAAAATAAAAATGAATCTGAAAAGGGTTTTAAACCTAGGAATGTAAATAACAACTCCATTATTGAAGTAGATATAAATATGGAGAAAAAAAACGAATAAGTACACCATTAATCAAAATCAGCTTTTATTAGAAAATAAACTAGAAATGAGTGGTATTTACGATTCAGGCTCACAGGTCTCTTTAATAAATTCAAGACTGATTAAAGTAAAAGAAAAGAAGGACAATGTGAATATAGCATATATGAAGACGCTTGATGTTATGAAGAAAACAGATGCCTTGATAACAAATAAAAATAAAAATATTAGATTAAGAAGAAGAGGTTGATATATATGTCATAGAAAATGAAGATTTTGAAGATTTTATAATCAGATTAGATATAATAAAAAAATTCAAACTAACTTAAAATGAGGACCTGCAGATAGAACAATAGAAAATAACAAATAAATTAGATAGAATGTCTCAACATAACAGAAATGAAGAAAAGAATACAACAACATTATCAATAAATTTTAATAAACACATGGAAACCAAAGAATTTGTAAGTAGGACAGACCATTTAGATAATGAAAAGAAAACTGAGATAAAAAAAATTATAAAGGAATTTAAAACATTTTGTATGATATTGGATCAGTTAGAGGTTATGAAGCCCACATAGATTTATTAGTAAATTGATACTGTAGTAAAAGACCATACAGATGTACAATAGAAGATAAATTGGAAATTGAAGAGCAAATATCCATGTTGCTAAATCTTTATTTTATTTTTTTGTTAATTTTGACAACTAGTTCATAAGAAATAATTCTGAACGAATTTTGTACTTTTTTTAATGTTGGCACTATCCAATATTTTTATGCATTAAAAATAAATGAATGTCAAATGTCACTTTGAAGAAAACTTTTCTAGTGGCGCGAAACTAAGTTTTGAAGCTGTGTTCGGACTTTGATAAAATATAATGTAAGTATATAACATATTTTTATTTGCTTGATTATATCTTCAATTACATGTTCATGTTGTAAAACATTGAAAATTACTTGATGCTTCTGTCGAATTACGCGAAATCTGGTATGTTGTAGGAAAACTACAATGCGCATTGCCTGCTAAATAAATGCATGTTTGGTGAAGGGTTTTTATTTTGCTTTTCAGCATGCCGCGATTACTAGAAAGCGAAATTACAAAGTATTTAGAAACTCTTGAAGATTCAGAAGATGGCTTAGACGGCTCGGACTCTGAAGTAGAGGATGAAGGTCACTACTATCAAACAGCTCGAGATGTTCTTCGGGACCTTGAAAATAGTGATGAAGGTGAGAATGCCCAGTCTGATGAAGTGGATGCTGATCCTCCTCTCGTAATTGACAACGATCAAAATATGCCAGAGCCTCCTATTTTGGAAGCCGGAGAAGCAGTACCCCAGAGTAGATCACAAGAAATTTCTAAGCGACCTCTGGTTTGGCGAAAACGGAATCTTGTTACTGCTAAAGACAGCCTTATTTTTAGGGGAGAAACTCAGATAACGGAAGCATTGATGTCTTGTAACACGCCGTATGATTTTTTTTTCATTTTATTTTACATCAGATCTAAAAAAGCAAATTGTAGAACAAAGTAACTTATACGCGGCCCAGAAACAAATATCCAATCCTGAAATTATAAATGTAAATATCCTAAATAAATTCCTAGGCATTCTGATTTACACCTCAGTCATAAAATTTCCAAACACCAGGGCTTACTGGAGTGATAAATTTGGTTATGATCACATAAAAAATACGATGCCGTTAAAAAAATTTGAAAAAATAAGATCCACTCTCCATTTTGCCGACAATACGCTATGCTTACCCAAAGATCATCCAGACTATGACAGGCTATTCAAAATAAGACCTCTTGAGGAAATGCTCAACTCCCAGTTTGGAAAGGTTCCCTTAGACCAAAGGCTTTCCATAGACGAGCAGATGTGTGCAACCAAAATGAGCCATTACATAAAACAATACATGCCCAATAAACCCCACAAGTGGGGGTTCAAATTATATCTCATCTGCAGTCTACAAGGATATGCTCATAGATTTGAGGTTTACAGTGGAGGGGGCTCCAAAAATAACATCTTACCTGGTGAGCCAGATTTGGGAGAGTCTGGAAATACAGTCGTCAGGTTAGCTAGAATGGTACCACGCAATGTGAATCACATTATATACTTCGACAACTTCTATACTTCTGTGCCTCTCGTCACCTATTTAGCTAAGGAAGGAATTTTCTCACTGGGAACAGTAAGAGTAAACCGATTGAGAAACTGCAAATTGCCTGACAAAAACACTATAATGAAAAAGAACGTACCCAGAGGATTCTATGAGGAAAACGTGGCGACTGTGGATGATATTGACGTAAGTGCTGTTGTGTGGAAAGATAACAAGCCCGTTAACCTTCTTTCCACTTACGTAGGAGCAGAACCAGCAACCACAGTCACGCGCTTTGATAAATCGAAGAAAGAGAACGTTGCTATTCCATGCCCCAAAGTCATCAAGGAGTACAATGCTCACATGGGGGGCGTGGACTTATTAGATTCATTTATAGGTCGTTATCACATCACAATGAAGAGCCGCAAGTGGACCATGCGCTTATTTTATCATTTCCTGGACCTCGCAGTTATAAATTCATGGGTTATGTTCAAGAAGGTAAATAATATAAAAGGAAATGATCAACTTCTCAATTTGGGTACATTTAGACTAGAACTTGCCGAAACCCTCTGCAAATTGGGTCTACCTGCAAATGGCGCTAAACGTGGTCGACCTAGTGGGAGCACAATACAAAGAGAACTTGTAACGAAGAAGTTCCGAGGACCAGCTCAAGCAATTCCTTTGAAAGACGTCAGATTGGATCAGACATGTCATTGGGCAGTTTGGCTGGATAAGCAGCAGCAGAGGTGCAAATTCCCGAAATGTTTAGGATTTACGTTCAAAATGTGCCAAAAATGTCGTGTATCTTTATGTGATACGAAAAAAAGCAATTGTTTTTATAAATATCATAATTTAGAATAAATAAACACATTCCAAAAAAAATATCCACTCTTATTTTACTTATACTTGCAAAATGTCATTGAATGCGCAATGTAGTTTATAAACAACACTCACATTATTGCAAAAAAAAATAGTAAATTCATGTCTAGATTTTTTTACTCATTTTTCCTAGACAGTAATACATGTCTATTACACAAATATATTTTTACAAAACGTAAAAAAAAAATCGTCCATTTAAGGGTTAAACAAAATTGTTGTTCCACAAGCTCAACCTTTCCCATTGATAGATGATCTGATTATCAAAACTAGAAATTGTAAGTATTTTACTACACTGGATATAAATTCAGCATTTTGGTCCATACCATTACGGGTGGAAGATAGAAGTAAGACAGGATTTGTCACACAAGGTGTTCACTTCCAAGGGACCTGCCTTCCTTTTGGTCTGAAAACATCACCAGCATTTTTCCAGAGAATTTTAAGTAATATTCTAAGAAAACATGATCTTACAGGGTACTCCGTAAACTATATCAATGACATCCTGATATACTCTACCACATTTGAAGAACATATAAAACATATAAGAAATGTATTAAAGGCAATAATAAAAGAAGGCTTTAGATTGAAATTTATGAAATGTACCTTTGCTTCAGACTCGGTAAAGTACCTCGGCCATGTATTTCAGAACAAACAAACTATAAGAAATTTTCCAATCCCTAAGACACAAAAGAATATCAGACAATTTTTAGGAAAAATAAACTTCTACAAAAATGAAAAGTTTGTATGGTCAGATAAGTGTGAAGAATCATTTAATCAAATTAAAAGATATTTATGTTCTCAGCCTGTGTTGGAAATATTCGACAAAGACTTACCAATAAAAATATTTACAGATGCATCTTTAGAGGGTATTGGGGCAATATTAAAACAGACACAGCCAGACAGTAAAGACAAACCCGTTGCATATTTTTCAAAATAACTAAATGAAACTCAAAAACGAAAAAAAGCTATATATTTGGAATGTTTGGCTATAAAAGAAGCAGTTAAATACTGGCAACATTGGCTAATTGGAAAACAATTCACTATTTACTCCGACCACAAACCTCTTGAGAATATGAATATTAAATGCAGGACAGACGAAGAATTGGGTGACCTCACATATTATCTATCTTAATATGACTTTATAGTAAAATATATACCTGGTAAAGAAAATATAGAAGCTGACTGTTTGAGCCGAAATCCCGTATTAGAATCAGAGGATAACGAGGAGGAATTATTGAAAATAGTTAATTTAATACAAATAAAAGATATAGTTGAAGACCAAGCGAAAAATGAAACAATAAAAGAAAAGAAACAAAATCTACTACACAAAAACTTATTATAAAACAATAAAAAAACATGAAAAGAATTTAGTAAAAAATTTATAAAAAAAAGTACATGAAGATTTATGCCATATCGGAATCAGACAGTTGCAGAAGAAAATAAGCCCAATATATACGGCTAAAAACCTAACAAAATATATCATAAATATTTGTAAAACCTGTGAAATATGCATAAAAAATAAATGAAGAAGTCAAGGAAAATTTGGATTAATTCAAAACTGGGACCAACAACAAAAACATTTGAGATTATGTCAATACTATAGGGGGCTTTGGAGGATCCCGGTCAACAAAAAAATACTTGCACCTTTTAGTAGATCACTACACAAGATTTGCTTTTATTGCGACTTCAAAAACACAGAATGCAAGTGACTTTATAAAATTAACAAAGAATGTACTAGAAACAGATAAGATTGGAATAATTATGACAGATCAATATCCAGAAATCAATTCAAATGAATTTAAACAATATTTGCAGGAGAATAACATTAAACTAATTTTTACAGCTGTGAATACACCATTCTCGAACTGGCTGAACGAACGATTAAACCAAACAATAGTAAATAAAATAAGATGAAAAATAAAGGGAAAAAATGGACAACTGTGGCAAGAGAATGTATACAGAAATATAATGAAACAGACCGTTCTGTTACAGGCTTCGCACCAAAATATTTCCTGGATGGTACAAATGTCATTATTTTACCAACTGAAATTAAAACAATAGTAAAGGAAGACAAGTGGATTGCTGATAGACAGTTAGCATTAGAGAATACAATAAAATCCCATAAGTACAAAATTTTTTGATAAAAATAGGAAAATGCAAGAGTTCGGGATAGGAGACAGTGTATATGTAAGTGGAGGTGAGCGTATAACGTTAAGGGGCCCCTTAAACCTACACTTGGGTCGCAAGTCCCAGGCACTGTTGAAGCTCCTCTCCCTGCAACGCGATGGACCCGGCACCCGCACGGTGAATCCATAGAATGCTGAGAAGTTTCGTCTGAAAGTGGAAATAGACTTGTTGAAATTAAATAAAATACATCTAATGTCGGTGAACGTACCAAGTTTTATTTTAATCTAGACACGACGTACTAAATGTGCGCAGATGCAAGTTATAATAAAAACTTAAAGTGGGTAAACATATTTTTCTACCGACAGATCACAGAGCGGCAACATTCACAAAGTACAGACAGTTGTACCAACCGTGTAATTATATTGCTAATATAACAATACAATTGTATCGGTAAACATAAGTAGGGTTTCTCACTTAATCTATAAGAATATTAATTTACACACTAGAAATATAATTTTACAAAAAATAAACTATTATTATTATTATTATTATTCTAATCCACACTTCTTGACACATTTTATGAATAATTCCTTATTTAGAGGTTTAGTGAAAACATCAGCTGGTTGTTCACTTGAACTTATATAACTTACACATATCTTATTATTTCTTATAAGATCCTTTACAAAATGATAACGAATGTCTATATGCTTTAAGCGTTTAATTGACTCTGTTGATGCAGTTAATATAGCGGACTGATTGTCACAAAAGATCTTTACTGGGCAAATATTTTGGAAACCAGTCTGCTAGTATATTTATTATCCAACAAGCTTCACTGGCAGCCATGCTCATAGCAACATACTCAGCCTCAGTTGATGACGGCTCACTGAGGCTTGTTTCTTTGAACTCCACAATATTAAACAATTTGAAAATTTAAACATGTAACCAGTTGTAGACTTTCTCCCTTTTAAATCCCCATCCCAGTCTGCCTCACAAAAGCCTTCCAAACCAACATCTGTACATTTATATATTAACTTATAGTTTAAAGTATGTTTTACATAGCTAGGGTTGCCATCTCGAAAATTTGGAAAACAGGACAAGACGCGTGAAAACCCCGGATTTTAGAGTTCGAAAGCCGGACATATCAACAAGATCTTTTAAACATATTCAATGTAATAGAAAACAGTTAAAAATGTCATAAATCACCTTTTTTATTCATTCATTATTTTAACAAAGCAGAATCATATTACAATTTGTTACACATTGTTTATATAAATCAGCTTTTAAATTCTTGAAATAAGAAAACAAAACCTTAGGAAAATATTAAACAAAAACATATATTTAATGAATTAAAATCTGAAAAGTACCAACTTACTTAGACCATTCTAGTATTCAGTCTTACAATTTTCGAGGTAACTTTTTTATAGTTCTATAATTATTATCTGCTTTACTTTTTATCAGCAGTCATTTATATAACATATTTTAGCAGAAAAGAAACTAAATTCAGTCTTCTTAAATATTTAACAATAAAACAGAACATTTTTAAAGTTTAGACCTACAGCAATGTAAGTTACATTATTAAAATTTTAGAACAAAATAATTAATCCTATACTCATTTTCATAAACTTAAAGTTTTGATCAACAACCATATCTTCTATATATATAAAAATGGATTGCTGTTCCTTAGTCTCGCTAAAACTCGAGAACGGCTGAACCGATTTGGCTAATTTTAGTCTTGAAATACTCCTGGAAGTCCAGGGAAAGTTTAAAAGGTGAGAAAAATTGCAATAATTGCCGGGAAAACCCTAATAACAGCCCTTTTCTATTTCCCATACAAACGTTTTTTTTGACATTAGATTTGACAACTAACTAATATGTCAATCATTCTGTTTGATTGAAACAGGAAAAACCTGATTATTTATGGTCTCTAAGACGGGATAGAGTTCGCCTGGTCAGTTATACCTACATATATTACTCTTGACCAAACTAACGCGGACGAAGTCGCGGGCAAAAACTAGTTTTAAATAATTTTTACTCAATGAAAACACAAGCGAGCATTGTGCGTGTCTCACAGGTGGCCCAAATTTTTTTTCTTTATTTTTCAAAACTCGGTCTACAAATGAAACCTTCCCCGGATGCCCTAGGACAAATCCAGGGAAACCCGGACGGATGGCAACCCTATACATAGCGTAACACTCTTTTCAGAGCAGTTAGTAGCTCATTATTAGCACAATTTTGGTATCTTCTTAACATTGTAACTGCAAAACCTAAATCTGGCCTTGTACCTTGTACAGCATACATCAAACTACCTATTATTTGTCGACACACTTTTTCTATATTCTTATCTACCTTTTTATTTATTAAAGAATCAGAATTAAAGTTACATTCCATTGGTGTTGCCATTGACTTACAGTTTTCCATTTGAAATCTTTTAAGTACATTTTCTAGGTAACTTTGTTGACTAAATTCAGCAATGCCAGACTCTAAATTTTGTTTTACACTAATACCTAAAAAGTCAGATATAACCCCTAAATCCTTCATTTTAAATTTTTCATTTAATACAGTTATAAGTTGTTTAATTTCACCAGTACTTGTTCCACATAGCAACAAATCATCAACATACAACAATACAAATAGTTATCTTTACCACTATACCTTTTATATAAACATGAGTCACAGCTAGATCTTTGAAAACCTTCTTCAATCATTACATCATTGAATTTATTATTCCAGCATTTTGGGGACATTTCTAACCCATATAATGATTTGTTCAGCTTTACAATGTTTCTATTATTATCATAAGCACCCTCTGGCAGCTGAATGTACACATCCTCTTTGACATCACCATACAAAAATGCTCCGGTAACATCCATTTGGTAAATTTTTAACTTTAATTTAGTAGCAACAACAACAAGGATTCTAAATGTAGCAAGTTAAGCTACTGGAGCATAAATGTCTTGGAAATTAAATACATTATTCTGTTCAAAACCTCTTGCCACTAACCTGGCTTTATATTGATTGGAAGTTTTAATTTAAAAACCCATTTACTACTTACAATTAAATTTGTATCAACAGGCACATTACATACATCCCACACATTATTTTCATCCAATGTTTTCATTCAGTTCTTTTTCCATAGCCTCCCTCCATTTAGAAGCATCACTTCTGTCCATTGCATTCATAAGAATAACATATAAATGTAACAGGATCACAGTCATTTTGCACATAATTACACCTATAAAATGTGGTTTGTTTCCTTCTTCTACTAGTTGGTCTACGCAGATTACATTGAGCATTATCGTCAGAACTATCATGACTTGAACCACTTGCACTTGGTACATAATCACTTTCTAACCCTTCTTACCAGGTGTATTAACAGAATTGTTGTTTTTGTTTACAAGAGTCTCATTCTCTAGGGGCGATTTATCTTCCAGTATTATTAATTCAAACGAGTTCTGAAATCTATTTACTTCATTGTCGATGAAGACCACATCTCTTTTATTTCTACTGTATTTTTCTGGTTAAAATATACTCTATATCCTTTGATATCCTCGCTGTACCCCACCATCAATCCTTTTTCACCTTTTCTATCCCACTTAACTCTTTTTTCTTTAGGAATATGTGTAATCACTTTCAAAGTATTAATGTCAAATGTCTTATTGGTCCAAACTTCAAAGGGTGATTTTCCTTCTGTTTTACTCTTCCCAGTTGTATTAAGAACAAAAACATCTGTATGTACTGCCTCAGCCCACATAGTTGTTGTTGTTTGGATAGATTCTTTGCATGTAACATAGTTCGGGCAGCTTCCACCAATGTTCTGTTGTCCCTTTCTGCTTTACCATTTTGCTCCGGGGTGTAAAGTACAGACCGTTGATGTGTTATCCCACGACCCGAGAATAGTTCCTTCACATTCTTGTTTATGAATTTTAAACCGTTATCAGTTCGGAACAACATAACCTTGTTTCCTGTAATGTTTTCCGCCTTGTTAAGGAAATCCTCAATACATTTTATTGTTTCATTTTTGTTCTTTATGAAATATACACATCTAAAGTTTGAAAAATCGTCTTTCATCAACACAAAATACTTCGACACGCCTACCGAGGCCTCTTCCATAGGGCCGCACACGTCAGCGTGTATTAACTCGCATGTCCTCGTGCTAGTGTATTCACTGTTTGTAAAAGGTAAGCGGTGAATCTTTCCTTGTAAACAATCTTCACATTTGGGAACCGAATGCTGTTTTACATTAATGTTATGTTTCTGCAAAACTTTCTTCACTTGATCGAAGTTTTGGTGCGCTAATTTTTGATGCCATGTGTTTAAGTCACTCAGTTCAGTTTTAGCAACGTTTACCATATTGCAATTAAATCTTAATTTCATAAAATAACCATTTCCAATTCGATTAGCGGTTGCGCATACGACGCCATGTTTGTAGAACTTACAATACTTTTCATCTGTCATCATGACATATCCGTTGTCAGCAGCTCTATTAACCGAGAATAGATTTATTGTCAAATGAGGAACATAAAGAACGTTATTTATGGTTGTGTCAATCCACTCATCGCCGTTTTTTATTTTCAGCGCCACCTGTCCGTAGCCTAACACACTTATTGGCACACCATTACCGACCGTAACAGTTCTATGTGAACAATTAGTAAAACGCTTAAATAACGATCGATTACAGCACATATGTTCATCAGCACCTGAGTCCACGGGCCACTGCGACTCTTGATACTTGTCATACTTTGTATTTGATACACCAAATGCATTACTTTTTTAATATTTTTATGCTTGTGAATGTTCTTATTCTTTTTGAACCAACACTGTAATTGATAATGGCCGACTTCACCGCAATAGAAACACTTGTTACTGTCATTCTTTTCACTGTTATTTTTGATACTTGAACACTCTTTTTGGAAATGTCCTGCTTTGCCACATGTAAAACATTTTAGGGGCTTTTTACACTTCACTGTAAATGCAGATGATGATGAAGCAGTTTCCTCATTTTTATCCTTCAATCTCTGCTCTTCATTTAACAGTCTCGCCACAAGATTATCCAGGGTTTGTTTGTCATCTGAAGCAGACTCCCACGCCGAAATAAAATGTTTGTATTCTTCAGGGAGTGACATCAGTATTTTTGTAATTATCAGTTTTTCTGATATTTCTTCACCCATTTGCTTCAGTTGACACTGCAATTCTTGCATTTTTGATAAGAACACAGACATGTCAGCAGCTTTATCATATTTATACTGAAAGAACCTCTGTTATACAATGTGAATACTAGTTTCTGTTTTCTGTTCATACACACTTAATAATTTTCTCCATATTTCCGCTGATGTAGAAGAACAAATTATATGTAGCATCACATCTTCAGTCATCCGCGTTACTATTAGACTTTGCGACTTGGCGTCCTTATTTTCCCAAGCCGTTTGCTCTCAAAGCTTTATTTTAATCTAGACACGACGTACTGAATGTGCGCAGATGCAAGTTATAATAAAAACTTAAAGTGGGTAACCATATTTTTCTACCGACAGATCACAGAGCGGCAACATTCACAAAGTACAGACAGTTGTACCAACCGTGTAATTATATTGCTAATATAACACAGAACAGAAAATAATTGACGAATTAAAAATAGGCCCTTTCAAGATAATGGAGAAAATATCAAACTCCATCTATAAGATTGACACTGGCAATAGAAAAACAGAATCAACTTTATTCCATACTTCAAAATTACAACCTGTCACAGTAGAAGACATAATAGAAGAAAACGAATATGAAGATAGTTTGTAGGTACGCAGGATAGATTATATTATTAGGTAGAATCCTCGATCTTAGGGAAGAGATGTAATAAAATGACATTTCATTAAATTCAAATTTGTAACTTGTCGACCAGAGACGCGTCACTATTCACTAATGGAGAATTATGTTTAAGTTTTTGTGCGCTTTATGATTGTTAAAACGTGTAGAGAGATAAACTAAGGGATACAATTGAGGAGGCGATATTAGTTACATATATGTATATTGGGATTCATAAGTATTTTTTTCAATTGTTACATAAAAGGTTATAGTTTTTAATTTAATTTTTCTGTGTTTATATTGAATTTGCCGATGGATAGTTTTATTGAGCAAAAGTACAACTGAATCTTAATCCAAAACATTCCAAACGACATTTCAGGACGCTGTGTTTTTAATTACTATGCAAGACATCCCTAAATATTATGAAGAACTTAAAAATATGTAATTATAGATTTTGATTATAAATAAAATGTGACAGTGAATATTAGTCTTGTCAAATCACTTAAATAAAAATACAGATTCTTGTACTACTTCATAATTAAAAATAAAATACTTTTAAATAAAAGTACATATTTAACAATTGTGTTGTTTTATTTATGGAATTCTACTCGCACCTAGTCTGAACGGAAACATTAAAATGCCTTGTTTAATATTACAAATAACAACAGAAATCAAGAAACAGCAAGAGAGCTGTGGTCTTATTAGTAAATTAATATTAAACAATACACTTGAACTACCTCGTTATTGTCAAGCTCTGTGTTAAAATGAAAATTAAGGAAAGAAAATAAAACAAGGCGAGGGTAAGTAAACGCTTCATGGGAATTCTGACGATATTGGATAACAAATTGTGGAGAGGATTCCATAATAAAGTTTATATAAGAACAAGTACTTAATAGCTTAAAAAAATACTAACTGCAAGTGTCAGGTTGTTTTGGTAGTCTTTATACCCTCAAGTATTAAAGCAGCTTATTTCAATGTTTTCATTGTATGAGCGATATCTGACAACCAAGAAAGCCTTTTCACTGTCACCGTTGCTCGCGACACAAGCTCCTCGATATTAAGAAAAGGTCAAGTTTACAAAGCACTTCCCAGAGTGGAAATTTAAGAGAGCATACAGTGCATCACTATCATCAATCCAAATTAATTCAAGATGAAAAGAGTTTTAGAGTAGAATATGACCAACGATCCCCAAGGCATACCTTTAATATACTAAAATAATAATACAGAGGAAAATAATGTTCAATAATTTCTGTATAAAAAAAGTGATGACTTCCATCACAAATTGACATGTTCAAATGAAAGGCACCTTTCATATTTTCAATATTGCGATTTTATTCGTTGTTGTTTGTGGAATAACGGCTAGGTTAGATTGATTCCCTGTTAAACGAACCAAATTTTTAATAAAAAATATACATATATATCGGATTTATTACAGATACGTTGTTTTTAAAGAGAGGGACGCCAGCGTCGCTGATGTTACAAATGTCACTTCTTCTAGAGCGTTGCATGATATTTTAAAATGAAACTGCAATTGTTCTTAATGCTCCTGTATTTCTAGAAGTTTCCTCACAATCACATACTTCAATGATACGCACTCACTGAACTCTGAATTCTCAATTCTCAATTCTGCCGTCGTGCATCCAGACGTCATATTTATAACAAGATTCAAACATAGTTCTATTCTCCTTTGATATCGTTTTACTTTTAACAATAATCATAAATACTAATGAGGTTTAATAAGAATTGATGACAGCCTCAAATTATTTTCAAGTCGCATCCGTTATTAAAGCTGGTAGCGCCGATATATACTTATACACTTATAAAGTACTCAATTAATATTCCCTTAATTATAGATGAAACTGCAATATTTATTTGTATATTTATTTATAATTCTTTAAACATTTAATTCTTACTGTATCGTCTATTGATAAAGCATTTATTTTTGGACTGACTTGTAGTGATAAAAATACAATGCGATCAGCAACCGTCTCAAATTTCAACTAACTTAGATGAATATTGAATTTAGTTTTACCATCTCCTTATAAAACCTAAGCGAGTTATATACTCCATTATTAATATGAAGAATTCACCTTATGTGAGAATATAAGTTATGAGATCACATAGAAGTAACATGTCAGATCAGATGAATTAAATCCTAAACGAAAATTTTCTTTCATTAATAATTATCAATTTAACCCAAAAGATATATGTAAATATACATACTATCACTAATAATAATAATGATTAATTGGACCTCTTGTGAGCGCCAACATGAAGATTAATTTATTATAAACATAAAGGAATACATTTAAATATTAATCAACAATAAAACCGACGACGGACAAATAAATATAACATAACAAAATAATACGATAAGCTTGACGACGTTTTAATGAGTCATTAAATCAGATGTAGTCAATAAACATGTATGCACTCTTTAATAAGACACAATCCCTACTAATATTATAAATGCGAAAGTAACTCTGTCTGTCTGTCTGTCTGTCTGTCTGTCTGTCTGTCTGCTACGCTTTCACGCCTAAACCACTGAACTGATTTTAATGAAATTCGGTACAGAGATAGAGTTGACCTTGAGAAAGAACATAGGATAGTTTTTATCCCAGACTTTTGAAAGGTTCTCTTGGAAACGCGATATAACCGAACTCCACGCGGCGAAGCTGCGGGCGGAAAGCTAGTTAGAATATAAAGACTGAAATGTCATCAAATTATTTATACTAGAACAAATTAGATCAATAAAGGTTTGTGAGTTTATCGTTTTTTAAAACTTGCCGCTACTACGCTTAAAATATTATACTCCCTACTAATATTATAAATGCGAAAGTAACTCTGTCTGTCTGTCTGTTACGTAACGCCTAAAGCACTGAACTGATTTTAATGAAATTTGGTACAGAGATGGAGTTGACCTTGAGAAAGAACATACGATAGTTTTTATCGCAGACTTTTGAAAGATTCTCTCGGAAACGCGATATAACCGAACTCCACGCGGGCGAAGCTGCGGGCGGAGAGCTAGTATAATATATATTTTTTTCTCAAGCGTTTGTTTTTGTCCGGGACGCTCCTCCAGACTGGTCGGCACCGGCTCCTCGTCTCCCCCTCCTCCCCCTCCTCCTCCCCCCGAGGACGGCGACGCTCCTCAGTCCTCGCTCAGTCCGCGCCGAGTCCTCGCTCGGAGCGTCGTGTCTCCGTGCCGTGTGTTCATTGGCGGCGGGTTGTATCGATACACACTCACGATCTCCACTCACTGTACTCGTCGTTGGTGACATTATTGCATGTTTCAAAGTTTGATAGTTTGGATAGTATTAAGAAGCGGCCGCGGCGGGTCGTGTAGGAGTAGCTGGTGTGGTGTCAGTGAGGAGCATGTCGACGCGTGCGGAGACAGGTGGGGGCGGCGCGTGTGGCGCGGCCAGGTGAACCATGGCTGCGGCGCTGGCGCTGGCCGTGGTGTCGCTGGCGCTGGCGGGCCCCGGCGCGGCCGCGGCGCCCCCGTGCCCGGCCGCACGCTGTACGTGCTCCGAGGGAAGCACGCGCGTCTCGTGTCGCGCCGCCGGCCTGAGCGCGCTGCCTCCGCTATACGACCGCCTCGTAGTACTGTGAGTACAACAGAATCTGCATACTAAAGTCGTCGCTTCCTTCATGAACTTTTAAATGTCTTCTTTCGTTATGTACCTTTCAATTAATTAGGATCTTAATAAAAAGTATGCGAAATGAAACAGACGGTCTTATAAACGGCACTCTTTAACGTGACATGTGGATATTAATATAACTAGTTGTGTTGCAATATATATATATATATATATATATATAACACTAATACGATACAAAGCTTGCTTTCATTGAACAAGAACTGTGACACATGTTTTTTATACCGCGTTGATGTCTTTTGTTTACACTGAACTTTTTTTCTCACTATTAAAGTCACGAACCTTTGTATAAATATTATCAGTGAGGAGCGACAGCACGACTGGAAGCTTCGTAACAAGTCTGAATATCGAACGTAACCTCCCAGCGATATGAGTTATGGAACAAAGTATATTTATTATTAAAAAGTTTTGCTCATAAGAACGTGTCCGGAGCAGATGATGTTAATACTCTAACAGATTTATCTTTGTATTGGGTTTCGTTGTGGGTTCTTTATTCATTAATTATTATTCGATTCACTTGTCCCTACATACACATACGCGAACATAGACCCTTTGATCCAGGCGTGACGTCAGTTAATAAATTTATATTATAGTAAATTTATAGCCATGCATCAAAGTTTATTATCAATTGCTTCCGTGGTTTAACTCTTTGTGTCATAATTTTTGGAGTATTTTATGTATTTTCTATTAAACACAAGGTTTTCAATGTGTCCTTGTGTTTCTTGTTTGACCAAAATATCAATTAATCCACTTTTAACTCCTTATGTTTCTATATACAATTAATTTTATAAATATAATAGATTAAAATATGTTTTTATGGCTGTGTGTGTTATGTTACTAATTAATATATATACGTATGACAGCTGTATACGTAAAAATATATAGAAAATCTGATTATAAACATAGTATTATTTTCGTTACCATCTTTACAAATATTTGGAAATCCATATCATTACAATTTTTTTTACCTTACTTGTCCGAACATTATATCATCTTTGATATAATAATAATAATAATACAGGTACCTATTATCGTCATTATTTGGTTTGGATCACTCGATGATCCTTTAAACAGATTCAAACTTGTTTGAAATGAAATTATCTCAGGACGATGTTGTTTTGATTAAAAAAAGGAGTGACAACGAAATACACGTTTTAACTGACACCGTCCCCTTTTTGAAATAAAAAAATCCTTAGCTAATTGTTACCACATTATCTACTAGCGATTAAATTCCCTTTAAAATCGGTCCTCCAGATCTCCTAAGCAACAAACAGAAAGAAAAATTAAGAGACAAAAAATCAAACAACAACTGCAGAGTTTATGTTATCAGATAACCTTACATATACCTTTAGTGAAATATCCCGATTTAAATTACAAACATGAATTTCTTTTATTAGTCTCCTATAGGAAGCCAATGGTCGATTTGTAAATTAATTATTTTTGTTTCGATATTTATTGCGTTAAGGCAAAAATGTTAATATTTAACAACTTTAAACTAGACACATATTTCACGAACAGAGAGTGCAAAGGTTTTATTTAGTTAGGTTTGGTTAAGTCATATTAAATATTATCCCGTCTCGTTCGGCACCTGGAGGAAAGCTCGGGCCCGGGACTGTCAGAGTTCCAGTTCGGGTTCCGAGCGCATCGGTCGACCGTCGATGCTCTCAAACGCCTGAGGGCGGTGACGGAAGAGGCGGAACGCAGAGGAGAGGTAGTGGTTGCGGTGTCGTTGGACATCGCAAACGCGTTTAACAGCCTCCCACACAGCGCGATACAGGTGGCACTCGAGCATTTCGGAGTGCCCCTGTATCTGAGGAGGCTGATAAACAGCTACCTCTCCCAGAGGAGGGTGGCAGTCGAGAGCCGGAGGGGGTCCATAGAGTGGTGGACAGTCGAAAACGGCGTGCCACAGGGGTCGGTCCTGGGACCGGTCCTGTGGAACGTCGGATACGACTGGGTCCTGCGGAGTCGTCTCCTCCCCGGGATGGGTGTCATCTGCTACGCCGATGACACCCTCGTCTTATTCCGGGGACGAAACTACAGGGAGGCGGCGCGGCTGGCCGAGGTCGGAACTGACCTCGTGATCAGCCGCATAGAGAGGTTGGGGCTTCGGGTGAGAATAGACAAGACCGAAGCCCTCCTCTTCCGCGGGACTGGGCGGAAAGGACCCCCGCCGGGTGCCACCCTCCTCATAGGAGGAGGGAGGGTCAGGGTGAGTCCCACCATGAAATATCTGGGGCTCACTCTTGACGGAGGGTGGACCTTCGTGCCTCATTTCAAGGAACTGGGGCCGAAGGTCGTGAGGACGGCAGGTGCGCTGGGAAAATTCCTCCCGAACCTCGGAGGACCCAGCGCAGCTTGCAGGCGGCTATACTCTGGGGTCTGTCGGAGTATAGCCCTGTACGGTGCTCCCGTTTGGGCTGATCGCCCAATGAGCCGCAGGACCAAAGCCCTGATGCGCTCTGCGCAAAGGGCTCCTGCGGTGAGGGTGATTAGGGGGTACCTTACGGTCTCCTGGGCCGCAGCAACTGCCCTTGCCGGCGATCCGCCTTGGGATCTCGTGGCGTCGGTTCGAGCCGAGTTGTTCTCCTATGTCTCGGGTAGGAGGGCACTCGGCGAGAACCCTTCGTCGGAGGAGATCCGAGCGGTTCGTCGGCAGGGGGAGGAGCGCCTTATGCGGGAGTGGGGGGAGGACCTGGCGGAGCAGCCGTACGGTAGACGTACAACGGCAGCGCTTCGCCCGGTCCTAGAGCGTTGGATGAGGCGGAAACGCAAACCCCTCACTTTCCGTCTGACGCAGGTCTTAACCGGGCACGGGTGCTTTGGTTACTACCTGTGTCGGACGGCCAGGAGAGAGCCGGGAGAAGGCTGCCATGAGTGCGGCGCTGCGGTGGACTCGGCCCAGCACACCCTCGAGGTGTGCCCGAGATGGGCTGCGCAGCGCCAAGACCTTGTGGCGGCTCTCGGCGGAGTGGACCTGTCGCTTTCGAGTGTCGTGGAGAAGATGCTCGAGAGTGATGGGTCCTGGTTGGCGGTGTCCTCCTTCTGTGAGACGGTCATGTCCACGAAGGAGGCATCTCAGCGGGAAAGGGAGAGGGCGGCTGATGCTCCCTCCCCCCGCAGGCGACGTACGGGGGTGCGACGGAGGCAATTCCTACGCCTCCAATAGCACCCCTGTGTTCCGGGCTGGGGTCGGCGTGGTAACCCGGCCCTATTGAAAGTCCGGCGTCGTCGGGGTGGTCCTAATTGCCGGGATCGCCCCCATTCTCCGAGGGAGTAAGTCCGGTCTTTGTCAGGACCGGCCAGTCGCTGGTGTGCCCTGTCGCTGACAGATCCGGGGTACACCGACATAGCGGCCGATGGCTTTCGCAGTGGTTTTAGTGAGTAGGGGCCTGCCCAGGCCGAGCCTCACACATCCCTTCCGGCCCCACCAAGGCCGGTTGGACGGCTCGTAAAAAGAGTTTCCACTACGTCATCAAAAAAAAATAAAAAAATATTAAATATTATAGAAGATAGTAGTGGGGTTCCTGGTGATTATAAGGTCCATGTCATGACCCGATTATGATATGCGTTAAAAGGTTTTTGGCTGCCTGTAATTTAAAAAGAATATACGAAGTCTGAAAGTCAAGAGACATAAAAAGTTTTCAATGAGGTTTTGGAATTTCTTAATAAATTATATTTTGCTGATAAATCGATAAAAAATGGTACTATTTCATTTCCTGGACATTTATTCGTAGACAGGAAAATAAAAAAATATTACAAATTATAGAAAATAATGTTTTCTAAATTAAATAATTGAAACTTTTTTAAATACTACAATCAGAACACTTGTAAGATGTATCAATGATATATAGTAAAGTTAGTTTTTATGAAAAAAACATCCGCTTATCACGAATTATACGATATGATTTCATTGTCAGTATTTCTCAATAGTTATCAAAATATGACCTTAATGTTTAAACAATACAAACAATTATTTTATAAATAGTATATACAAGAGTCTAAGCTAACACTCATCAACTTTTTCAACGCAAGTGTTAAAAAAAATTATATGAAAAAAAATACTACGAGGGGTACCTACTTTTTAATTAAATAATTACATAAACAGCTCGTCCGCTTCCTGGTTCATGTTAAAAAAATTAACAATTAATGTATTTAAGATAAAAATATGACTAAATATATTTCGGTTGCTCGCTCGACCCATAGATACGAAAAGTAGGTCAAACAATATCATGATTTATAATGGTGGTATTTCATAAAAGTCTCTGAAGTATAATTAATTATTTATAATCGGAAACTGAGGATAATAGAAATCAGGAGGGCTCAATGAATTGTAATACTGTTTCATGGTATATTTAGAGTTTTTGTGAACTGAATAATCTAAAGTCGATAGTTATCCTGTGGTGTATCGGACGCGTTCGCTCGAGGCTGGCTATTTATAGAACTCGGGGTGATCCGCTGCAGCTGCACCGCGCCGCCCACACACCCTCCTCAACACACCCTCCTCAACACACCCTCCTCAACCATTCCCTTCCTCATCCTCCTTCACCCTCTCTTCGTAATATCACGATGTTGAGGACGCTCGTCCTGCTAACTCGTCCATTCGAAGGCTGAATATTGATAACGAGCTTAGCGATAGAGCATTAACTAAAATAATAACGATCCATCAGCATGAAGATTCTGAAATAATCGTGAATATTCTAAGTCGAGGTCAAGTCGAATAAATTTCAAGGTTTATTGAATTTGTAACAATAATAATGTTTGTTTTAATACCTTGTCCTCTTCTTAAATTAGTTCCTAACGCTTTAGTTACACACTCGTACATTCTTGTGAAATAACTCCAAAGGGAATTTTATCATAGATCACATTAATATCGCCATGTAAAAATTACGCTCCTAGGCCGTAATAATTTACTGATCTATATCTCTAATATCTCTGTAATATAAACGAATCTTCACATCAATCGGATTTAAATTAATTCTAAAGTAAAAAGCACTAGTAATTTTTCTCTTAATATGTTAAGGGAAGCAATTTGTACAAGGAAATCGATGTAGTTGACGCTTCTGTATTAATAAACAATCTCTCGCGAGATGATCTGTGAAAATTAAAAAACTAGTAATTTACAAAATATTATTATGAATTAAACGAAGCGATTGATGGTTGAGTTGAGTGAAATTAGTTACAAATGTTGCGAATAGACAAACCACAATGTCGGAAACAGCGGCTTCTGTTAATAATTAATTCTCATGAACATTATGGTGCTAAGGAAGTACATTAATACATTTTAATAAATAAAAACATGATGCTCCAATTAGATATCCGAGTATTGTGCTGTTTTCTTTATAGATATAGAGTAAGTATGTGTAGAAGAAAATCAATAGAATAACATTAAACGGGAGCAGAGAAAACAAATAAGGAAGTAGCGAGATGTTCTGTCTTAAATTATTGAAACATTCGCTGAGACATTTTGTAAGTCATTGATAAATTTATAAAAGTGCTATAATGCTTAAAACTGAATCATATGTACTTTCTAAGAGTATTTAGACATCTCTGATTAAAGTTGATTCCCAAAAGAGGGTTGATGTCAGGCAGGCGGCCGATCGTAAAAACAAATAGCCAAAAACTATTCACAACATGTAAGGCAGTCCCTGGCTATAGCTGGGAAATTGCCAGGTAGAAGAAGAAAAATGTCTAAAACTGTTATCTGAAACATGTATGACATTATATTAAATACAAGACTTGGAAAAAAACAATTTATCAATGCAACATACGTGCGTCAAGAAAAGAACTAGCAACTATTTAAAGTAAAAGATATTTAAATCAGTCTTAAATGTACTAGGCTTAAATGATAGGCGGACCAGACATTACTAAGGTATGTTACTAGTACTCTCAGTTCATGGAAATGTATTTTGGCTCCGACCCAAAACGGTGGTTAGTGGAAAGTGGTCACCGGGTGGCCACTAAGCAGATAAGGAATTATAAAAAACATATTCCACACAGCTTATTTCACGTCTAAAGATTTCCAAATAATATTACAATTTGAGATTTTTTTTTGTTTCTTATGAATGCCCAGTTCTCAAAACATTTATTTATAAATCGGCTGTTTCTCAATATTCAGAACAGTTCAATTTAAGTCAGTAAACTTTAAAACCGATACTAAAACTTACACGCTTAAAAGTTTCTCGGATAGAGAAAAGAAATGAGAAAAATTTAAATAGTTATAAACACTCCATAAATGCCGGAAAAAAGTAAGATAAAGCATTTATACGTGCTTTAATCAAATTAAAAAGAATTCGTCTATTTGAAACAGTCACGTTATAAAAATTATCACGTAAGTTATTAAGCTTATTTTTATGTATTTTACACTTTATGTTCCGGGAATCTACACTGAGGTATTATTTTAATAAATACTTGTAATACAAGAAAACTACCTATCATATTTTTATTACTCTGAATCCAGGGTAAGACTAGCGATGATTCAAATTTCCTCAAATTTAATTTTTCATTATATAAATATAAGTACAATCTTAATAAAGATAAATTAAGTAAACCAATTAAAAGTTGGAGATCTGTAAATTTAATTTACTGCAATTTTACTGAATATATATGTACTTGTGAATGTAATTAATGATATTTGGCCTCACAAGTGTATAATAGGAACAACATGAGACTACCTGACCTCAGGTTAATCAGCGGATGATTTTTATACGGATTTTAAATTAATTTTGAACTTTTGACTTTGAACAAACTAATTATTTATAATATTATATCACAGATATAGTTGTCAGCCATATAACCAATAGAAATGATCTTATACGCGTGTTAAGACAATGGTAGCGGCCAAGTCGTCACCGACTATTTTGTTTACCGGCTTTACTTTAAGTTCAGTCACATCTCATTATTGTTTTATAATTATTTTCATAGCATTCCTTTTACAATGAAAACTTAAATGAAGAAATTAAATATTATGTACCTACACGCAACTTAATTTTTTTTATGTTCCATATACTTTAGTCTCGCTTCTCATTATGATGAAAAGTTTAACGTAACGAAAGATTGCTGTAAGTATTAGATATTAAATTGGCTAGGCTAGTGAAGGGGATGGGGGGTGGTCCGTGGCAGGAGGTGGAGGGGAGGCGATGATTGATGAAGGCAATATCTCTCGCTCGTTATCACCCGAGCGAGCTCCGCGTCCACAATTAATAAAAATAATATATATTACATACATATTTGGTGAAACAATTTCAATCCTTTGTTCACCGTAATGTTAATTTATAATTTTCTTTGTTTTTATAGAAGTTTTAGTTCTCTTTATGATTTAGTTATTGTATCAGTTTTGTGAAATGTGTTTAATATTAATTATTAATTCATTCGTATTTTTATAATCGAATATTTTATTTACTATATTAAATTAAAGGTTAAGCAGAGTTTTGTATTTTCGAACTTTTAATGACGCTTTTATTGTTCCTAAGTCGGAAAACAAATTAAGTTTTTTAATTTATGAATTTTGTCGTGAAAAGTACTCTAATTTATAGTTTATACGGTCGTACAGTTATAGAATATTATAAATGACATATAAGAATTAATTCTTATAGTTAACCATTTCTAATTACAAGATTTAAATAATCATCATAATATATTACAAATTATAATAACGGGGGTACTTTAGTACACTTAATTTATTTTAATCTGCAGCTTAAATAATAGTAATGATTAAAAAGTATATAATTTTAATAAATTCATATATTTAAAGTAATTAAATTAAATATACATTTATTTGTTTCGTTATGTATCATACAACGCGATACTTTAAAACAGAAATTAAACTCTAAATTACTCAGTATTTAATATTGTACAGAAATATATCAATATTAATTAAATAATATATTTGTATGTTCATTAATTTTATTGTACGATAGCATGAGAATTGCTCTTGGAGTTTAATATTTCTTCAATATTTAAACTTGAACAAGATTACAGTTTCTAAATTACCAGATGAATGTTTTAAATGTAATATTAAAATAAGAGGAAACGAATCAATATTATAACATTTCTTTAGTCTCAATGATGTTGGAAGTACATAGTTTGTTGAGTAAGTATTGATTTCTTTGAATGCGACGGAAACTTAACTTTGTAAAAGTATTTCACTACAAGAAAGAAAACAAACCCTTTTATAAAAGTTGCTTAGGATTCGTTCAGAAATCTATCCATCATAGTTTTATTATATCGAAATAGCTATAGCAATGTACATTTGAAATATTACACATGTTCACTATTTGCAAGTATAATTTTATGATTGTTATAAAGATACTAAGTACAGTTTATTTTTACATGAATTATGTACAGAATCGAATCCAAATAAAATATGTATTTGATGTTATTATAAATATATTTGTTTCAGTGACGTTTCCGCCAACAACATCAGTACTCTACCGACCGACGCGCTGCTGCCCGCCGCCGGGCTCCGAGACTTGTAAGTAACAGACTCATTACGTACACGTAAACACACTTTAGAACTGTATTTGTCTTGAATTAGATTCATAAATTTGGAGCAAAATAATATATTAGACGCTAACATAAAGCTGCGAACGAAATGGAAGCAGGAATTATGTAAATACGATTAACGTTAGACTCGAGATTACTTCGCAAATACGACAGAAAGCAAAACCGCTTCACCGGCGACGATAGGAAATTTAATCTTTCGTAGAATGATGACACGTAACCGTGTATATAATAATATGGTAACAATTTGTTACAAATTCAAATTTATATAATAATAGTTCTTGTAAAGATCAATTTAAAGTACCTGAGCTACTCTTGCTTGTCCTTGCATCCTTGTTCTCTTGTGTGTCAGGAACCTGTCCGCCAACCTGTTGGAGGTGTGGTCGCCGAGCTCGCTGGCCAGCTCGTCCGTCACCCGCCTGTGGCTGGACCGCTGCGGGCTCGCTCGACTGCCGCCTCTCAGCATGCCGCGGCTGCATCATCTGTGAGTGTAGTCTACATCACTTACGTACATTAAGGGCCTTATTAGAAAGCTCAAGGTCACTCAAAGGGCTATGGAGTGGGAGATCCGCAGAAGAACGGGAGTCACCGACATAGACAGAATTGCAATACCTAAGAGGCAGTGGGCAGGACACATCGCTCGCAGAACCGATGCCCGATGGGGCCAACGGGTTGTTGAGTGACGACCACGAACCAGAAGACTCAGTGTCAATCGATCGCTTCTCATGAACCCGCGTCGCCTGATGACGATGAACCAGCAGTTTCATACTCGTTCGCCCGACGTCCCTATGATAGATCGATTATAAATTATTCATGTCTCTTGAAGCCTGGTGGCCGTGTGTGTGGACATATTTTTTTTGGTCGATGTAAATCTCCGATATTGCCTCGTCACCGGCCGACGTGTGGCTTTAATATCATTCAAATTAGCTCCGCTATATTGAACGAACCCGTCCCATTTTCCTTTCCGAAACAAGATAATAATATATCTTTTCAATAACAATCCATCAATTTCCTTCGAATTTATTATTCTCTTTTCTATCTGCTCGGATTTCTGTTCGTTTTCTGTTATAAATTTATGATTAATTTATTGTATTATTGATTAATCTCTGTTATTTAAGGACGTTATCTCAACTGAAACTCCTCGACGTAGAAACTTACCTCGGGCACTAATCAAAACAGAACAAATTGAACAATACTTTAGGAGCACTACGATGTTTTTTCAAACAGATATTAATAAAAGCATTTATTGTGACACAATTTACAAAACTTAAACCTATGATACATTTAATTGACTAGAATCTATGGAACCACATTACATGTGTATAAATTCGATTTTTGTTTAAGAATATTTAAAAGCAGATCACATATTGTATTAAAATAGTATGCTTTGTTTGTAACGAAACGGACCTGACTTTAATTACTTGGTGAGATTCAATATTTCCATTTAAATGAAAATATATCTTTCCATGTATACTAACGTTATTATAAAATACTTCTTATTTTTTTCTAATTCACAAAATTTAGACGATGTTAAAACATAGTTTTTATTTTAATTTAATAAAACATAGAATTATGTAAATATTGTTGAGGAAATATCAATGTGATGTTCCGTCGTGATACTAGTTTATTTTTTTTATTAACAATCTTATAAAGTAAATCATTATGATCAGTAAAATTAAGCTCAATATCTGTAAAGACAATAATAATTTTTCAATAAAGAAAAAAAGTGCTCCTAAATAAAAACAAATGTATTGATGTAAACTAAAAAGAGAAAAAAATAACTAGAAAATATACACAAAACAGAGTGACAAGTTTTTCATACAAAATTGTAAATACGTGTTTTATGTTTTTTAATAATTCAATTACATATGTACATATTTTATCTAGGTATATATTGTAACTTCTTGTATGGTAATCGGTATAGAATACGACACAAAATGGAAGTTATTTTAGTATTTATTATACATATTCTTCTTCTTCTACCTGGCAATTTCCCAGCTATAGCCAGGGTCTGCCTTACATGTTGTTAATAGTTTTGGCTATTTGTTTTTACGATCGGCTGCCTGCCTGACATCAACCCTTTTTTGGGAATCAACATTAATCAGTGATGTCTAAATACTCTTAGAAAGTACATATGATTCGGAAAAATCACATTGGTACTTGCCCGGGCCGGGATCGATCCCGCGCCCTCGGCGACGAGAGGCCGAAAGGCGGGCCCTTCAACCACTGAGCCACCACTGACTAATACTATACATATCTATACTAATATTATAAAGCTGATGAGTTTGTTTGTTTGTTTGTTTGAAAGCGCTAATCTCCGAAACTAATGGTTCGAATTGAATAATTCTTTTTGTGTCGGATAGTCCGTTTATCGAGAAAGGCTGTGGACTATATAACATCACGCTACGACCAATAGGTGCAAAGATATAGTGGTAAATGTGTAAAAAACCTGAGAAATTATTTCATGTATGTATAAACTATCTATATCTAGTCTGGAAAAAAACGCTTCGTCGATCCATTCGCGTCACAAAGGTCGTTCACTTGGCATGTTCTGTAGAGAGCACAATCATTGGACACCATTAATTAAGAGAGACACGTTGACACTACTATGGTTGAGAGTTGTGTCGGAAAATAGAGAAAGATATTACGAAATTCCACTAAATTAATGAATTTCTCCCTTAAGTTTACTAACAGAGAACATCTGGGATTCTTATACTCGTATTCCGAGCGTTTAAATAGAAAACATTTTTAATTGAACTAAGTATTTTGTTTTTATTTTTTAATTCAAGGTTGTAAAGTATCCACGTTATGTTTTAGGAAGTCAACGTTAGTGTGATCTATTATAAATTTATTACCATAAACTTGAATTAACTAGCCATAAAAATATATTAGATGTGATTTCAATGTTTTTCCTTGAATGTTTAAAGACTTTTGTGGTATTAAAATAATATCGATCCTTCCCTTGACTTGTTCAATAAAGGAAAATTGTATTAAAACTATATTTGTTGTAAGTCATCTTTTTCTCTGAAGTTCATAATTTGTGAAGTATTGCTATCATTGAACATTTTATTTAGAACTAGCTGACTCGGCGAACTTCGTACCAATCAAGAAATATCTGTTACCTTTTTTTTCAATTCAAAGCAAACCACAATTTGTTTCTCTGAAAATACAAAGATTTATTTTCTGGACACCCCTTTACAATATTATAACAATTATCGTTTAATTATGACAATTACACTTTACCTGAAAATACAAAGAAACGACATTAAAGTCCACTAATATAGCCTCCTCAATTGTACCCCTTAGTTTATCTCTCTACACGTTTTAACAATCATAAAGTGCACAAAAACTTAAACATATGTAATTCGCCATTAGTGAATAGTGACGCGTCGACAAGTTACAAACGCGCGAAGCGCGGCAAATTTGAATTGTCATTTCATTACATATACATTATAATTTTGAATATGGAATTATAATTTTGAATATGGAATTATAATTTTGAATATGGAATTCCCCACATATTTGGTCACTTGTTACTTATCCATATGTGTTATAATAAAACAGTTTGTACGTTCGTACTATCGTACTGTCTCTAAGGTTTTTAAAAGTGAAAGTTACTCTTATACATATATATATTATAAAATAACTAAATGTTTCAGGCCGTCACAAGTTATTAATAGTCCGCTGACTAGTACAGAGATACTTATATTAGTAGTAAGCAGTCAAACATGTGCCTAATTTTAATATGAATTCTTGGTTATAATTATTTTTGTTCACGTCGGTCGATAGAAGAGTTTGTTTTTATATAAAGCTCTGTCTACACGACTATAGCGATAGTTTTTATTTATTTTATTTATTGAAGTAACCTTCTTACAATTTATTTAGTATTTGGTTCCCATTAAAGGTATAATTTATATCGATATTTAAACCCGGTCAACGTAGTGAAGGCGTAAAACTTTTATGAATATTAGACTAAAGCGACTATAAAGCTAATCATCTAAGAATCTGAACAAATAATTTAATTGGACTTCGATAAGAGTGTATATTTGTAGTCTATAGCCAGAGCACCGGGGGCGAAGACACACATGCGACCTCCGACAAGGGCCGCGGGCAAATGCAAATGCGTGTGGAGCGAGTCGAGGTCGCACTACAACACTACTACTACAAAGGTTACATATCATGAATACGACTTACTATTCAATATCAGCACACACATGTGAGCGAAATTACCGCTCGGAGCTTTAAAACGCTACTCAGTTACATTTCGCAAAACGAGACGCGGACGTAATGTTGATGATAGAAGTAAGGTCGTTTGATACGAGCACACGAGACGCGGTTTGAATAGATCGCTATCAAAACCAAAATATCGCTGCGATACGGTAATATGTATTTAAGACACAAAATATGTGGAGGCGGAGCGCGTCGCGTTAAATGTGATATATAGCACTACTTACGTCGTCTACAGACGCGCTGTCGGTGGACGAGGGAGGGCCCGAGGGTGTAGAGGATCACGGGTTGTGTGAAAAAGGACAAATTTGATGCAAGACTCGGTTATAGTACAATATTCAAACATTATTATAAAGCTAATGTCAAATGTTGTAATTTTAGTTTCTATTAACAGTACAAGTTATTATGATGAGCCACACAGACTGGCTATATAATATCAAACTGAATGAATGTCATGATCACATTCGTCTCCAGGAATGCTGCTCGTATTTATTTTTAATATAAAAAACATATTTTTCATTACTATCAATATTTACATGTCCCTAATTCATAATTGTTTCCGACCTGACTCGCCGCTCGTCCCACGTCTTCATTCATACATTTCGTACCAAAATAAACAACAATATTTTTAATGTTGATCACTTTGTCCTAAATGAATTAAAAACTTATTTTATATTGAACTTGTTTAAGCATTATAAGCTTTATTATTGATGACATAAAGTCGATTCTCTCTGTCAATTTCAATAATTGTGATTGTCGTGTTTATGGTTTTCTAATCTAAGTTTATTCTAGTTATGAATCCGTTTATTTTAATTCACACTTTCTTATCGCCACACCATATCATAGTATCATATGACCGAGCACCTCGTGTTAATTATTGCCAGGTCTGTCGAGGACAACCTTATATCAGACTTATCCAAGTCTTCGCTGTCTGACTGCCGTAACCTGAGGGTGCTCCGTCTGTCTCGGAACAAGCTGCCCGAGGTCCCCACCGCCGCACTGGCCACGCTGACTCGTCTCCAAGCACTGTACGTAAGAATCATACTCCTTAATATTATATATAACTAGCTGCGCTTCGCGGTGTTAAACGCGGGTTTCCGAGAATTTCGGGATTTCCTGGTTCAGCCGTTTGAGCGTGAAGAAGTAACAAACATACACACACACAAACTTTCGCAATTATAATATTAGTAGGATATCATACCTTTATAACAAGTAATATTATTAAGGCATGCTATCCGTTACGTGGTGTTTGACCTAAAACATTCTCAGAAATAAATATGTAGGTTATTGGTATTCGACAGATATAAGCATGATTATAATATTACAATAATAAACACACCTTGGCACACCGTACACACAGATCTCTATCGTCATAGAGCGTGCCCGCGCGCCGGCGCCACGTTGAGACATTGTAAATTAGGTACATTATCAAAAACATTTCCCGGTATTCAAATATATCTGTCGGCGGCACGCCACCAAACATATTCTACACACAAAACAGTTCTAAATGTGTCAATCTGTCCCTTTTAAAGTGTTAAAAACGAGCCTTAATAAATATATCTGTCAATATTATACGTTAATGTTCCTATAATCGCCGGCCTAGACGTGACGCGAACTTATCAAATTATTTAAAAACATAGATTCAGTACAGTCACACATTTCCTACATATTTTAGTCATCAAATAGGTATTTTAATACATTTTTTTTATTTCATCAGCAACTTGGCCGGGAACCTCATCAGCGAGCTGACCGCTGCCTCACTGCCTGAACTGCCGTCGCTGCACACTCTGTTAGTACCACTTGCATAACATAATAATTCTCAGGAACCCTTGGAGCGTCAGCAGGGTGTCTGCGGGGGGTGGAGAGGGGGAGAGAGGGGGGATAAGGGAGGAGGGGGACCTGTGAGGGCGAGGCTGCGGCCGCCGGTGAAGGTGATCGGGTCGGCGACGCGCCGCCGGAGTGAATGATCACACACGTTATATCATGTAACACTTAGATACGAATACTACATATAAAATGACGCACTCGTACAATATAACGTAATTAATGTTCTAAATGTAATTTAATTATACAGGAACAAATGATTTTAATCAGCAATCAATTAGCATTCAGCGTCAATAAGACTCATTTGAATATGTGTTACTGTTTTACGTTATTGAGAAGCGATTCGTTGACACATCTCATCCTTAAAAGATAGTAGTGAAGAGTTTAGACTCTAGAAGACAGAACACAGGTCAATAAAACCATTTTCACGTTTTAAAATCCAGGAACTAATAAGTTTATATATTGTCAAATAAACTTAAAAAATGCATCTAATTTTCTTATAAGGTTTATGTCTTTTTATTATCACAAAATTTCAAAGAAATTATAAAATCGTTGATAAAAAATATGTTTTCTATACATAACATTTTTAATGCGACATTAATCTCTTTAAAATCCAGACATTAAGAAGTAATTGCCAATTAGAGACTTTATATAACATTTAGGTAACACGTAGTACTTTCAGTAGTCGGAGTAATCTTTCACATCGTCTAGTCTCGGAAATAACTTCGCACATTTCCTCATTTACTGTATGCTAAAATATAGTATTAGCGTTCGTTGTATTATTTGTAAGTAATATTTGTTAAATTAAAGATGGGCAAAGCCACGGTCACAGGTAATTGTGACCGTGACTTGAGTTGTTACATTATTAATTAATTACTTATAATAACCAGAAGGTTCTCTTGTGAGTTATGATTTATTTGCACCAAAAAAATTATAATTAAATAAACAAGTTTCATTAATGTATTTCTTGAACAATATTTTTGTTTTTATATATTAAATATCTTTAGCTAATATAATATAATCATATTTAATAATTAATAAAGATATATATATTTATTTTGAAGTTCGTTTAGGCTATTAACGTTTCCATGTTGGTTTTCAACGCACTCTAACTTATAAATTTATTTAAAAAGAAACGTAAATTATTTCTTATTATACAAATAAGATTCGCGCGGTTAACCGATTTAAATAGATTTTTTAAATTGATTTAAATAGAAGTCACCAAAAATAAGTTCACTTTAACAGAACCACTCGTATTTATTTCAAAGTATGAAGTTTTAATGACAATAGTTTTTAAGATAGAAATTCTTTATATATTAAAACTTATTACTTTGCCTGACGTACCATGGAATGTTAATAAGTTATCATATTAATTAAAGCAAGTTGAATCTATAGGAAGGGGCTCATACATAGAGATAAATTATGTAAAAAATATGTATAAAAATAAATTTAGGCATAACATATTATTAAATCTTATTTAAATATTATCTTGAAATCTCTCTTACAATATTACCTTAATTAGTATTAAAAAAGTTATAATGGTTAATATAAATAAAAACTGTTTTTTATGTGAAATTCGCCTCACAATATATAGGTATTTCTTCCTAAGTTAGAAACACAAGAAACAAATATTAATATTAGTATTGTTATAATAAAGAATGTATTAGGACTAGGGTTAGGTAAAACATCATTAATAAGTCATACTTTTATTTCCTCTGTTTGTAAGTCATGTATCTATACTCGCTCGGAATAATGCAATCATCAATATATATTTTAGACTCCCACGTAATCTGTCTTTTTGAATTTCTTTTGATATTAATTTTCACGAATATTCCTATCGTAATAACAGAATTTAATTACTTCCTTAATACTACATTTCAAGCTTGTATTTCAATGTACAAATATCAATGTGGTAATTTTTAATGTTTTATATTTCATTTGTATGATAAGTACCACTGTTCTGAAAAGAACTTCTTTCCTAACAGAGTATTACAGGTACAAATATTGTACTGACCTAAAAATATGAATTGAGACAATTTCACAATACTGCCAGTAATAGTTTTACTGTTTTGTTTTTATTATTATAGCTATAAAACCTATTGTTTATTTACTACAAAAAAAAGCCGTTGATATATCTCCTGTCATCTCCATATATATAGGATTTCCTCTGTGAAGTCTTTAGATAGAAGATTCGTGTAACACAAATACTCACTTAAAATGTAAATGTAAGTGTCTGCTGCTAATAATTGAGAGAATTCTGTGGCCCTGAATCACTATGACAAAACAAACTCATCCTCCTGTTATTTCTTTTTTGTTTTGGATGTTAAAACTATAAAACATTTTCCTTCTTCATACAAACGAGTGAGGACTACTTTAGGTAATGTTTATACTTATTTGAACCTGACACATATGTAGGTACAGTTCCGATAAAATGAATCGCAATGGAACTAACAAAAACTTTTTATAGTTTTTAAAAATAATAGAAATTAAATGCACATTTTTTTATAAAATATAAACCTATAACCATGAGTAGTGGCACTGGTGGACTAGTGACTGTATGTAGCGTGGGATCGACCCTCGAAGCCTGGGGCAGTAAGGAGAAGAGAGGGTCGACGGCCTCTGGGGAACTACCACAACTCACTAGAATGACTCGAAAATAGATTAGCCCCATATCTCTTTATAAAATAAATCACAAAATTTAAATAAGACGTTATACAAAGAATACAAATTGGTTTTAGTACACAGATGTGTTTCCAGGGTACTTTTAATATTAGTTATGTCGTGTGTATGATAGCAGTACGTCTAATCCATCACACAAACCCTTCTCATATCATCGATGAAGCGCTTCTCTGATTTACGACATGCTACTGGGTGTCCCCCCCCTCTCCCCGCAGCTGTAACCATCTCCTCCCTCTCAACCCCTCTCAAGCAATCTCGGTACAATCCACCCTCGTGCCCCTTATGACCCTTGTGAGATTTTAATCGAATAAATTTGAAGATATATTTATTAAACTAAACATTTATTTAAACTTCAAGAATCCGTCTTATCCGTATGATATATTTTAGAGCACTATTTTTAGTCAATAATTAACACGACTATAATTATATACAGAACAAATCAAATTGAAATAAGTCATTTTTCAAGCTTTATGTTCCAGCGATTTCAATATTATTGTTACTATGAATATTCTTTAACGCTCGTTCAGATCATGATTCATATCCGACGGGGCGTGTAATGATAATTCTCAATAGGGATTTCAATAGAGATATCTGCTTATGAAAAGGGCAGTCGTCGTTTGTTTGTGTAGTGTAGACGCCGGCTGTTTTCAGGACCGGCGCGTTCTCTGACGGGTCGCTCACTACCCTCCATTAACATAGCCGGAGCCGTCCGGAGCAATCCGACTCATTCATACACAAAGACGGCATGATAGCTACTATTCAATACGAGGAAACCTATCACTTACAGAACAAATCAGTCTATAATATCTGTATATACGTACATACTCATAGAATTGTATTAAAAGAAACCCTCATTTCTTTGATTTATTTTCATAAAACTGATTTATAAGAACTAGATTACGTGTTGAATTTTCTTCATTTACTTATTATAGATTTATTTTCAGAATATTAAAGAAGAATCGCATCACTCACATAGAACAGAGCGCCTTCTCCGGCTGTCCGTCGCTTCGACAACTGTAAGTAACGTATAGCATTAACAAAACTCAGTCTCATGTATGCGTCTTATAGCTTTGAAAGCTAAATTTTTTAATCGATTATATCCACTGATTCCTCTGAAAACGAAGGATCCTTTGAAAGATTAAAATAACCTTAAATCGTCCCACATGAGCTAAGGAATAACTTTCTAGTATGTAAACTTATATGAATAATATCGTGATCGTGTTTTAGACGAATTTGAAAACGGTTAATTCATTTTAAAAATTGCCTTTGTATAAGCTCGTCACAATTAAAAACGTTTACTCAAGAACTTAATAACAATACTCTGACACTAATGTCTTCACAAGATTTTCAAAGCACTTTCATCTAAACTAACTTTTATTTCAGAACTATTATTAAATCTTATTTAAAATAAAAGATTCGAAAGTCCCCGAGTACGCTGGATTGTATATTGTATTTAAAATTTATACACTTAAGTTTACTTAACTTTAGTTATAAACTGTAATCTTATACTTTTAAATTACAGTTCATAGCTCTGGTTTAAATTAAAGTCTTTGGGCAGAGGGTAACTGATTGATTCTATGGTATATTATTATAATAAATATATTATAATGTCGTAAAACATCTAAAGCAGCCTCGTGTTGATAACATAACTCCCAGGCTTTAATAAAATATACGTCATCCAAGTCAGTCACCTTATCAAAGACTAGCGGAGAATAGAGATACGAGTTAATAAATTTAAAATGTATATACTAACAATTTTCTTTTTAAACAGAAATTTATTTATTTTAATAACAATAACGTATCGTATTATATGATGTGATAAAAATTCGATATCCTTATAAGAAGTGAGTCCAGCTGAATACATTCGACGTATATCACATTCCGCTGACCTCGTAAGTGACTATATTAATTTTAGGACAGTTTTATGTCTGGTCGTAAAACAACGGAGTAGTTAGTCGACCCCTGGAGACGACTCCGACGAACAGATATCATATGATAAAATAAAACGATATAACAAACACTGTACTCTAAATATCAAGGACTAACGCGAATAAATAAACAAAAGATTTCATTAAAATAACAAATTTTAAATGGAACATATTTACGTTATTGTTGAATGTTGGTGTTTCTCATTCTCTACAAAGCTCATGTCACTATTTAATGACATAAAATGTCGAATCGTAAAATAACATCGATGGAAATTCGGAATAAAAAAGTTATTACAGAAAGAACCTACACTTGAGCATAATTTAAGAATATTGTAAATCTCAGTTTTATATTTACGTTCTAACTAACAAGTTTTATTTCGTAATTTAAAACCATATTTTTTTTCAATATGCTCAAAACAATAACATTATTATATCTTCAGAAACTTTTGGTTTTTATAACGGCAACCTGGTTATGTTTTTTTTTTATACAAATAATATAACAATTGCGTAATAATTTAACAACGAGATCTAAAAATCGGTATTTAATACATAATTTAAAATATGATTAAGTCATAAGGGAGATATTATGCGACATAGAAAATAATATTTTACACTTATTATAGGGAAAGCCGCGGAACACGGCGACACGTGCGGCGTTCAGAGATATTTATAAACACGTAATGATTTTATTTTGTGTCACGTCATAAAACTGTCTCGAATGTAATTGATGTTTTAAATTGTGATTCTATTAGTATACTGTGTGGTCTTTTATGTGAGTATTTACTGTGTTTCCATTAGCGAGACCCTGTGTATGAGTCGTGAAAACTCGTGGAGTAACACAGCAGGAGAACTCGTTCTAATAAACTGATTGAGCTATCAGCGTTGTTGATTCTGATTTCTTTACTGTTAAATCCTTACACTTGGCATTCAGTGTCGCTCATAATCTTCTCACTTTACGTTTAATCTCATTCTTTTGACGTATATTAAATGATAAACCAGAAATAAAGTGTTTTTGTTGCCTATTTCAGTGTTTATGAACCATTATTCTTAAACTCAATCCTTCGACCCAATAAATTATTAAGATTTACTGGAATCGTTCGAAATTAATTTAATATTTTAGTAATGTTAATTTTATCATTTTGACTAAGCGACTGACGTGACGATAGTTGAATGCCAAATCTTATGTACCGTGGGCGAGTTTAATTGCAGTTGTATTGTATGTAAGTCGTTTGTTCTGTTCGTGGAGACGAACTATCCTGATGAGACAGTTGCCTCCGTCGCTTCAGCCGGCGCGTCGTGTCTCAAGCCAGGGACGATCGATGCTCGGGACAGTCGCCTGTACGTCCTACAGTCACTGTGCACCAATCACGAAGCCGGTTAATGACTTTATGATATGGGAACCGACGCTTCAAATAATCAAATAGTTACAGAACCTTGTTTAAGACTTTTAAGTTTCACGTTTAAGTTTCACGTTTACAAATCGTTCTTAAATACTTCAGTTACTAAGCCAGGTGACTTATCTGACATACAAGTAGAAGTATTAGGATAGTTGTAGCAAAAGTACCAACTAATTAGTCGTTTTAGTGAAACTATTGTTTGATTTAAATTTGTACTCAGAAGTGTAACATATACATTTTTTATGTATTTTACGTAATGAATGTTTTCATAGGTTTGATACTTTAATAATAATACTTGATATAAGCCGCAGACGCAATGGTAAACCAGAATTGCCTTTTAATTAATTTATGTTCAAACGACGCTGGTTGGAGGTAACGCCGCAGTTAATAACAATTTTGTACGCCCAACATAATAATAGTTAATTAATGGGCTCTCATTTACGGATGATTAATATCGTAATTACTTAATAAAAATTAAAATATATTTCTTTAATTATAATACCCAAAGTACTTATTTGTACGGAGTGCGAGACACGGAATGAAACATATATCCTGCCGTCTTCTCAAGTGGTACAAAGGAGAAATAAAATATATTTCAAACATCGACCTTAAACCGAACGCCGGTTTTTGTTTTCACAATGAAAACTAAATCACCTCTCGACTGTTCGGATCGCTGAGGAATTAATATCTGAATATAATCATACTCGCTCCAAATACAGAGTACGTACAGTCAGGGAGACGGGGAACGCTAAAACAAATAATCTTTAAATACCTCGTAATGAATACAACTGAAGACTCGAGAAATTCATTTTAAATTACTCGCTTATTTGATTTGTCTCAATCCTATTCCCTCAAGCTATATAATCTAAAACGCATCTCATTTCTCACTATGTGTGTACAACTATCAGAGTGTACATAATAGCTTAACAGATGACTTAATATATAGTAGTAGGAGTGCGTCTGGTTCACAGTGCAAGTTATCGATTGTATGCCTGGTGTCGGCGGGAGCGCTCTACGACGCGGAATTATAAAAGTGACATCTATTTTTATAAGAGCCAGGAGTGCGACGAACTTTAAATTAATTCTATAATTAGTGATGCAAGCATTACGGGGCTTATGTAGATATTGTGGTTTCGGCTTCGGCTTTGAGAGCGAACATTAAGAGACTAAACGCTTAGTTTAAGCTGGGAATATTTAGGAAACTTCTCTTTCGGTAACAGTACTTTAAGGATGACATTTTAACGACGTTGACGATGACGTTACTACTGACGAATGTGCAGATAGCTGGAATTTCATATTTTAGTTATTTCATATGATAAGGATAATTATTATCAGTACTTTGACCTCGGAGCACCGTTGAAAGCTAATTTAAAGATGCAAATATGAGGACCGTGTACAAATTAATATTATGAAAGTTTAATTAATGTACATAAATAAAATTAGTATAATACGAACCTCATGGAGACCTGATTACTTTTAAAGCGAGTATTTATAAATAAAATCATGTCATTAATTCAAACAAGCCGTTTTATAATCCTATCAATATTTTAATTGTCAGATTAATACACAGCTTAAAACCTTTCGATAATCATAAACATAAAAGTTCCATTTGCTAGTTGTTATATTCAACATATTATATTTAAACATGTAACGAGTGTAGGCTAGTGTAATCTGTCTGTTATGAATCGATGTGTCGTTATAAAGAGCGTTTGATTCATCTCGTGAAGGGAACAATAGCTAATGGAATGTGATAAATGCGAGTGGCTGAACACGAAATAGTTTGAAGAGATCTGTTATAGATGACACGTCAACAAACTAACGAATACACATTTATATGAGAAATCTTTTTGATAATTCATATCACATAAAATCAACAAGTAGGATTTCTTTCCGTTCCGCAAAGAAAATATTGATTAATTATTATCCCGAAACAAGGCTTTAGAACATATTTATTTTAATGTGTTACGTATTATTACTCGTGACCTTCCGCGACTTATTTCGGAGTTAAATTTTTGGATGTATCTTTTTCCTCTTCGCCGTTCATTTCGTAACTTCTCAGACGGGCCTTGACACCGTGTAATGAGTGAGTATCGACGCGACATGCACGTAATTAACAGATTCATATATTTTTTTTGCACAGACGTCTCGAAGACAACCTGCTGACCGAACTGCCCCCGGCGATACATCTCTTACCGTCGCTCGAGGATTTGTAAGTTGAACATATATGTACATATAGTATCTTTGATACGATAGTTAGTTCTGTTATCATTTGTTTTTCTGTACCAGGTCCTTGTCTAACAATCTAGTGGAGGTGGTAGGTGGTGGTCTGAAGGCATGTTCTCGCCTGGCTCGCCTGGAGCTGAGAGGGAACCCGCTGTCCGCGCTCGAGCCGCACGCCCTCACACACCTACCCCGACTGACCACGCTGTTAGTAAATACATACATTATATTAATACAATAGAATATACACTTAAGTTTTTTATTAAAAATAAAATAATAATTCTGTTAAGATGAAATCGATGGGGTTGTGGAGTTTGCCCTAGTTTTTAGTTCATAATACAAGTTATCTTGTTTGTCGCTTGTCGTAGTTCCAACGAAAGATACTTTGTAATATGATTGGGAGCTCTTAACAGCGGGAACAGAGACTACAGCGACTGAAATATAATTACGAATCTGTTTATTTCTTCCATTTCTTCCATTTAACGTAATTTATAATATCCTGCACAAATAAGTTAAGTCGCGTTATATGTGTGTATAATTAAATATAAAATAATTCTGTTGATTGAGCTTTCCGATGTATTCGTTAATACGTAATGATAGTACTGTTTTTCGTCATTCACGACGAGCACTACAACGTGTGCATGCCTCGGTGAGTCACGATCCGATTGCTGCAAGCTTTGTGAACGAGGTCAGGAGTTAGGGGGAGGGGGGAGGGGGGATATAGATGCTATGAAAAGTGCAAGACACACACACACATGTAGCGATATCGTGCGACGAGTGTCCAATTATAGATAATGCGACTTGAGATCGACTAACCTGACCTGACTACATACAGTCTATGTGTTTAACTTAAGCTATAGATGAAACAATATTTTTATGTACATACTTTAATAAGCTTGATACGATATAAGTTTTAAACCCAAATGTAACACGTAAGATGATTAACTATGAAATAATTACTCGTACTGTAATCAATTTCTTCTTCTTCTACCTGGCAATTTCCCAGCTATAGCCAGGGTCTGCCTTACATGTTGTGAATAGTTTTTTGGCTATTTGTTTTTTTTTTTACGACCGGCCGCCTGCCTGACATCAACCCACTTTTTGGGAATCAACATTAATCAGTGATGTCTAAATACTCTTAGAAAGTACATATGATTCGGAAAAATCACATTGGTACTTGCCCGGGCCAGGATCGAACCCGCGCCCTCGGCAACGAGAGGCGGGCTCTTTAACCACTGAGCGACCACTGACCTTTAATCAATTTATACATGTTTATATTTACCGGTCAACAAGATACTCTTTAAGGTGATCACGAACAAATCTCTGAATACGAATTGGTGTATATCTAAATTATACATTCATAATACACCAGATTTGATATTATACAACGATCCACTTTAATATAATTATTGTATATTGAGAGTGTGAGTAAGTTAAGGTGTGTTCCAGTGTGTTGTCGGAGGCGCGCGGCCTCAGAGTGTTTCCTTCCCTGAACGGTTCGTCCCGCCTCACCACCCTCCGCCTGGACCGAGCTCGACTCACCCGCCTGCCTTCGGACTTATGTCAGCACGCGCCACTCCTGAGAGCGCTGTCAGTACCAACCATTTGATTAGTATTAAAGGAAATATCTTTATCTTCTATATATATAAAAATGGATTGCTGTTCCTTAGTCTCGCTAAAACTCGAGAACGGCTGAACGGATTTATCTTATCTTAGTCTTGAAATATTTGTGGAGGTTCAGGGAAGGTTTAAAAGGTGAAAAAAAATGATTAATTACTGGGAAAACCATAAAAACAGCCCTTTTCTATTTCCCATACAAACGTTTTTTTTTGACATTAGATTTGACAACTAACTAATATGTCAATCATTCTGTTGCACTTCAAAACACGGAGATTTATGGCTTACAGGTAAACTCCAAAAATGTAAATAAAAAACGTAACAGATATTTCTTGATTATAGGGCGATAAGAAGTTCGCCGGGTCTTCTAGTATCATACAACACTTCTAGAGTCCAATCCTCACTACACGAAATATTTACATATGATCTGAGTCTCATGTATTTTATTATACTCACTGTAATGTTGATAACGTATTCCTCAGATAAAATTTTCTAGCTGCCATTAAATAGCTCCTATCATCCATCATGCTCGACCCCGGGAGAGGCGCGCGTAATTAATTGCAGCTTGCAATCAGTGTCTGTCGAGTTTAACGTTTTGGCAACAAAATACACGGCGATAATAATCTAAATAATAATCAGTTCGATGTTGAGTGAATAATATTTATTATATTTGTATGTTGGACAGAGATCTGCGGTCGAACAAGCTGGAACAAGTTCCGGATCTTCAACAGTGTTCCGAGCTGCGTGTCCTGTAAGTGTTAAAAATATACTTTATAAGCGAGGATGTCTTAACTATGACACTGTTCAAAACGTCTTTTTACAATCACTTATCTGTACAAACACCATCTCAGTAAGGTCAAGCTCCTGTATATAAATTTACTTACGTATTTCGTTATCGCACACTTCACTGTACTGCGATAACAAATTACACGCCCTCAGCCAGTCTTGGACATGTCCGCGGTGTCACGCGAGCTTTTCATTAATGTCGCTCGCCATCATAAACCTTTCTTAATAACTACTAACAAAACACACAATCAATTATTCTTTTAAGTTTATATTATAAAGTTATTTTAACTTGACGTACATTCGACATGCGAATTTATAAGAACTGTTACAAATTCTACATATAAACTTAGCTGTTATTTCTTTGATGTATGTAAAGAGTTACTCAATATTTTGTTCATTCGTTTAGGGATATATCGGATAACCAAGTGTCTTCGTTGGGTGGTGGCGCATTGAGCGGGCTGAGGAAGCTTCACGACTTGCTGGTGGCCAGGAACCGACTGAGACGAATCTCTGCTGACACGTTTATACACACGCCTCGACTACAGCTATTGTGAGTAAAACCCTTAAAAATTATATTTTGAGATCGTCTTCGTATGGACTTAAAATTCGGAAATTGAAAAATCATTGAAATGATAATTGATTTCCAAAATCGTATACACTAGTTTGAGATTTTCATATTGTTTGAGTAAAACAATGGAATAATAGTGTCAATAACAGTAGAATGAAGTATTTACGTTGATATCTACTCGACTATTAATTTGACTCTTAACAATATTATATAATAGACATGTGATTAAAATATTTTAATAATATAATAATTATTTATTAAATTTTAATTTAAATTTCAAAGTATATTTTAAAGGTCTTAGAAAAATTAAAAGTCATTATTATGAAATGCAGTTTTAAGGAAATGGTAATAAAGAATAACCGATCACGTTTGAGATGCAAAAAACTGTGGAAGGAATATTGAATTAAAACTTACAGACATAAGAGAAAAGTTGCTAAAGTTAAAAAAAATATATAAGGAATGGTTTTCAATTAACTTAAGATAGGAGAGTTTATTGGTCTGCCTACACACATAAGGTTGGCTGTATTTCCAATTAGAATTTCAGAAACAACACTTTTTCTTAAGTTACATTATACGCAAATAACTCATGCTGACGAAACAGTTTTAAATCAAAATAAAATTTAACATCTCGTCTGCCGGTGAATAAAAGATTTGTAGTACACATAAGTATTCTGTAGGTGTTAAGAATTCACAATGAATTTCTTTAATATTTTGTTTTCATTTTTAGTCGTCTTGTTTTGAAAATATATTTTAAAAGGAATAAAGTATGAAGAGCCTTCTTCCCACTCAGATTAATTGAGTTACTTTAACGTCGTTTTGATAAAATAACATCATATAAAATTCTTCTTTTCCTTATAAGAGTTACATTAAGGAAATCTAATTCGCTCAGAGAATTCTGAAAAACCGAAATGTCTTAACGTTCCCCATTGAAAATTGTATTAAATAATGCCAACAACAAGAAAGAATATATCCTCCAAATATTTCTACATATCTACAAGAAATAATTTGTTTTTTAAATAAGATTAAGGTTAAATGTTAGTTGTATTAAAACACAATATTTTATAAAAATTGCTTCATACATCACGCTAGTGTATATCAGAAAGACAGAAACAGAAAAGTTGTACATATTTTGTACATCTTTATATATATAATTCTTATGTCACTGAACTTCTCTCAAACGACTGAACCAATCTTGATGAAATTTTTTGTGTTTGTTCAAGTGGATCTGGGAATGGTTTAGATTCACAATTTCGTCCCCTGGACTATGTTTTTTTTATTATTTTTTAATTTATTAGTAATTGTTGCAACAAATGTTTTTTTTGACATTAGATTTGACAACTAAGTAATATATCAATCATTCTGTCGCACTTCAAAACACTGAGATTTATGGCTTTAATAGGTAAACTCCAAAAATATAAATAAAAAAAACGTAGCAGATATTTCTTGATTATTATAGGGCGATACGAAATATTTTCGAAGACACTATGACGAAATAAATGAATTCAGTATGTAATGGAGTTTTTTTTTTTCATTTAATTGTTGAGTTGTTATTCTTGAGATGTCACTCATTGTGCAACACAAGTCGAGATGTATTTTTACATTAAGATCTGTTATCATTAATTGGCATCTGTGTTAACGTGTTGTGTCTGTGTTATCTCAATAACAATATTTGTTATTGTATTAAAATGACTTGCAGAGACCTCGAGGACAATCAAATCGAGCACATCGACATGGAAGCGTTCGTCCCCATTAATAAATTAGAAGACTTGTAAGTTGAATTACTCTATATAACTTAATTTGAAAGTGACTTTCAATATAATAGGACATTGCTATCCCTATAAAATCCCACATAGTCAAATTGAAGATCGATAAAAACTATGAAATATATTATTTTATAGCTACATAATCGCTACGTATATAGCACCTATCCGAAAACCTTAGTTTTATTTTAATAAGTACACAAAATCTTAGATCTGTTTATAAGAATATTCACTATCTAATATTATGTTAGTAAAAGTACAACTAATAGAATTTAAAGTTCTTTATGTCGAGGTCATATGTACACACACGTACCACCAAGTCCATCCACATATCTCCACACAGCTGACTGACTAACTGTTTTACTTTAAATTTGTCTCTTTAGATTAACATTAACATATTGGTAACCCTTACGACTGTAGATTTTAAGGATTTCAGTTGAACATTTGCATAACTATTATTATACACCTATACAGATCCGTTAATAATCTAGCTTTCTAAATGTTTTCTATGACAATTATCTTTACAAACAGGAACGTGGGGAACAATCGCTTTCCCGTGCTCCCGGCCAGTGGATTACAGCGACTGCTGCATCTCAAGGCTCATAACAATCCCGCACTTAGACGTTTTCATCCGCCCGAAGCATTCCCCAGAATACAGGTATAATTTTAAACTATGTACATAATAGAATCGTTTCATATTGCATTAAGATAAGTCGAGCATAATATACTCAAATAAACAGCAATATAATATAGCAAGGCAATAATGATAATGACTTTTTCATTCCTCATACTCGGAAAGTAGTTATTTTTGATCTGATTATAAGGTGGAAAATGCTTTTTCCCTCCCTAGAGCGGGAACACTCATTTAAATTACTTTCCACCCAAGGGCCGGAATGAATTTCAAAAATAGAACTATTGTCAGCGATGACATTATATGTAACATTTTAAAAAAAATGCTGATGCCATGCGAGTTTCTAAACAGCCAGTGTGAACTTACTTAGCGCAACTACATAGTAGATATTAGATAGAATATAAATGAAAAGAGGGTTTAAACTTAAAAAAACATATTCATTAACTTTTAGTAATGTTTAATCAAATAAATAATAAACGCCATGACAGTTAGAGAGAGTAAGCTGTATCTCTGTCTCACTCACACCTACTCCCTATTACATTGCACGTTAATAACTTTTTATAACAATATTGTGTGTATAATCTTTGGCGCGAATTTCTTTGAGCCGAACGAGCCGCAACAAATACGCGGGGAATTCCATATTCAAAATTATAATTCCATATAATAAATAATTCCATATTCAAAATTAATTCCATATTCAAAATTATAATGTACATATATGTAATGAAATGACCTTCCATTAAATTCAAATTTGCCGCGCTTCGCGCGTTTGTAACTTGTAGACCAGAGAGTAGAGACACGTCACTATTCACTAATGGAGAATTACATATGTTTAAGTTTTTGTGCGCTTTATGATTATTAAAACGTGTAGAGAGATAAACTAAGGGATACAATTGAGGAGGCGATATTAGTGGACTTTAATGTCGTTTCTTTGTATTTTCAGAGAAACAAATTGTGGTTTGTTTTAAATGCCCTTGATAATACCTATTCCTTATATACAGGGTGACTGGTGAATTACTATCAATATTTAAGGAGAATACTCGGTACATGATTTTCATTCGAATTATGTAAAAAAATAGGTACTTAATTTTTGACCAAATTTCCGTATAAATAAATAAAGTGTAGACACGTTCCAAGTGTTCCAAGTGTGGACGCGTGCGGTGGCGTGCTGATACAACACCACGCCGCCGCACGCGTGTGTGTGTGTGTGTGTATACCTAATCTGTAGGGTGTTCACACGATGCGTAATTAATTACATAACTTTTGGTTAACTTTACTCAGAAGTTTATTAATATTTATGTTATATTAATTTTTATTTTGTCATATATGATCGTCAAATATCACGTCCTCAAGTATCGATAGTAATTCACCAGTCACCCTGTATATGTTATCAATAAATATGTACTTAGTTCAGATAAACTACTAGTTTTGTTTTCGTCATTTATTCGAAATGAATAGTAGAATGTTTACCTCGTGTAAAAGAATCAATTCCAATTCGGACCATAGTCTAACTACCTCGTAAATTGATTCTTTCCACCCTTGGTGAACAATCTACTATTCTATCTGACATTTATGTCGTATATTTATTATAAGTACATTTATTTATGTATCGTATATATACATATATATATTGTAACTATTTTTTTTATGTATTAAGTAATTTGTACACCCCTAACATCCTATCTCTCTCTACCAAAGGTTGCCTGGAAGAAATGGCTGTTTTAGCGATAAGGCCGCCTATTGTACATTTTTCTTTTCTTTGTTTTACTCCTATTTTTTTTTGTCTATCGGTGTGCAATAAAGAGTATATAAATAAATAAATTATTTGCCTTAATTTCCAGACACTTGTTCTATCATACGCCTACCACTGCTGCGAGTTCATGCCTCTCATGGAAGGAGGCTCGAGCTCGGCGTCGGTGGACTCAGCAGAGGAAGAAACTGAACAGTTCAGTGACTTGGTGTTACTACCGCCAGCACATGTTGACCTCGCCGCGTGGGCTAATGCTACGGATATTTGGCCACATTACCGTAAGCTAATAGTCTTAATTGCATCTTTTCTAATAAGACTGTATTATAATGATTATTTTTTATCATACAACAGTGAACGCGACAGGCGAGGGTAGTTCAAGACTCGCTGCAGTCGGCTGGGGTGACGTCAGCGCGGAGCTCAAATACAGCGGGAATCGACGCGTGCGCTGCTTACCACTGCCTGGTTATCATCTTATAAGTACTATATGTTATATTATTACATATATCGGCTCTGTTTATTAAAAGTGATGTTTTAAGGTCCGTTCCTGCCGTGTGTGGATCTATTCGACTGGTGGACGCTCCGGTGCGGCGTGTGGGCTGTGTTCCTGCTCGCCTTGTTGGGTAACGGCACCGTAGTATTCGTGCTCGTATTCAGTCGCAGTCGAATCGACGTCCCGAGGTTTCTGGTCACCAATTTGGCAGCAGCGGACTTCTTTATGGGCATCTATTTAGGTAATTAAATATAGACAGTAGCATGATAAAGTAAATTTTAATTATTGGTGTATTAATATTTTTATTTATTTCAGGTTTCTTGGCTGTGGTCGACGCGGGCACGCTGGGTGAGTTTCGTGCTCACGCTATAGCATGGCAGATGTCTGGCGGCTGCCGGCTCGCTGGCTTCCTTGGCGTGCTGTCTTCCGAGTTATCTGTGTACACGCTCGCGGTGATCACTCTCGAGCGTAATTATGCAATAACTCACGCGATGCACCTCAACAAGCGCCTGTCGTTGCGTCACGCGGCGGCGGTCATGGCGGCGGGCTGGGCCTTCTCCCTAGCGGCGGCCTCGCTCCCACTCCTCGGCGTGTCCGACTACCGCAAGTTCGCCGTGTGTCTGCCCTTCGAGACGAGTTCGCCCGCAGCACTCGGATATGTCGTTTCTCTGCTCATCATCAACGGATTTGCCTTCTTAGTACTCCTAGGATGTTATCTGAAAATGTATTGTGCCATCCGCGGCTCCCAAGCTTGGAACTCGAACGATTCACGCATCGCGAAACGTATGGCTTTACTCGTGTTCACAGACTTTTTGTGTTGGTCGCCCATAGCGTTCTTCGCGCTCACCGCCGCTTTCGGCGCTCAGCTCGTGTCTCTGGAGGAGGCGAAAGTGTTCACGGTGTTCGTGCTGCCCTTAAACTCTTGTTGCAATCCATTTTTATACGCCATTCTGACGAAACAGTTCAAGAAGGATTGCGCCCTGGTGTGCAAGGCCATCGAGGAGTCCCGCGTCACTCGAGGCATCGGTCGGTGTCGCCACTCCTCCAACTTCAGTAACCGCCAGACGCCCGCCAACACGAACAGTTTGAACGAGAGGTCGTCTCGCGGGCAGCACGGAGCGACGTGCGCGTGTAGACGGCTGCTACCTCCGGGCGGTGTCAGCGAGGGGAACACGTTACCCACCGAGCCCGGCGGTGAGAGATTATTACGCTGGCTGAGAGCGTGTGGTCGTCGCGCCACCGCCCCCGCGCCCCCCGCGCCCCGTCAGCCCCCCGCCGCCCCCGTACGGACCGGCTCCGTGTCTTCATCAGTGGAGTTCTCATCATCCCGATCAGATTCTTGGCGGACGTACGGCCGGCCTCCCCCGCCGCCGCGCCGCGCCGCGTCCTGGTTAGTCGCCAGGAAGACCTCACAGGACTCGAACCTTTCCTCGTCCAGAAATGATTCGTCTGGATCTAATGCGACCGCTTCGACGGGGACGTGGCGTACATCACGGTCGGGGGGTAGTGCGACGGCGGGGGCGGGGGGTGCGGTCGTGGCTAGCGGCGGAGGGGCGGGGGGTCGTCCGCGCCTCACTCGCCAGCCGGCCGTGATAGCAGACGAGCCACCCTTGTCTCCGGGAGCACTACCCGCCCCTCGCCTGCTACACACGATCCCTTCAGCGGCCGAGACCGAGGCCACGTTGGAGGAGCCTGACGCGCGCTGATCGTTCTCCACTCTGTTTAAACAGTGTCTTATCTTACCCGTCCAAATACGAAAGTTACATGACTCCCGGTTTCCGCTGACGCCTAAATAAATTTATCCAAGAAAATGTATAAATTTCGTCCGAAGACCACTTACTTGTTGTACAGTATTATAATCTAATTGTGTTTTTAATTTATCAACTGTTAATATATGTACTGACATTTAATTCAAAGAATGATGTAGAATTTTAATATCATATAACGACCGTTCCTGACATACACTATCAAGACAAATCAAAAGTTTCTCATGTTCGATATGTGGAGTGTGGGTCGATGTTTTTGTTTACTTGAAGTATTAATCGAATATATTTACCATAACAATTTGTTCAGCGTAAACATAGATAATATTTACATAGTGGAATTATTACATAGGTAAATTATTTATTAATATATTCACATTAATTCGTTTATAATGAGTGTTACAACTTTTTAAAGAGTTGATTAGAAACTAAGTGCTATTATTGTTGTTTAAAATTAAAAACGATATTAGAGTAATGCCTCCGAGGCGATGCAACAGTATTCGACTACAGTATATACGTACTGGTTAAATATTAAATATTAATAATTTATTACTTAGTTGTAAGTTGTATATTAAATATTAGAATAGATTTTATATTGTAGAAGGAATGATGTTACGGCTCCGAAGATACTTGAGATACCTTGAGACCTTGTGGGACCGTGTCAACCTCACTAGCTCTGCCGCCAGGGTCTGCCTGTCCCGCCCTGTCCCTCAAAGGCGAGGAATAAAAATGCGATCGTTTCATAGACAATAAATATTTTAAATGATTGCATTTAACCATCACAGAACAGTAAAACAGCATTATTTTATAATTAATTTATTACAAACATTACCGAGATTCCAAAGCGTAAGTGATAATATAATATACAAATACTAGTAATTATTTTTATTATTTATAATAAATTCGTCTATACTCGTCGCCGGCTTTCAGAATAATATATTTTCTATTATTTAGTAATTAGTTCCTAAGATTTATTTAATTAATAATATTTCAACGGTACTAATTAAGGAACAACCATAACAGATTATTAATACGTGTTTTTGCTCAAATCAAAGTATGTTATATTTGCAATATTTTGCTCGACGTTTTTGAAAAATGTATTTAATGCCGTAAATTTATTTATTATAAATAATGTTAATATTGATATTATATAAAATTAAAACCACGATTAAACATGACAAAGACACAACTTGTTGGTGTGACACAAAACTCTGGAAATATTTTTATGTAGAATGTATTTTTCCACATTGTACGAAGACCATTTAATAGATGTCAAAAATGTGATTATAATTTATAAGCGGTTACTGATCGTAACTGACTCATAAAATTATGTAATGTTAGGTAAATGTTAAGTTGTTTGTTTAAAATGTCGAAGTCAATAAAATATATTTAATAATTTATTATAAAATAAATTAAACATGTGAGCAACTGAGTTGTTTTTATGTTTCATTAAATCTTTTTTATAAAAATGAGACCTTTATGTATATTACACAATATGACGAGGTAAATTTAAATGTATTTTTTTTTCTGGTGTACAATTTCTTACAAAATTATAATAATTTTGGGAACTACCAACATATGTATATGTATGAATGTGCAGGCGACAAATATTCACTCATCCAACTTGGCTAAGACATTAGCTGTTTTTATATTCATAAATTATAGTAAAATCAAAGACACATTTAAAATCCTTTACTTTATAATTATTCTGTATATAATAATACAAATTGTATTCTTCTAGTAAGTAAAAAATAATTAAACCAGTAGTCACAGAAACATTAAACACATACAAGTATTAAAAAAATAAGATAAAAATAGGATTAACTACTCGTTAGTCAGTTATTATATCTAAACTTTATTCATTAACTAATAGATTGCTTCTATAGACACTTAATTTATATATATTTAAAATAAGAAAGTTACAGCGCAGGATTTATTAAAATGCATTATTAAAGAAATACAAACTACTCTCATTATTATCAGTTAGGAGAAAATGACATTATCTCGTACAGTTGAACTAATTAAATACAAATAAAAGATGCCTAAACTATTATTTGACAAAACTTTTATGAAATAATAGAATATGTACGAGAAACAACGAGAGTTTACAATTATAATGTAATGTATGAGACAGTTAATACGACAAAGAATAAAGTGAAAGTCATACAACGATGTCACGGCGAACAGCTCACACAACATACTACTGGCGCCCTCTGACGGGTTAGACCATGTATATCCTAATATTATAAATGCGAAAGTAACTCTGTCTGTCTGTCTGTCTGTTACGCTTTCACATCTAAACCACTGAACTGATTTTAATGAACTTTGGTACAGACAGTTGACCTTGAGTAAGAACATAGGATAGTTTTTATCCCAGACTTTTGAAAGGTTCTCTTGGAAACGCGATATAACTGAACACGCGGGCGAAGCTGCGGGCGGAAAGCTAGTTTGTTATAAAAATGAAACACCTGAATAATACGAATAGAAGTATACTTTTAAATACTCAAAGCCGTTCGAAGTGACATCGTTTGTAAACTACGGGTTCTTACAAGACTCGCTCCGTGGACAACCAAGTGTCATGACATCACAGATATCAAACTAAAATGTATCGATATATTCGTCATAAAAATATATTTTCCTAAAAACGAATGAAATCATAGAACATTAACGTTTATGTTCATCTTTCTATCAAAAGATTAAAAATCGAAAACTAGTACTTTATTCCAAATTAAAGATGTATATGGCTAGGTTCACGAAGGTGCTGCGGGGAGAGGTTCGGAGGAAGCTCTTGATGTAGAAATAGAAGGATCTAGAGAAGCGGCGTGCGATACTGAGGACTGAGGTTCTTTGTGAAGAGACTCGCGAACACGACGACGACGAAACTCGAAAAATTGACGCTGGAGTTGAGAACTACAGTCGGATGAACTGACAGCAGCCTCCACACTCCTTACACTACTGACTACACTACTGCCGCACGCGTCCTCAGTCTCTAAGTTTTCATCCACCTCCTGAAAATGTACGGTATATCGTAAGAGGAGCTCACTTCATCTTTATATATATATAATTCTTCTGTGAGTGTGTATGTCACTGAACTTCTCTCAAACGACTGAACCGCTTTTGATGACTTTTTGTGTGTGTTCAAGGAGATCTGGGAATGGTGTAATTCACAATTTTGTCCGCTGGACAATTTCTCTTTGATAAATTTTTAATTTATTAGTAGTTGTCGATACAAACGTTTTTTTTTTGACATTAGATTTGACAACTAACTAATATGTCAATCATTCTGTCACACTTCAAAACATTGAGATTTATGGCTTTAATAGGTAAACTCCAAAAATATAAATAAAAAAACGTAATAGATTCTTGATTATAGAGCGATACGAAGTTCACCGGGTCTTCTAGTATTACTATAGGCGTGGACCTATAACGTCACCTTGATCTCCGCGAAGGTGACCGGCATGGTGCGGTGTCTCTGGCGTGAGACTCGCCTCCAGCGACCACCGCGAGGATACACGGCGTCCATTATACACGAGCGAACGATCTTAAATGAAATGCTAATTTAGGACACGGAAACATACTCATAGCCATATTAATTAGAATCACCAATGAAATTTGGGTAACCACACGCAAAATATCAACAAAATCCAGGAATCTTTAATCATTTTGGTACTCACTTATTATTCTCTGAATGTTGATGTTAATAATAGTTTATAGGAATAATATAATTATAATATAGTTTACTTTAAATACAAACCAGTATTCACAGCTCTAACGCGAGACGAACCACTTTTCACGGAACACATACAGCGAGACTCAGAAGCACGTCAAGATGTCGGTACTAGATACCTACATGTTACTTCAATATTTCTTTAGTAAGATTTAATCGAATTCTAATAAAATATCTACGGTCAGAATCGTTATTTTTTCTCGCTAAAACATCATGTTTTGGTGTGTGACCGCGTTCCGGCGGCTCCTGGCTCGCTTCCAACACCCCCCTCCCCCCGACCGTCACGGCCGTCTTGTGTAAACAAACAAAGCCGATAAACATAACAAAAAAAACATTATCAATAACTACAGTTATTTCAGCATCACAAGTATTCGTTGTTTGTGTTTAAAATGTATCAGTATGAAATCATAACTGAAAATTCAGAATTCAATAACAATCTCGAATATATATCGCTGAAAACCATAATTGTTAATATGATTGAAAATTAAAAAAAAAACGATTTTTTATTTACTTAGTTTTGTACTCACTGAAATTAAAACTCTATTCTTATAATTAACATTGAATAAAAATGTTTCAAGAACAGAACGGACGTGTATAATGACAGCTAAAATATTCGTTAATTGAATTATCGTCTTTACCTATACCTAAATCCCATTGCAATGTTTTAGCTTTTAAAATTCTAATAAATTTTCTTCCTAATTCTCTTAACGTCAATTCTGATTCTGTTGTAAGGCTTATTATTACGATTATTATATAGGTACTTCAATTAAACAAATTTACACATTTTCATCTTTGGTAGAGGCCTATGTCCTGTAATGAATGAATGAAAAAGTGTATGAATGAATGAATCAATGAATGAAACACATTTCCTTTTTTCTGTCATGTGTATAATTTCCTCTTGTACATTTTATAAAAATGATTATTATATGTAATTGAACAATAGTGAACGGTATGGTACGGTTCAGAGGCTGAAGATATTATAAATATGTGTGTGTGTATACCTAATCTGTAGGGTGTTCACACGATGCGTAATTAATTACATAACTTTTGGTTAACTTTACTTAGAAGTTTATTAACATTTATGTTATATTAATTTTTATTTTGTCATATATGATCGTCAAATATCACGTCCTCAAGTATCGATAGTAATTCACCAGTCACCCTGTATACGTGTCGTATTCATGCATATTATGACGATAACAACTTTAATAACTTTTTGAATCGTTATATCTCAGAAACGGTGGCTCGTAAGAAAAAAAGTTAGATACATTTGTTGTAGATAATTTTATGATCTATAATTTTTGTCTGAGGTACTTTTCTGATAAAACTTACCGTTTTGCTGAAAATCGCGAAAAACTCATTTTTTTGACCTTGAATAAATTTTTTTCCACACACGGGAATGATGGGGAACTTTCAGCTATTGTTTATAATCGTGTTTTGAACAATTCAGCTTGTTGCGAGTTTATGTAGCAACGAATGTCTAATTTGACCGGACCAAGATGTCACTAGCCACCAGTTTCATCGCGCAAGCAAAATGTTTCACGTTCATTACGTATACCCAACGTATTTCTTCTAATGTTTTAAGTACGGTGTATGTCCAAGGAGCATTGGTGTTTACATGGAAGACACGTTACGCTGTTATGTTGTTCATGATTTCATGATAATGGCCGGTTGAAAGGAAACAGATTTTTTTTTTGGGTCTTATTTAGTAATTCGAATTTCACCCTCTTCCTGTCTACCGATTAATCTGAAATTTTGTATACACTTTGGATATTGGTGACGATACAATTATGTTTACTCATTAGTCATTATAAATTCAAGATGGCCGCCGCTACAAAATGGCGGATAAATTATGTTTTACTAATCATATCAATATGGGTATCAAATGAAAGTACTCAACCAGTAGAATAAAAATATATAAAAATAGGTAAAAAAACTTTTTAAGTTAAACGGTTTTACGTTAAAAAGTACAAATATACTTATCTGAGAATAGAATAAAGATATTTTTTGTCTTATGACTTAGTTATACATTTTTATAACAATTAATTCAACGTATCGATTACTTCTACGCCAAGGTAATAAAGGAAATATATAAATTAAAAATTTGATTTGTCAAGTCTTGAGAAATCTCTAAAACTGTAAGAGTTTTAATATTGAAACACTTTTGGAGATATTCATTAAACTGCTCTTTGACTTGGAAACTTCGCAGCATTAATATTAAGAGACTTAATAAGAAACTAATATGAAGGCGCATTTAGACTCATTCATATTATAATTTGGTTATTTTTTCAATTGGATATTAAGATAGTGCGTTATCGGAAATTGGAATTGGCAAGCTGCATATTCGTCTATAGAAATACAATTGTGCACTCTTAGTTCGAAATATAAATCTATTATCTATCATCAGGAATAAATTCGACTCTAGAAATTTAAAAGAGAAATTACTTATTATTCAGGAAAAAGCTTAACACTTTAAACTTCTTAAATTGTGAAATGCCATGCTTACTGTTGACTTCATGTAAACATAAAATTTCAAATTTGACGCTGCAACGAAACTCTTAGGCCTCGGCCTCGAATCTCGCGGGTAGCGGGGCGGCAGCGGCAGCGGCGCGCCAAGGGGGCGGGCAACGCATACCTGTTCTCGAAACTAGCGGGCAGATCGCGCGGCACTATAGCGGTGTAGTGTTGTGTTCGTGGTTGTGTTGTCGAGATATTTGTTTTATTCGCGAACAAAATGTCTGAAAAAAGGCGACATCTTTATGATTCGAAATCATTCCTAATGCTCGATTTATTGTGGGCAAAAGAAGAAGTGGATCCCTACTATAGGGCAAGGAAAATAAATGGCGAGTTTTATCGAAACTATGAAGAACAGAGACAAAATCCCGACAGATTCTACGACTACACCAGAATGAGTGTAGAAACATTTGACTATATTCTTGAAACTATCAAGAGTGATTTAGAGTCTGGAATTAATTCAAAACGATTTAGATCTATATCTTTTAGAAATTGTGTTGCACTAATTTAGTAAATCAGTGTATACTCTATATAACGACAACAATTAAGTAATAAAAAATACCTTTTAAGTGGCTAAAATTAGTAAAAACTGCGCAGCTGTGTACGCTCTTTTGTCGCTTTGTTATCCTAACCCGCAATAAACTCGACAGTCATACCGAACTTTCTAAGAAATTTGTTCCATTGTTTACAATTACAAATTGCTTACACGTGAAAAATTAATAATAAATATTGTATTTGACATAATAAATCATTATTATATTTACCTTCAATATTCAGTTCGTTTTTTATTTCTTCCCATAATTGGTTAATTCATCTTCTATTTTTATGGTTCACATCTTTGCTGTTCCATAAGGGTGTCCTCTCAAAGATTGCCGAAATAATTTGCTCTTGCACGTCCGAATACATTTTGATACGTCACAAAAAAAAATTACAACACTACAATGCAGACGCGCAACGCGGGCGGTCACCGCTTCACTGGAGTGCACCCGTGCACCGCTCGTTGCCCGCCCCCGCCCTGCTTCTGCACCGCTGTATTCGAGGGTCGGTCCATTTGATTATACGCGTATGATCTTGCCGCTCCCGCTGCCGCCCCGCTACCCGCGAGTTTCGAGGCCGAGGCCTTAAGCTTCGAGGTAATTTCAAAAGAGACGAAACCTCAGCATTCCATGGATTCGCGGTGCAGGTGCCGGGTCCTTCGCAATATAACTTTGATTAAATACGTAAAAACTTGAAATACTTTCTGAAATTAAATGGTTCGAAGAGACCCAGAAGAATTCTACAGTTATCAAAGATTTGGTATTGAATTTCTTTTTTTAAATATTTGATATACATAGGCTCGGTACCATCTGCTCAAAAAAAAAAAGTTTTCTCTTTATTTTTAATTTAGTTTCTTTTAAATGTAGATAAAAGTATTTTTTTATCTTATATGTACTAGGATATTATTATTTCCTTTTGATTTGTTAGAATTTAATAATCCTATTTTGTCTATATTATATTATTTTTAAATTAATTTTTAGAAATTAAGATTTTTACATATAAACAAATATTTTTTTTAGAAAAAAATATTTCTTCTTTTAAACATTGTTTATTCATTGTAAATAAAATTTAAATTAAAATCTTCTCTTCTTTCATATAAATTGAAATTACTTCAATGTTATATTAGCTGTATATATTTTAATTTTTGTCTATAGGTTTGACATGACGACTATTCTTGACATTTATAAATATGAATTAAAGTGTCACTTCGTGAATATTAAAAGTCGGGTTAGTATAAAAACTTGTATCATTTTGACGAAATTCTCGACGAGGTATTTGAATTTCACACAAATTTTAAAGGCAGACAGGAAAAACCCGCTTTGACAATGAGTTATATGCTGGGACATTTACACAACGGATGGCAAGTAGACCAAGCAATTTTGTCTGAAGAAGATCGCGTAGTTGTAAGTGTTCATCCACTTCGACAATATTCTGTTTCTGTAACAATTATATTTATTGTAGCTCTAATTGACTTTTTTTATTAAAAGGTGATAAGATTTGGACATGACTGGGACCCTACCTGTATGAAAATGGACGAAGTGTTGTATAGTATCGCGGAAAAAGTAAAGAATTTTGCTGTCATCTACCTGGTGGACATCACTGAGGTTCCAGATTTTAATAAAATGTAAGGCCATTCCTTTATAATCTAACATGTCTGCCTTATAAGAGATATATAAAGAACCATTTTTGATATGTTGCAGGTACGAGTTATATGATCCCTGCACGGTGATGTTCTTCTTTCGTAACAAACACATTATGATAGATTTGGGCACCGGTAACAACAATAAGATCAATTGGCCTCTAGAAGACAAACAGGAGATGATCGACATCATCGAGACAGTGTATCGTGGTGCTCGCAAAGGCCGTGGTCTTGTAGTGTCGCCTAAAGACTATTCAACTAAATACAGATACTGAATTGTTTCTTACACTTATAGACTTGTTCTGTAAATGGATATGATCTCATAATACTCTTCACCGAGTAGAGATGGAAGGTGCCTGCTGCCTTGCTTGACGGACATTGTTAAAATGAACAAAGTAGCATTCTACTGAGACATGATAAAGTAACATATCAAATTGCTTTCGTTGTCAACATCAAATGAACTTGTTTACATTTAGTTGTATTATAAAAATTACTATTTTAATTAAAATAAATTGTAAATAATTCTACCTGAAAGTTTTTTCTTTAAGCAAATGCCAGATATTTTGAAATACTTGTGACTTCTTAACCAGTAAGACAAAGTAAAAAGAAGACAGATAGTTGATCTTATAAATAAACAATACAAAGTTACCCAATGTTGATCCTAATTCCAAAATTGGAAATTTTCTGTGTTCTTGTAGGTCCACACTTGCTTGTAGACATTCAAAGGTATAAGCAACACTTGATTAAAATGTTTAAGTGATAAAGTGATCACATATATGTAGTAACAAAGTTTGTCAATAGATGGCGTTAGCCGTCCTTGAGATCAAACTATCGAAGTGTCGTTTTATGTTCCTTAAGTAACCGTGGTTTTTTTTGTATTGATTGAGTTCCAGTTTAATACGAGTGTAATAAACGAGTGATTAATATACGTGTGCAGTCAACGAGTGTTTCATTTCAGACACCTCTTTACTAATTGATTCTTTATTTCCTACTAATTCAATGACTTAGGAAATTAGGAATGTACATTGTCTGATGCATTTAGAACCAAATCTATATATATAAAAATGTATCCCTTTTTCTCTTGGTCACATCACGCGTGAATGGCTGGACCGATTTAACTGATTCTTTTAATTGTATTTGTTATTATTAGGAGAAGGTTCTTATGTAAGAAAAACATGTATTTTACTAGAAAAAAAACTTATAGAATATTTCACTTTTTTATTAAAAAGATGTGTCAGTCGCAGTAATATTCACGTAGTTTGAATAAAGCATCAGAATAATAATCACTTTGTTTTTTAATAATTTTGAACTATTAGAATTAGAATTTTTAAGCAATAAGAATTTAATAACCACTTTTAAGAAGACAGAACAGTCTGTCGGGTCAGTTATATTTAATAAAGAAATTAACTTTATTCAGATAAAAAGGTAACAGATATTTCTCGATTATAGGGCGGTGCGAAGTTCTTCGGGTCAGCTAGTACTGAATAAAAATTTGAGGATAATCATCAAATCCATAAAGATCTGTGTTTAATATCTTATCTTATATCTTTAAATGATCAATTCTTGTATATATAATCTCGGAATCGGCTCTAAGGATTTTTATGAAATTTAGTATGTAGGGGCGGTAAATCGATCTAGCCAGGAATCATTTTTAGGAAATGTTATTATATAAAATAACGAAAAGGATGCGTTTGAGTAGTCCCAATTTAAAATAAGACTCTTCCTGACATCTATTGTCGAATAATAATACTTTTTGCTAATTCCTTTTACTAATTACTTTAACGACACAACAGCAGATGGCGTTGTTAAGTAACAGGAAGTCATTGTGTTTGTTTTGAAGTTACACTACATTGCGTTACATTAAAAATCTGTCCGATTAATTATTATCATTATTAGAACCATCGTCCTTGGAATTATTTTTTTTTTACTATTCATCCTTTAGTTCTGTTGTTTATGTAGTTCAATCTTTATAACATTATTTAAGGAATTTTATTCTTTCCTTGGATTCAATTATGTATTATTACTTTAATTTCACAATGTTATAATGATTTTATGAGTAATAGTAGTTGAAACAAATCTCTCTATAAGCTACTAAAAGACTTGGGCCTGTCCAGAACTCGCATTAATTCATTCTTGGATCGTACTTCAAAGGCAGCCCTAGCAGGTTCTTTTCAAATTTGGTAGAAAGAGGAGTTTGGAGCGGTTACTTAAAGTGTGCAATTAAGATTATGTTGTTTTTGATTACCCACTCCTGTTGAAAGTTATTATACAGTCCATTGCTTTTGTTTAATTATGTTTATAAGTTAGTTACAATTAAAGAGTCATAGTAAATACACGTCGTTTGAGTTTTAAAAAAATCCCGATTAAATAAAATCAACTTTAAGTCTAAACATTTTGGTCCATAATCGAGCGGATCGTAATACCGGCTGACGAGCGACCGTAGCCCGCGAGAACAAAAGACTTTACCTGAGCTCATTAGCTAACGATCGAGATAAGATATTCATTTGTCCAGTTTAATTTTTCATATTGAGATTTGTGTAATAAGTGCAAATATTAATAAGTGAGTTGTGTTCTTCTATAAACTTTTACATAAAACTTATCGAGTGAGTGTTGTGCCACGTGCTGGCCACTGAAACGGACATTTTGAATATCTGCGAGAGTGTAATACTTATTAATCGGGATTAAGGCGGTAACTATAACATTAAAATGGAGGCGCATTTTTCTATACAAGACGAGCTATTAAATAATTTGAAAAAAGCTGAGAAAAATTATAAAAAAACAGCTAAAGAGAAAATCAAACGTTCTTATATACAAACCAGATTAGAGATATTGGAACAGTTGTTTTGTGATTTTAAAAATGAACACAAGGCGATTATTTCGAGCGCCTCTGTGGATAAAAAAGAATCGTACTTCACCGAGGGGAAGTACGAGATGTTTGAGGAGATGTACGTGCAATATAAAACTATTTTACGAGAAGCGTTAGATCAGTGTTCGACGCCACGTGCTGATATCTCGACAGCATATAATACAACAGGACATAGTACATGCAGTGAAATTAAATTACCGCGCGTACAAATACCCAGTTTTGGTGGAAAATATGAGGAATGGCAGACCTTTTATGACATGTTTTCCTCATTAATACACAACAATATCAATATTTCGGCGGTTCAAAAGTTTCATTATTTAAAAAGCAATTTGAGTGGAGAAGCATTAAATCTTTTATGTAATTTTGCAATAACTGAAGCAAATTATGAAGAAGCGTGGTCACAGTTAATTCGTCGGTATAATAATAAGCGTTACAATTGCAATGCAATAATGAGAACATTGTTTGGAATTAAGAAAATTCAACTTGAATCGGCCTTTTCCATAAAACAGTTACTAGACACTACATGCACCTGCTTAAAATCTTTACAAAATATCGGAATAAAAACTGAGACCTGGGATGTAATTATCGTTCATTTGGTTATTTCAAAATTGGACAGTGAGTCAGTAAAACAATGGGAACAACATTTATCTGCATTTCATAGCAACGAGTTACCTACTTGGACACAATTGAGAGATTATTTAGAGTGTAGATTCAGAACTTTAGAGATGATTAATTCTAATAGTGTGCGTACGCCGCAACCGATGGCTGCCATAAAATCAAAATCTTTCCATATGTCGGTGGACAATAAGCCAAAAATAAAAGAGATTGAGTGTCCCTTATGCCATGAGGGCCATTACTTATATCATTGTAATCGTTTTGGACAAATGATACCTAAAGAGAGACAAGAGTTCGTGCAAAACAAGAAATTGTGTTTCAACTGCTTCTCACCGACTCACGCTGTAATTAAATGTCGTCAATCGTCGAGTTGTAGAAAATGTGGACGGAGACATCACACCATGCTACATTTTGAAAGAGAGAGTAATCAGGATCCTGTGAGTTCATCAGTGAGTCAGCGGCTGCCTGCGGTCACCGTGTCATCGAATTCTCATACAACACAACACCAGAGAGCGAGTACAACACAAGGTGAAACAAATATTACTGCTGCATTTTCTAGAGGGGATGTGCAGCCTAGTAACGTACTACTGGCGACGGCTACAGTCAAGGTATTTCATTCCAATGGTAGTAATCAAATAATTCGAGCTTTGCTTGACCAAGGGTCACAAGCATCTTTTATTACTGAGTCGACTGTGCAATTGTTAGGCTTAAAACGCAAACCTGTAAATGGTTGGGTGTCAGGGTTGGGAGACGGTCGTATGAAAGTTAAATATATGGTTTCATTACGTTTAAAATCATGTCATAACTCAATTAATAACGTTTACGTTAATGCTTACATTTTACATTCTTTAACGTCACTGCTTCCGACAGCCAATATCAGCCCGCTTAATTGGACAGAAGTACACAACCTACCTTTAGCGGATCCTACCTATACACTGCCAGGTAAGATTGATATTCTATTAGGTGCGGATATTTATAGCGAGATACTACTGGATGGAATCATTAAGCACCCAGAGTGTAACATAGTAGCACAGAACACAATATTCGGATGGATTTTATCAGGTAGAATAACGAGAAAATGTAACGAGTTGGCAAAAGATGATCTTATTAGTCTACATTTGCATGTAAATGAAGATGACTTACTGAAACAATTTTGGGAGATGGAAAATGAACCTAATATTATACGGAAAGAAATGAGTGATAGTGAGAAGGCTTGTGAAAGGTTTTTTGATTTGACTACAAAAAGAGATAGAGATGGGAAATTTATTGTGAGACTTCCTTTTACTACCAATGATCCTCAGTGTCAATACGGTAATTCTAGAGAGAAAGCGATGAAGAGATTAGTATATTTGGAGAAAAACCTGTCAAGGGATTTAAGATTGAGGGAAGAATATAATAAAGTAATGAAGGAATATTTGAGTTTAAATCATCTGAGGCCATTAAATGAGAATGAGTTACATAATCCTAGAGCTACTTATCTTGCTCATCATCCTGTGGTGAGAGAAGATAAAGAGACGACCAAAGTGAGAATAGTCTTCGACGCGTCAAGCAAGGATAATAATAACGTGTCATTGAATGATGAGCTTCTCATTGGCCCGCGGTTACAGCAAGATTTAAGACATCTCTTAATGAGATGGCGAACCCATAAAATTTGCATCGTAGCAGATATTATTAAAATGTATAGGATGATTTGTGTGGCTGAAGAAGATACCGACTACCAGAGAATAGTGTGGAGATTTCATCCCTCAGAACCCATTCAAGATTACAAATTACTGAGATTAACATTCGGTACGGCATGCGCACCGTATTTAGCCGTTAAGGTTTTACAGAGACTAGCTAATCTAGAAGAGTCTAGGTATCCTATAGCAGCGAAGATAACAAGAGAGGATTTCTACATGGATGACCTCATGACAGGTGTAGACGATATTTCGCAAGCTGTTCGTGTATACCATGAGATGAATGACCTGATGAAATCTGGTGGCTTTGAACTTCAGAAATGGAACAGTAATGATGATGAATTTTTGCAAAAGATAGGGAGAAATGGAACGGCCGAAAGATCAAGCTGTCTTAAAATAAATGACACTATCAAAATACTAGGATTGACTTGGAATAGGAAGAGTGATAATTTTGAATTTGTACCTAATTTACCTGAGTTAAGAAGTCCTCCTACAAAAAGAAATGTAATATCTGATATAGCGAGGTTGTACGACCCTTTAGGTTGGATTGCTCCAGTTGTTATTAAGGCTAAAATTCTAATACAGAAGTTATGGAAATGTGGTCTTCAATGGGATGACAATCTTACACCGGAACTTAGTGAAGAATGGTTAAAATTCAAACAAGATTTAACTGATCTTAAGAATACAAAAATACCAAGGTGGCTTAATATGTCATTGGACTCTAAAGTCGAATTACATGCATTTTGCGATGCGTCAAAATCAGCATTCGCAGCAGCAGTATACATTAGAGTAATAGATAATACAAATTTAGTGCATGTTCATTTAATAACGGCAAAGACACGAGTTGCTCCAATCGAAAAAGAAATTTCCATCCCAAGACTGGAACTTTGTGGTGCTACATTAGCAGCTAAACTAATTTTTGAAGTGGCTCAAGTGATGGGAATAGGTAAAGATAAATTATATGGCTGGACAGACTCCACTGTAGTCTTAGCGTGGCTTAAGGGCGGCTCTAGCCGATGGGCAACCTTTGTCAGTAATAGAGTATCTACTATCTTAAATATAATGGATTATCAACAATGGAATCACGTCTCCACAGAGCAAAACCCCGCTGACTGTGCGTCTCGTGGGTTAAAACCTATAGAGTTACTTGACCATACACTATGGTGGCGAGGACCACATTGGTTAAGAGAGCCATTTTTATACCTAAAAATAATATTACTATTGAAGACACACAAGAAGAAGAAAAAGTAAGAAGTTTGACAGCGTGTAATACACAGAGTGAAGAAGACTTTATTTGGGTTAATTTTTCTAATTTAGATAAAATGTTGAGGGTGATATCGATTTGTCGAAGATTTCTTAACTTGCTATTGCCAAAACATGAACGGAGAAAGTTACCAGGACACGTTACTATTGATGAAATAAATAAGACTCTACAGGTATGCATTAAACAAGCTCAAAGTTTTGAATATCAACAAGAAATGAAGCAGATACAATTACAAGGAGAAATATCTAAGAAGAGTGGTCTTTACAACTTATACCCATTTTTAGATAAAAATGGGATTATGAGGGTTGGAGGACGTTTAGAACAGGCTGATATAAGCTATGACATGAAACATCCAGTGATTATTCCTGCTAAGAGTCACCTTAGTAGGTTATTAGTCTCTGATGCTCATGAGAAAACCATGCATGGCGGACCACAGCTTATGCTAAATTTCTTAAGAACACACTATTGGATAGTTAGAGCAAAAGAGTTGGTAAAGAAACATTACAGAAAATGTGTTATATGTCTTAGGTACTCAAAGGCATCAAATCAGCTTATGGGTCAACTTCCGGGAGTGAGGCTAAAGCCTAGTAAACCATTCAAATCCGCTGGAGTTGATTATGCGGGTCCCATAAATATAAGATTTTCTCCTGGACGAGGTGCTAAGTCATATAAAGCATATATATGTTTATTTATATGTATGGTTACACGTGCCATTCATTTAGAAGTGGTTACGGATATGAGTGCAAAGGCATTTATTGCTGCTTTTCGACGCTTTGTCTCGAGACGTGGTCACTGTCAAGATCTTTACAGTGACAACGGTACAAATTTTGTTGGAGCCGAGAAACAACTATATGAAATGTTCCACAACGCCCGTTCTGAGTTACCGAGTGAGATATCACGTTTGCTAACATTTGAGAACACAAGGTGGCATTTTATACCACCTCATGCTCCAAATTTCGGAGGCCTCTGGGAGGCAGGGGTTAGGTCTGTCAAAACTCATTTACGTAAAGTTATTGGGGATAGCACGCTGACTTACGAAGAATTATGTACAGTATTGACGCAGGTGGAGGCTTGTCTAAACTCGCGTCCTTTATCCGTTCTTTGTGACGACATTAATGACCCACTCCCACTGACACCAGGTCATTTTTTGATAGGAGAACCCATTCTTAATGTAACTGATATTGATTATTCTGATAAAAAATGTACTGGTCTGGAAAGATGGCATTTAACTCAAAAAATGGTTAACGATTTTTGGAAAAGGTGGTCGAAAGAATATTTGTTAACTTTGGCTAATAGATATAAGTGGAATAAGAAAAACCCAGAGCCTGACATAAATGATGTAGTAGTGTTAAGAGACGATTTTTTGCCACCCTCTAAATGGCTCTTAGGAAAAATTGTTAATAAACATCCTGGCCGTGATAATATCACAAGAGTCGTTACCGTAAAATGTAAAAATGGATATGTTAAACGTCCACTTCATAAAGTTTGTGTTTTAACAAAATAAATATGATATTGTCACGGTGGGCGGTTATAATTTGCAATGTATTCAATGTTTGTTTATGTTTCTATAGTTTTATATAATTATAGTTTTAGTATTGTTACTTAAAGAACTATGTTCTTTGGTGGGCGGAATGTGCAATTAAGATTATGTTGTTTTTGATTACCCACTCCTGTTGAAAGTTATTATACAGTCCATTGCTTTTGTTTAATTATGTTTATAAGTTAGTTACAATTAAAGAGTCATAGTAAATACACGTCGTTTGAGTTTTAAAAAAATCCCGATTAAATAAAATCAACTTTAAGTCTAAACATAAAGCGATCACATATTATTGTTCCATGTAGATTAAAGATATGAGCCGTCATCCAAAAACTATCGCTTAGAAATCAGAATATAAGTTAAAAGAGAAAATGATTAATTTTAAAGGTCCTTGCTAAAACTTAACACTGGTATGAGGGAGGCCGAGGCGGAGGAAATGAAACGAATCACGTGCGTTGTTATTGTTTTACAACATCAGATCTCATACAACAGAACGGTCAGGTCGTCTTGAGGAGTCTCGTCACAAAAAAACTTAAACTTAATCTGCACAATCCACTCGCTAAGGGGAAGGTGTGTACGGAAGAGGCGGCGCGGGCGGCGGGGAGCGTGACTAGCGCCGCCGCGCGGGGTCGCTCGCGGGCTAGGGCCGGTCGGGCTCCTCGCGACGAGGGTCGGCGGGGCGCCAGTCGTGAGGAGCCGGCGCCCAGATGGACGCCAGGGAACGGAACGGGTCGTACGAGCGAGGAGGGGGCGGCTCCGGGGGGGAGAAGCCAGGAGGGGGGCGCAGGCCGGCCGGGGACCACGCGGTCCACGAGCCGCCCCACACCGACCCGCTCACCGCGCCCGCAGAGAACGATGGAGCTTCATCTGAGAAGGACAAGAGATAGATAGTTGTAGCAAACATAATAAAAAGGTAATTTGAAGCTTCAACTTTCTTGTGTCTGAGATAGGGGTGACCAAAAAGGATTCGATTTACGTTTACTCAAAGTTTGACAGCTCAGAATTTGAATATTTTTTTTTATTCTTAGATCTTTTCATCAGATTCACAAGACATAATATTATTATAAATAATCTTAGTTACAATGTAATAACGACAGAATGCAACTGTTAACTATAATGATAACACTGTGTGTAGGAAACTCACCGATGAAGTCTCTAGCGGCGGGAACGAACGCGGGCCGGTCGGCGGACACCGGCGGGCGCCACGAGAACTCGGGCTCCGGCCGGGGCGGAGTCTCCGACGTGCCGTTGAAGTAGAACAGGGAGTTGTCGGCCGGCCGCTCGGGCTCCCGGCGCCGCACGTCCGACCCGATGGGCGCCAGGGGCGGAGCGCGGGACGCCACCACCGAGCTCCACGACGCGCCCCACCGCAGGCCGCGAGCCTCGCCCGCCTCCGCTGGAGCTCCGGGTGCGCCGAGCCCGCCCGCCGGGGACTGCGGCGGCGGGCTCGGCTGTCTCCGCTCCCCGCGCCGCTTGGAGGCGCGCTCCTTACGTGTGTGTCTCGCAGGCACCGGCCGCCGCTCGCCGTCCGCGGGTCTCGAGCGCTCGGTCCGCCGTGAAGTATCCGAAGCCTCCCGCCGCGGCCGCGCGTCCCTGGTGGCGGTCTCTGCTGGTGGTGAGCGCGGTATCGGTCGTACGACGGGCGTCGCGACGGGCGCCTCCTCCGGCCCGTCCGTGGGTGAGTCGTCCCGCGGGTCGGGCTCCACGTCTCCTCCGTAGGGCTCGTCGTCCCGGTCCTCGCCCGGCGTGGAGGTGTCGGAAGCCGTTGAGTTGGGTTCTTCGTCGGCGGCGGGCGACTCCTCCTCCTTGGTCGGCTCGTCCTCCGCCCGCTCCAGGTCGGGTCCGGGTCCAGGCGGCCGGTCGTCGGGGGGGCGCTCCGTGGAGGTCACGGGGGGGACTTCGTCGAGGTCCACGTCCTCGCTGGAACGTGACGAGTCGTCGTCTCCGCGCAGGACGCCGGCCCGCCAGCGCTCAAAGGCGCGGCGCTCAGCGCGAGGGTCCAGCGAAGGCAGCGGTCGGCGGGTGGAGCGGCGGCGGCGGGGAGGTGCGCGGGGGACGGCGGGGGCGGGGGGCGGCTCGGCGGCCAGGCGGCGCAGGTCCAGGGGGGCGGAGCGCGGCGGCGGGGCGGGGGCTCGGGCGGCGCGCGCTCTCCTCAACAAGCGCTCGGCGTCCAGCGCTCCGGCGCCCAGCACGAGAGCGAAGGCCGCGATGGAGACCAACACACAGACACCTCTCATCATACCGTCCCAGGGCGGACGAGGGGTCTTGGCGGCACACTTAGCGAGCACCTTCGCGGGGACGGTCGCCAGTAACGTGAACTCCACGGGACCTGCGGATGGTCGTCGGCTTTAGCAAATCTGTTTACAAATAAGTGATAGGTGTCGACGAAAGAGGAATAAGGGTAGTCGATAACACGTTTTAAAAGATCAAGTTGTCTTAATTGTTATGCCACAATATGTCAATCTGATGTATTGGGAATGAGATTAAATCAAAGTCAAAATCAAATTACATTGGATCAGAAAAACTATATACAAAAGGTATTAGATCAATTTAATATGACTGATTGTAAACCTGTTGGTACACTCCTGGAGTGTGGCATTAAGCTTGAAAAAGGAGACCAAACAGATATGGATTCCAAGTATAGAAGTTTTAGTGGGATGTATCATGTATCATGGCTATGCCATTTGTACTAGACCTGATATAATGCATGACGCAAGCTTGCTCAGCCAATTTAATCATTGCCATTCTGATACACACTGGAAAGCAGCTAAACGTGTATTGCGATATCTTAAAGGGACTATTAATTATAACATTGTATATGAGAAATCTTCATTATGTGTTACAGGATATATTGATGCAGATTGGGCTTCCAATCATCTTGATCGTCGCTCATATACTGGTTATGTATTTAAGCTAGGAAATACAGCAGTGTCATGGGAAAGTCGAAAACAAAGAACTAACGCTCTATCAAGCACTGAAGCGGAGTACATGGCATTATTTGAAGGATCAAAGGAGGCTCAATTTCTTAGAAATTTTCTTTATGAATGTTTAGGTAAACATTTATCAGTAACTTTGTTCAATGATAGTCAGTCAGCACAAAATATTTGTAAAAGTCATGTTAATCATACTCGTAGTAAACATATTGATATTAAACATCATTTTGTACGACAAATTTTAAAGGATAAAATTGTAATGTTAAAACATTGAGCTACTGAAAATATGCCAGCTGATGTGTTAATTAAATGTTTGAGTGAAGATAAACATTTTAATTGCGTAAGAAATTTTGATTTACATATTTTCTAGTTTAAGGGCAGGAAATTTAAGTGTTTAGTTTAAGGGCAGGTGTTGGAACTAGTACATATAAGCCAAACATATAAATTGTCTTAATTGTCTTTGCCACAATATGTCAATCTGATTGTAGTATAATCCCTTGTGTCAACCGTTTTGCACTGTGTGGTATCATCTTAATAAATCTGTGCATATCAATGTAATCCATTATTATTTTCGCCCAATTCCATCACGGATGACATTTTTTGTATATTTGAGCACTACTGAAGTCAACATTATTGATTGACGACACTCTCACCGAGGTCGGTGTCCAGCTGGAGCGAGGCGGACACTCGCGCCAGGGAGTAGTCCGGAGAGAAGGCGAGATGGACCGGAGCAGAGGCATTGGGCGCCAGGGACAGGGGTGCGCAGGGAGACACGCGGAAGCCTCGCGACACACAGCCGGCCCGCGCGACCCGCCAGCCGCCGAGCGCGGCCGGGACGCGGCCCGCGTTCCGAGCGACCACGCGCCGCACCACCGCCCCGCCGCCGCCCCACGAACACTCCTTCACCTCGAATGAGAAGGGAGCCGCCGCGCCCGGCCGCCGCCCCGCCAGCTCGAAACTAGGGTACTCCCCCTCGCCGAACAGACGGACGGCCTCCAGCACCGTCAGGTTGTTCCTATAGGAGAAGGATTCATTCAAGGATCATGAGACTCTGATACTACAGACTGAAGACCGGTGGGCTCTCGGCGATCCTCACCTGAGGTAGAGGTAGGCGGTGAAGGCGCCGGCGTCCTCCGGCGAGAACGACAGGCTCAGCTCGAGCTCGGTCCGCGGCGCGAGCAGCAGCGGCGGCAGGGCGTGCGGCGCGGACTGCAGCTCGGAGTCCGACTCGTTCCACAGCCGCACGGCGCCGCGCGTCACCCGCCACCCGGACAGGCGCCACGCCTTGGACGACCACGTGCACTCGTCACTCGTACAGTAGTCACCCTCCGCGCCGACCCTGCGGACACGAGCGTGGATGTGAAACCGGCGGAGACTGGGACCGACCGGGGGAGGGAGAACGGCTTACAGGGGGGGCAGCGGAGGTTGCGGCGGCGCGGAGTGCGGCGGCAGCAGGGCGTGCAGCAGCAGCGGCACGGTGGCGGGCGAGCGCACGTTGAGCAGCAGCGTGGCGGCGCGCCCCACGCCGGCCCGGACGGCCCCGCCGGCGCCGCGCTCGGCCAGGCGCGGCCAGTGCGCGCTCCACACGCCGCCGGCCGCCAGCTGCAGCACCTCGTCCGTGTGCACGTGCAGCGTGAAGTTCCCGCCGGCGCCCTGCTCCCGGAACAGAGCTAATCGTCGTTGAAGCAATGCCATGTCTTCACGCTGTGCGTTCTCGTCGTATCGCGCCCCGAGAGCCGCCCACGCCGCGCCCTCTGCCGGAGCGTAAGAGACACACTCGTGTTAAATTGAACCGAGAAGATTGAGACTTCTCGGATCTTCCTCCTCGGATGGCAGAGGAGAAAACGGATCGTTATGTACGAACGGCTTCTCGATACTGAAGTGTAATAAATATAGTGTGTATGCTATATTATTGAATGAAGTCTAGTGTAAAGTCTCCTTCATAAAACATCTCATGTATGCATCCAAATATGGTGGACCACCCATTGGCCCAAGCTTCCTTTTGCTATGTTAAAATCTTCTAATATTATTAAATACGACTTAAAGCTAAAAAGACGTTTCTTTTCAAACTCAGTAATTAACCACATTCAACACCTTAGGTTTTAAAATAAAAATTATAAAAAGTAAACACAACCTTCAAAATACTTCCTATTACTTAAAAGAAGACTACCCAATTGAAGTTCTTATTAAACGTAAAGAGCTACAAATACAACTACAGAAAGAAAAAGATGCAGGAAACACCGCTTTTATAAAATATGATAAAATTGTAGTACTGAACAACAAAAACCCCCAACAAAAGCAATCAAGCAAAAGAAACCAATCAGAATCCCAGAGACGCTTGACCCTAATAACAAAAATGCTCAGTATTCAAATAAAAACCCACTCAAGAAAAATAAAGGCGTATTGACGAACTATATAATACAAAAGCCCAAACTAACCGTCGCTCAGAAAGAACCAACTCAACGCCTATCGATGACCTCAGACCAAAATGCAGTATAGCAATTAAAATCGGGCCCTTTTCCAACCTCTAATCTCCCAGCACGGCCTTTCACCGAGGGAGAGTTCGACCAAAACCCCTCAAGAACACTTATCAAAACTAAAAATACAATCTACATTTGCATCCTCAACGTAAGATCATTATTTTGTGATCATAAATATGTTGAGCTCAAAGCTGCACTTGAATATATTAAACATGATATAGTAGAATTGAGCGAAGTTCGCCGCCTAGGAGAAAAGACAATCGAAGACGATGATTACATTTTCTACTACATTGGCCATACAAAGGGATTATACGGAGTAGGCTTTCTTGTAAAAAAGAAATATAAAGATAACGTCACTAAATGTACTGGGATTTCCGAAAGGGTATGCGTACTGGAAATCAGAATAGAAAATCTGTGTATTGCGGTAATCCAAGCTCACGCCCACACTGAAAATTCACCACAGGATGAAATAGACAATTTCTACGAGGAGTTAGCGAAAGCTCACGATTCCACGCTAACTGAGTACATTTTTTCAATAGGTGATTTTAATGCTCAAATTGGAACTCCAGAAAAATGCGAACGTTCTGTAACAGGAGAGTACGGCTACGGCACCAGAAGCGCTCGAGGTACAAGACTGATTCATTACGCGCAAGAACACAATTTAAAAATTATAAATACAATGTTTAATCTAAAACCAAAAAACCGCTGGACATGGATTTCCCCAGATAAAAACACAAAAAATGAAATAGACTACATCATGACCACAAAACACCGCATGGTTTCTAAATATGAAGTACTACCATCTTTCTCTTTCGGATCGGATCACAGACTACTAAGAGCAACAATACACCTAAATGCAACAAAGAAAAGTAGGCGAAATTTCTCTAATATATCCACTAAGCTAAAAACGCTAGCAGAGCAAGAAATATACCTTAAAAACCTCTATGGCTTTATACCACAAATTATAGAGCATGAACACAATTATAACGTGGAGGAATTCTACCAACAAATCACGCACTACATGAAGCTAAGTCTAAAAAACATTAAAGGAACACACAAGAACAAAATCCTATCGGCGAGAGCGCTAGAACTCATGAAGGAAAGAAGCGAACTACAAAATAAGCCCAAGTTAAGCAAAACTGACAAAGAAAAGCTAAAAGATTTATACAAAAATACCAATAAAGAAATAAAAGGTGCTACGTTACATACAGAACAACAACTATACATAAACACCTCAATAACTCTAGATCTGCCAAAAAAGCTTACAAAGAGTTGAATCAATTTAAAACATAGGTCCCTTTCTTCAAGTCTGGCAACAATAAATGCAACTCTCATACGGAAATCATAAACACTGCTACTGACTTCTAAACTGATCTATATAGTAAGCCAGAATCACAAAATCAAAACATGGTTTCTTATAGCCACACGGTTACCTCTACAATAAATCAGTTTTGCAGAATATGAAATATTGAAACAATTAACGAGACTTAAACCAGACAAGAGCCCAGGACCAGATGGATTCACCAAAGAATGTATCAAGGTTGCGAAGACCCTTCTACTGTCACCAATAACTATCCTTTGGAATAAAAAACTGGAAGAAGAAGTTGTGCCACATGAATGGATGACATCAGAAATTATATTACATACTATACAAAAAAGGCGACTCAGCTGATATAGGAAACTATGGCCCTATAAGTCTGATGTCTTGTTTCTACAAACTTTTCGCATCATGCCTTCTTGAAAGGATGACTCCAGCCAGTGGCGGCTGGTGGGTTATCGAACTGGTGGTTCACTTTACTAAAATATTGACAAAAACAACAATTGACATAAAATATGTTTATTTTTTGTACATTAAATCAATGCGACGACATTTTTCTGTAGCGAAATGTTCTATCACCTTTTTATTAAAATCTGGTATTTTTTCTATAAATTTCTTTTCAATACTAAGCACAGAAAATGCATTTAGCCGATCCTGAGACATGGTATTTCTGAGAAAAGTTTTGATTCTTTTCAGTGTCGAAAAACATCGCTCGCTCTCTACTGAAGTCATTGGTATAGTATAGATGCTCCTTCATAACTATATCCAACTCTGATACAAAGTCTATTAATCCATAAAACACTCCAGCATTACTGGACTCAAGAATGCATTAAGACGCTCACATCCACACAACCATTTCTTTCTATTATACATTTCACTTTAAAAACTTCGTATAAATGCTTTATTTTTCGATTTACACTCTTGTTTTAAATTTAAAAAGGGCCGTGGCGGCCCGGCCAATTTTATGTTCACTTTACTTTGAAAAATTTTGTTATTTTCTTTAATATAATCAATATTTATACTCATTTTCAACTAATAAAAAACACAGTACAGAATAAAAGTTCTATTATAGAAACGAAATAAAAACTAAAACGAATTACGGAAATAATTATAAACAATAACGAATTAACGCGTCACGCATAAAGTGAAAGTTGAAACAATACCAATAACGATTAACGAAATGTCAATCATAGCACCCATCCTTTCGGCCGGCCCCTTGCCGGCCGGCTCAATACGTCATACATCGGGTGCTCTCGGTAATCTTCGGCCGCTTCGTGCGGCGCGCGAGAACCGACTCGGTACATTTCTATGAACTATCTTTTGTCTCACGCGCCAGGCGTATTAATGCGCCGGAGCGCACGATATGAGTTTAGTAAAGCGCTCTAACTTTTTGACCATAATTGGAAATTAAATTTTTTATACCTTTTTGTATGTTTAAAAAATAAATATTAAAATGGTAATTTAAAAATTAAGATGACATAATATTTTGTACTTTTAAATATTTTGAATTGGTGGTTCAGCGCACGGGCGCACTTAAGGTACAGCCGCCACTGACTCCAGCTATCGATGCCTACCAACCGATCGAACAAGCCGGTTTCAGAAGCGGCTTCAGCACGATAGATCATATCCAAGTGGTTGACCAGGTGATAGAAAAATATATAGAGTTTAATAAACCCCTATATTTGGCTTTCATCGACTACTGAAAAGCTTTCGGCTCAATTTCCCACGAGAGTATCTGGGAGTCGTTGAAAGCATTAAATGTAAATGAAAAGTACATCAACATCCTCAAAAATATTTAGTCTAACAGCACAAGTCGAGTTAAACTGGATAGAGTGGGCGAAATAATCAACATAAAAAGAGGCGTCCGGCAAGGAGACCCGATCTCACCAAAATTATTCAAAGCCATCTTGCAACACACAAGAAAGTACAATAAAGGTATTAATATAAATGGAAAATACTTAAGTCATCTCAGATATGCCGACGACATCATTCTACTATCAGAATCCCCTCACCAACTAAACAAAATGGTAAACGAATTGAATCAGGCTAGTATGAAAACTGGTTTGGAAATGAATCTGGAAAAAACTAAAATTATATCTAACCCTAGCGCAACGCCCATCTCAATAAATAACACTCCTCTCGAGTTCGTCAACCGCTACACATACTTAGGAAAGCAAATCTCCTTTATTAAAGAAAAGAAACACCGAAGAACTGAATCGAAGAGTGGCGATTACCTGGAACAGGTTCTGGCACCATAAGGAAATATTAAAATCTCAACTTCCACTACCGATCAAGAAAATAGTAATGGATACAGGACTGCTACCCAGCCTCATCTATGGTTGCCAAACCTGGACCTTTGACCTCAAAACTAGGAACAAAATCCAAACGACATAGAGAAGAATGGAGAGAAGCTGTCGAAAGTATAATAATCAATAAACAGCAACCCCACCACTAGAACACTTTAGCTGTGGGTACCAGGCTGTCGTATAATAGACAATTAAGTATTAAATAAAATATTTTTAAGTTCATGTTAGGCTTCACGTATATAAGAACAGACCCAAAGAGATCATGCAATCAAACCGATATAATATGGTTTTGTAGGTTGAAAAATATATTATTATTTGAGTGTCGGAGTTCTCAGTACCTGGAGTGTCGAGCGACAGGCCCGTGTAGCAGTCGGGGCGGCAGTGTTCCTCTGGAGATACGCGCAGGCGAGCCACGGACCGGCGACCGGGGGACACCTCGCCCAGACCAGCACCCGACCAGCTGAGGAACGAACACACGTGAGGGACGAGGGGACACCGCGCGGGGGGAAGGGGGAGACACTCACGTGAACGACAGCGCGGGGTCCGGCGGCGCGGGCTGGTCCACTGACGTCACGCGCATCACCACTGACATGCTGCTCTCAACCTCTATAGTGGACCACGAGCTGGCGTACTGCGGATAAGAGACGGAACGTTACACACGGACACCGGACACGAACCAACTATAGGAGGAGGGACTCACGGGCGCCGCGGGGGGCACGGACGGGGGACACACGCGCAGCGAGCCGGCGCGAACGCGCAGGGACAGGGTCGAGCGAGTGGTGGCGTGAGGAGTGTCTAATGTGGCCTCCCCGCGCAGCACGCCCTCGGCGGCCGGCGCCACCACCGTGAGCCAGGCGCGCGCCCAGCCGCCCGCCGGCACGCAGCGCCGCCGCGGCTCGGCCAGCGACAGAGACGCCGCGGCCCCGGACAGCACGGCCGACAGGCGACTCACGCACAGGGACGAGGCGGGCGCCGGGTTCACCACGCGCACGCCCACCCGCCGCGTCCACGACGCGCCCACCGTGCCGAGCTCCACGTGCGAGGACGTCACGTTGGCCCACTCCCACTCCTGATAAAAGAAAACATCTCGTCATCGAGGTACCAGAGTAAAAAAGACGAATTAGGAAGAGGTCGTACGAGCAGCAGTCTTCCGCTGTACATGAAGAGCGGAAGCGTGTAGTCAGCGAGGTCCGTGTGGACGATGAGGTCGGCGGCCAGCGTGGCGGAGGAGGACGGGGCGGGATCCCGCGCAGACACACGCAGCAGGCTGCCGGACGAGCCCGCGGACAGGCGGAGAGGAGTGTGATCCACCACCTGGGGTCAAGTCGAGACGTTACTTCGCCTTAATCACAGCTTCATACAGACATGACCCGTGTATTTCAATGTATCACACTCACATGGAAGTACCGCTTGACGTCCTCGGTGACGGTGACGGCCAGCACGCGCACCTCCCGCCTGAAGGTGTTATGTACGCGCACCTCCCGCTCGCGCATCATGTCCTCCTCCGCTGTGATAACGCTGCACACACACACACACATACATACAACTATAACGAGCAATGTCGTGATACACAGTAATACTGCGGTCGTTCTCACTCTATATGTTCAGGCTGGAAGGTGAGTGTGCCGGGCAGTAGCTGCACGCTGAAGGGCACGCTCGCTCGACCCAGACGTACACAGCCGGAGCACCACGCCTCCTCGGGCGGGTCAATGGCCACCTGCGACCACAGCTGGGCGTCTGGCGGAGGACGGCGCGTTATAAACACATCGAATAGACAATAAATAGTATGGAGCTATCGATTTACTATGTTAGTTACAGTCCAGCTTGAGCCGCGCTACACGGACGAACTCCTGGTGCGCGTCGAGATGAGTCCGTAGCATGGTGAGGACGGCGCCCGGTGATGTGCCGCCTGCGGGAGGAATATTAACATGTTATGTGATAGTATAGGGATGTTTAAGGTTTAATTTAAAAAAAAAATTAATATCCTCGCTGTAATAGTAAATGTAGCAAGTCTGTCATGTTCAACGGCCCGTTTGTTAAAATTGTTATCTTGCAAATATTCCTTGTACATTTCTCATTTTAAGTGAATGTAAAATTCTTATGAGAAATAAAGTTCTTTATACCTTTTTATTGAGTTAAAAGAGATACACTTTAATATAAAAGATAATACACAATGAAATTCATCACGAGCAGGATCCGAACCTGCTGCCTTCATCTTGATTCGAGTCGGCGATTTAATAATCTCATATATTTCACCGTCACATCGTGTGTAAGTATAATACAGTGCAACCTTAATATAACGTACCTCTATTGAGGTACGTTATATTGAATTAATTCCTAGATTGAACGATTTTTTTGTAATCCCCTTGAATTGTCCATACGTTTCAATATAAAATATACCTTTATATAAAGTTTTTTAATAATATAACTCTTAATCTTATATTGTAATTCGTGTCTCGACATGTTTCGACACGCTATTGTTCGTAAAGTAATCGTTGTTGTTTGATGAAAAGTAATATAAACATTTCTGCTCGTCACTATTGTAAAAATTTTAAGTTAAAATGGCTCAGAAGCGTAAAAGGTGTTCCTTGTCGCAGAAAAGCGAAACATCATTAATAATGTTGACCAAAATCCTACGACCAAAATCGTATTGTTGAGGTAAATAAAACTATGTACATATTACTTTACCTTTTTATAACGAATTTTAGACCAACCTTACCTCAACATAACAAACAAATTACTTGATATAACGAATATTTTCTTCTTCCCCTAAGATTTGTTATATCGAGTTTGTACTGTATATCACAATTTAAATTAATAAACTCTCCGCCTCTGTTCAAAGCTCATGGAGACTCACCGTTGGCTTTAGTAGTGTCATGCAGGGCTCGCGGCGGCGGGGCGCAGGCCGGCGGCGCGGTCCGCGAACAACGCGCGCTCACGGCTCCCTCCAGAGACACGCCCGCCTCGTCACTGTTGGCCGCCTCGAGCTCCACCTGCAAGAGACAAGGGTTAAGGACGGTACCGACTACTCTCTTGTGTCACGGGTCGCGGCCGCTCACCGTGTAGTCAGCGTCCCCGGAGCCCCTCGGCCGCAGACGCACGTGTACCGGCCGCGCGTGCTCACCGGCCGGAGCTCCACGAGCCTCCACCGCCACCACCAGCCCGCCGCCGGGGATGTCCGCGCGCACCCTGCACATAAACAGACAACAGTCAGAGACGAGGAAGGAGCTCGGAAGAGAATCAAATAGACGAGGACGGTACCGGATGTAGGCCGTGAGCGGTCGGTTGTGGTCGGCCAGTGCGCGGTGCGCGCCGTGCGCCAGGCGGATAGTGACGAGCGCGCGGGTGGCTCGCGGCGGCACGGTCCACAGATCCCGCGGCGCGCGCTCCCCGCCGCCCGGCAGGCGCAGGCCCAGCCACGAGCCGGTCGAGTACACCTCGCTCACTTGCACCGGCGCGTCCGTGGGGTTGTGGAACCTCAGCTCGGCCTCCACGCTGGCGTTCGCCGGCACGCGCAGTCCGACCAGCGGCCACACGTCGTACTCGCTCGCCACGCCCACGGCCGACACCTGTCGACCTCAGCGTGTCAGTCGCTTCTCGTCAATGATAAGGTTCGGTTCTGAGGCGCGGTACGTACGGGGAGCTTGTGGACGCCGAGCGACGTGTGTATATAGAGGTGCGCGGAGACGGGTCCCTCGCGCCGCCCGAGGTACACCACGCTGAAGGTCGTGTTGGCTTGCGGCGGCAGCGTCTGCATGTACACACACCAGTGAGATATATTAATGAGACCGACTACAGCCGACCTGAGGACCGAAGCCCTCGTACAATTCCATCCAACACAATCGAACACAACAAGTATATATTACAGCAGGTGACTCCAAGTGTCCGTGTCTCCGGGGTGCTCGTGTCCGTCGATCGCGAGCACGCAGCGACGCAGGAAAAGTTCGAGCTTGACTCCCTCCACACCAAGTCAAAATACGAACTTTTCCCGCGCCCGCGTCGCTCTTTCCTTCTCTTCTAGCGTCCGTTGATCTTCTCTTCTCTTCTTGGAACTCTTTGTTTATTGGCAACGAAAAATCATAACAATATTAAACACAAATTAATTATTAGATAAGTATAGTAATGTGTATTCCTGTTATGATTTTGTTGAACATAAAATAACAAACCTATCTGATACATGTATATTATAATAAATAAACATTTTTTTTACGCCATATAACTTGTATGACCAAATTTCATATATAGTAAGTTCCCACTCTTTTCGTAAAACTATCTCCTACTAATAGAACTTATTCTTACTCTCGGAGCTTCCGAGAAGTAGAGCGTCTGTATCTATTTTCTGAGGAATATTTGACAATTTAATTCCTTCTGATATATTTTTTTTTTTGTCTAAATACTAGATAAAAACAAAATATTTAAATTAAATGAGAAAAATCCTCACAATGGAATAACAAAACATGTGCTACAAAAAAGCGACCTTCAAGTATTATCTTAACGAACGACTGTTATTATTTGAAGTAAATTTTAAATACTATGTTAATATTATAAAATGACATTCGTCATTAACAACATTATCTATTTTGTTTAATGAACACCACTGGTACGTTATATCCTACTAATATTATAATTACGAAAGTTTGTGAGTGTGTGTGTATGTTTGTTACTTCTTCACGCTCATACGGCTGAACCGATGTCGATAAAATTTTGTATACGGGAATCTGACGTCCAGGAATAATACATAGGCTTCTTTACATCCCGAAAATCCCGTAAATCCGCGTGTAACACCGCGGGAAGCAGCTAGTTATGTATATATTTAATATACAGGTTCGTCAAATTTTAAAAATTATCGTATCTGCAATACACAATTCAAAGAGTTCTGTAGTTTCCCTTTGTCTTCGATATCTATCTCTTGAGACTGTTCGAAAATTTTCTTCATCTAAAAGCGGACATTAAGGATTTATCTTAATAAGTAAAATATAATGAGACCATCAAATGTTACTGGGTGTGGTGAGAGTAACAGCATCCTCGACTCTAGGCCCAGTGAGTGACCCACTTTAGCTTCAAGCCGGCAAGAAACGTGACTCAATACATAGGTCACCTTCATAGAATGAACGTGTTGTATGGCGAGGGGTGACGATTGGTCGACCTTGAACGAACTTGGACCCCAAAGAGAACGGTATCGCGACATAACCCGTTATCATTTCAACGCATTTCATTATAACACTATGAGTCAAGGAGACGACGCTTCGACGGTTCCGTGAGCACGATCGATGATATAATACCACAAGCGGGAGGTCGGCGACCGCGTCCCGTGTGATAAGACGATGATAGACAAAACTATTACAGTTTACACTCATACTAGCAGTCCGCAGTACGGCTTGGTGTCACTTATATTGGGTATAAACCAGTTTCATGTATGTAATTAAGAAAAGTTTCATTCTATTCGGACGCTAAATTCATTTATAATTCTTTAGTTTTCTTAAATTAGAGCCATCCGACATGTTTAACATTTCGATGTTCTAATAATAATGACAGCAAGCATCTAAGTCTCGAGGTCAGATAACTCGCTACCGATATCTCAGCTTCTGTCTCCGCGAGTGCGGGAGGCGTCCCCCCCCCCTGCCCCCCCGCGCCTCTCATATTACCATAATACATATTTATCGATTCAATACCGGCGAGCCCCTCACACTCACAGTAAACACGCCATTCACTCAACGATTCACAAATTTGTTAATGTTCCAGAACGTTGTTTGTCATCTTAAAGACGGTGACGTAACGACTAACATGTACTTACTAATATCAATATTATATAAATGTTTGTACGACATATTATGATAAGTTTATTGTGTTCGTTACATTTGGCTTAAAGTTACTCTATCTCATTACTTATTATGTACAGATGATGAATAATGAAATATTTTCTCTCTTTACTTTCATAACTGAAATTTCACTAAAATGACAACTATCTGTTGTTATAGGTATAGGTACTTTGAAATTATAAAATAGTAGAGATCTACATGCTTTAACAAATACAACTGAACACCGGCCACGAGCCTCCAACGGTAACCTACGTTAATACTACATACAACGTGTTAAAATTATGAATGAAAAACTGGAAACTCTCCGTGTGTAGTGACGCCGCGGACTTGTGGTACAGGAGGGGAGTGTTACAAGGAGCCGTTACCACACATTACTGTATTGTTTTATATTTAAAAACGTTACGTAATAATAACATAACACTGATAAAGGAGCCTTTCTCAATATCCGCGGACGAAAATCAGTTCGTTAGCGAAATAATAAAGGAAAAAACCACAACGCAATTACTATAATTTCAGGATGTTAATAAAATTTAATTAGACTATCGAGATGCGAGTCTGATGATCACTGGGCTATTCAAACATTGAATCATATAAAATTTTCAGTCAAATACCTATATTGAGGAATATTATTTTTATGTCTTTAGTAATAAAATAGGGGCGCATGGATTTCGCTCCACCCCTCCCGCAGAATCACGTTAGTTTAGACAGATAAGCACAAGCACGGCACGACTTCCAAAATAGATACGGATATCTATAACGAATAGCTGACGGGAAGACTGCTGAGAAGATGACTTACATTACGAGTTACTTGACTTACATTAAGAGTTAAGTATTCATTAACATTGATTACGACAATAATCAAAAATAACTTTAATAATAATCGGTTTCGATTCGTAATAAAATTTTTAAAAAAACTTTTATATGCCTTGCCTGTAGCATTCTATCAGGACTCAGGAGTGTTTGTAAGAAATCAAATATGCATGAAATATATGACATGCGCGAAAATATTATATAAAGTCAGGGATAGTGCAAATCCGCGTAACTAACATTGAATAATTCAACATATCTACATTGGAAGCAGATTAGTAATTATTTAATGTTTAATCTATTACTGATAGTGAAAAAATTACCTTAAAAGTCGTTAATTTAGAAAATACTTCAGCTCTAACATTCCTCTGTCAATCTGCTTCCAATGTAGATACACGGAATTATCCAATGATAGTTACACAGATTTACACTATAACCGACGATATGTTGTTTAATTTAAATAAATAGAAATCAGGAAAATGTTTGAAAGGAGGGTTGAACCCGTTTCCAAAGCCTTGAATACCTTAGACTCGAAGAAGGAAGCATGGAAGTCCGGAGTGGTGCCAGCTACCGAGGCCAAGTGTAGGGTGGAGTTTGCAGTATTGGTGACTGTGACGAGCTTCACGTGTGGGGCCGCCAGCGGAGCCCGACCGAACGACAGCGAGCTCGGAGACACTGACACACCCTCCACAGAATCCACACCCACGGATTCTTTGCCCCATTCCTAATACAAGTTATCATGACAGAAACAGCATTTTAATAATCATGATTGCGAATCTACTACTAAGGAATACAAATTATCCACTGCACAGACAAACATTAAACTCTTATGAAATAGCTGGATAAGGATTGTACCAAATATGAGAAAAAATAACATTACATATATGTGAGTGGAAGAAGTTAAAAATTGTATTTTATTTTTATTATAAACACTATAAGTCTCTAATATCATTCTTATGTAAAACAATATTTTACTTCACACCTATAATATACATATATATTCATATAACATAAATTTTTATTTCTTCAATATCGTATTTACCTGAAAGGTGATTCCTTCTACCAGGGAGTTGTGAATTGAGACACCTGGAATTAAATATAATGATGAATTTCTTCCTGATACATTAAAACTAGAATTCTATAAAGAATATCTTGATACAACATAGTTCCAGTATCTATATACCCACATTTTACACAAATGATTGTTTTTAGGAATCATTTCTTTAAGAATATTGTGTATCAGATAATATAATTGTAAGTCCTATGACATAACAGGAGTGCAATAAGTGATTCAATCGTTAAAATTGCGCGGTGCGTCTGTGGAGTGTGGAGGCGGGCGCGCATCGTCTGCACGCACCTCCGGCGTCCTGCACCCGCTACATGTACACATGATACCGATCATAGCACCGCTGACCGATCTCATCCCACACCGAAATACACCACTATCCCGAACACAACAAATATAAAAACGTCCGCTTTAAATACGACAACGGCACAATGCTACGCTTGCCGCCGAAAATGCCATTAATATATATTATACTATCATATAATCGTTCTTATTATGAAAATCTACAAGTGATAAAAATACATATAATATATACACATTTAAGGAAATCGATTTTACCATGGCTCTCCCCCTGGGCCGTCAGCTTAACGTTGAGTGAAATATCTAGTAGAGTCAGTATAAATACATAACACCACAAATATTTTCGACACATTATTGTATTTTATCAATCACAATATTTAAACACATTTCTTATTCTCGAATTTATCTTTATAATTAATCAGTCTCACTTTCCATTCACAAGATGTGCGTTCACGAGACGTAAGTCGAAACCTAGTTCTATATTACGCACAGTCTACAATGCACAGATATACTAATGTCGAAATAACAAATCACAAGTAGTATACTTTACGTCTTTTTTAAGTGACTATAATATCCAAAATTTAAAGCAAATATATTTATAGTCTCTTAGTAAATTTCCTTGATAAATTTTAGATATAAATGAGTAATATATTAGAACTAGAGTCGTTGATTTCTTAACTAAAATCGTCTTGAATATCTGTCAAATATGAGTTGTCAAATTCTAGTGTCAATTTTGATCAGAAATATTTTTACGATTAAAAACATTCACTCACAACTATATTTGTTGCTTAACAAAACTGTTAATATTGTTTTTCCTCTACCAAGTTTATAGTTAATCAGTCAAAATTTCACTTTTAAGGGAATTACTAAGACGAATAATGCAGGACAATGGTTAGTACCGCAGCAACTTGGACTGAAATAGCCGTATTTAATTGTTTATTTTTAGTCTTCTTTAATTTCACCTTATTTATTTGTAATCAAAATATTACCAATATTAATAGTGGCTTCCGACGGGGAGGAGGAGAGAAATGGTGAAGATAATAGCGAATCTGAAGAGGAGCCATTTGATATTTCGCTAGCAGCCTCACATTCGGTCAGTGATTATTTTAAGATTTTATTTTTAGGACCCATATGCATATTATAATTCCATAAATGTTTTTAATTTGATGCCACAATGAAGAAAAAAGTCTCTAGGATTTTTTTACCACACAGACAATTATACCAGTAAACATACCTACTCAGTCACTAAATATCTTTTGTTGTCATTGTTTACTACAATAGAATCTCAACTATGAATTTATCCATAATTTTTTTCATGTTATTTCAACTTGTGTGTCTTTATAATCAGTAATGTATAAATTAAAATTAATTTTTGTTACATTTAGTTTAAGATAAATTATAGCTTTAAGGCTGTAGTAGAACCGAGAGTTCCAGTACAGTCTTCTTTTACCAAGCGATTTCCCAGCTATAGCCAGGGTCTGCTTTACATGTTGTGAATAGTTTTGTCTAATTGTTTTTTTTTAATTTATTTACGGCCACCTGCCTGACATTAACCCTCTTTGGGAATGCATTAATCAGTGATGTCTAAATACTCTAATAAAATACATATGACTCGGAAAAATCACATTGGTACTTGCCAGGATCGAACTCGCACCTTCATGCATGAGAGGTGGGCCTTTTGACCACTAGGCCACCACCGACTGGAGAGTGCCAGTACAGTATTGATCTATAATATAAGTTTTAAACTGACAGTACATGGGAAACAGCCTAGTAGCAGTGAGTGGTCGCTCTGTGTTGGAGGCAGGCTGGGTGGGTCGAGTCCCGGTGGCAGCTCATCACGGCACAGTGTTCCCCGGAGAGACGGTGCCCATGCTGCTCACTCACCCACACGACAGCGCCATCATCGCGAGAGCCATCAAGCATAACAAGCTGTTCGGTCTGCTATGTCCTGAGTTAGTATCCATATGTTAAGTTATTGACATCCCTTCCTGATCTACAAAGGGGCCGTTCAAGTATTACGTAAGCAGATTTATTACAAATATTTACCCCCCCTTGTCAGCAAAAGTAATCAAACCTCTTACCCCCTCCCCCCATGCTTACGTAAACATTTTCAATTACTGTATTGGTTTTTTTTTAATAAATTCATAAAAAAAATTATAATTATAATTTTGTATGGATCTTCTCGATGTGATCAGTGATGATTAAAAAGTAAATAACTAATGATGACGTAATCATCACCTAGACTCCCCTACCCCCATGTCATCCAAAATAAGCAAAGCAGAGACCCCTCCGCCCCGCCATAGTGCTTACGTAATACTTGAACGGCCCCAAATTCATTTTCAATAACTGTTACTTGTCTCATGAACTAATGATCCGTGTCTGTCTCCAGTGAGACGGGCAGCCTCGTGTCGGGGTACGGCGTCTTGTGCGAGGTGTTCGAGGCGGGAGTGGGCGTGGAGGACGAGCCCCCGCGCACGCTGTCCTTCAAGGCGCGTGCCACTCATCGCTTCCGCTGCCTCCACATGCCCAAGCATTCGGTTCCCATACACATGTACTCCAGGTAGGAACCGCTCCCGAAGTATTAGCGGTTTATACAGCGCTTCTCTTAACTTGAAGAACGCTTGTTACAGGATGCGTGCTGTTGACGTGCGCGTTCTGCCCGAGGTCCGTCTCGGGGAGCCTCTGAGACACGCGCGTCTCGCCAGCCTCGACACTCTGCGTCGATCCACGTGAGTCCCCCCCTTCCCCCCTCTTCCTCATCAACTCGATCTCGTTTCTGTATGTACATGTCGTAGGTCGGACGGTCGCCTGCGCTGTATGGACGCGGCCGTGACCCCGTGGCCGCTGTTCGTGTACGACATCTTCGACTACCGCCGCATGAGACGGGTCATCGAGGACTACTTTAAGAGCATGTCGCTAGGTCCGTACAGTTCCCTTGAAGGTCGTCCGCCGCTCGTCTTAGCTCCATACACTTGTATTCATACACGTTCTGTTTCGTTTCAGAGAACCTGCCGGAGGAGGCTGTTTCTCTGTCGTTCTGGACGGCGTCCAACCTGGCGCTGTCTGCGCGCGACCGCCTGGCCCTGTTCGTGGTGGACGACGCCCTCCTCCGCCTGCACATGGAGGTGCGCCTCATCACCAGGGTGAGTCCTCGCCCCCCTCACCTCCTCCCTCCCGCCCCCGGTCCAGCTCCTACTCACTGTAACCGCCGGTGGTCCACAGAAGAGCGTGTTGTGCTGCGCGTCGTGCGCCACCGTGGTGGCTCGCCGGGAGGACATCTTCGCCATGTCGAGCGAGGGCGTGCACGCCAACTACAGCAACCCGGGCGGCTACATGCACGACATAGTGACTGTGTCCCGCGCCTCCAACACGTCCGCGGGCGGCGCTCCGTCCGCCGAGTTCTCGTGGTTCCCGGGCTACACGTGGACGGTGGCGCTGTGCTCGTCGTGCACGTCGCACGTGGGCTGGAAGTTCGAGGCGCTTCGCCGCACCCTCCGGCCGCAGTACTTCTACGGCCTGTGTCGGAACTTCGTCCGGCCGCGCTGCGACGGAGACTCCTCGCCGCCCCCCCACCCCGCCCTCCCCGACACACACCGAGCATGACGAACAGCCGCTCGAGGATTCGTGAACTAGACGATAGACGATCTGTCGAGGAACGGCGACCTGGAGGACCTCGCTTTATACGCTTTGTTGTGAAGTTGAGAAAGTATCGCGGCTCATACGGGGAAGTGACGACTCGTGGCCATCACGAGCTGAGTACTGAGGTGAAGAAAGTTAAACCGATGAGAGTTTTATACGGGCGACAGATATCCTTAGAGGTCTACGTTAACTATAAAGAACTTATTAAAATATATGTACACTTACAGTGTGTGATGATTTAGCTATTTTAATTTTATGATTTATAATTTTTAACTGCCGTAGATTTTTCTAGTTGAGTGAATTCTGACGAAACCTTTTTGGTTGGTCGCGAAAATTTTAAAGTCTATGTTTGAATGTAACGTACACTGTAACACTAGGTACCTGTATCTATATATTTTAATTTTTAAGTGGACTTCGTATTTAGAACACTATGTAGTAAGTTGTTTTTGAACAGTAATCTTAGTATGGAGGATGAATGGCAGCCAGAAAATGTATATAATGAAAAAAAAATAAGACTCCGCCGGGAACTGGTAGTGTTATAGATTATTTCTTTACTAAAGGAAAAATCGGTAGATGTAACAGGAAATAAATTCTAAATGCGTAGTTTTAATTATTTTTCGTATTTTACATATTGTTGGAGTTCAAACTCCGGTGCGGTGCTACTAGAACGTAAATCTTTTTTTGTCTCGTTTGTATGAACTTCGTTTTCCTTTAGTTACAATTGCTTTGTTCAACAAAAAGTTATTAATTATTAGTCGAAGTCAAATACTTACACACACAGACACAGACCCACATAAGACATATAGATATTCTTATTAAGAAAATTCACATTATGTATGTATATAATTATGTATGTATATAATTTTATTATGTAAAACTTGTTTCACGTGAATAAACAACTGGCAGTGATTCTTATACTAGATGGCGCCACTGTACATCAGCTGTATTCCAAAAAAAATTATGAATTTTATAAAATGACATATTATTCTATTTATGACTATTATATTGGAAGCTTGAAATTAAAAATTTACATGTCTTTGCTTATATCTTGTCATAACGGTTTGTATAGTATAGTAAATATATTTTTATTAATCAAAATATACTAATATTATTTTAATTCCTAGTAATTAGATGTACTAAATTAAGACCTTAGATAGTTGCAGTCTGTTGTGAGATGTTGTCAGATTACTTTATTTAAATATAAAGTTGTGTGACATCTGGTCCGCTGAGAAAACAAATAGAAGCGAACCGTAAGTCCCCGTTCGAAAAATGTTTAGTATAAGTTTTTTCAATCTTTTTGATATCGAAACCCCTTTATGGACAGAAATTCCCCCACCCCCTTGTGCCATAGACAGACAAAAAAATTAGTAAACTAAAAAAAGCTAAGTTAAAGACATTCTCTGATGGTGGAAATCAAAACAAAAAAGATAAACTTCAATAACAAGCTGCTTTGATAATTAATATGTCAAAAATAGCACCAAGACTTGACATGCTTTTGAAAAATAAACAAGCCCATCCTTCTCATTATAATTTGGTTTATATTGTAGTGTAGAACTTTACCTTTTTATTTTAGCTGGTGATTCCCTTAGGGGTCGCGATCCACAGATTGAAAAACACTGGTGTACATATTATAGTATACCAATTAATACTACAATAATTTATATGAGAGCGGGGACTCGGGACGTGCTGTGTCTCTATTAGAATTTAGAAGATATGGTTTATGGAGAAATGAGACTTCACTCAAAGCAATTATGATTTTTTAATTAATTAAATACTCGGGTGTGGTTCACATGTGTGAGACAATATGTATTTATTTAATGTTATAGAATATAGATCGTGTCTTAATGTTAGATTGGAGCATCGGAATAATAATATAATGATACTTCTCTTTGTTGTAAGTCAACCATGTGTTTGTTTTGTTCCTATATATTATTCGTTTAATGTATTCAACAGATGGCGTGTGGTTAATTATTAAGGTATTGTACAATAATATTATATATGATCATCGTTTAGTTTGATTATATGAAATAATAAATGTTTTACTAGGTTTAAGTCGTATATTATATACAAGTTGGTACGAGATGAGTCTGAGATGGCTCATAAGGTAGTGTTGTATGAGTAGTTGTATTAAAGATCAAATCCAATCCCATGTTCGTGTATCATTTGCTCCTCACTAACAGTATGGGGAAGTTCTCAGTGACCAAGAAATCATCTTCGAAGATGACGGCTATGTTTAGCTCGAACTCTGGAAACAAATTTTAATGTATTAAAAAAATATATGTAGATATCCTTACATATTGGTCTCTTTACTATGTAGTCTTTTTGTAGTTAATCTCAATAATTCTAAAGAGGTCGCTTTTTTCAAGTTTATTGTGTTTTGGTAACTTATTCGCAAAAGTGCCGAGATTGGTAATTTTATAAAAGATAAGTATAATTTCGTTTAATCACCATTTTAAAGATTTAAAATTTATATATACCATGTCTGTACAAGTTAAACATAAATGAAAATATGATTTTGATGTTTTCTTAACACTATATGTCCAATACTAGCCCGACTTATCTATATTAAATGTATATAATCCTCTATCGCCCCCCCCCCCCCCCTCCTTATACCGACCTATTTTAAAGGCGTGTGTAGCTGTGGTGGGGCAGGAGAAGAGTCTCGGCAGTACAGCGTACAGCGGCACGTCACACGCGCGCCGCGGGTCCCCGCATACTACCTGAATGTTCTGGACCTCTGTCGCTATAAACATATAACACACATGAGCTATAGACTCAGGCTACACCCAGCAATAGCTCGATTACGAACGCCAAAGAGGGTTCACATGTTACGTACGCGCTACATATCCTACTAATATTATAATTGCGAAAGTTTGTGAGTGTATCTGTTTGTTACTTCTTCATGCTCAAACGGCTGAACCGATTTTGATAAAATTTATGTATACAGGAAGCTGACGTCCAGGAATAACACATAGGCTACTATACATCCCGGAAATCCGCGGGTAACACCGCGGGGCGCAGCTAGTGAAGAAATAAATGAACATCGCCGGGGCGATATCTTTGTATGGGTGAAATATCATATAACGAATCACGTTGCTGACTCAACGGAACGAACACCAAGCCGTGTGAAACAGAAGATTCGTTACACCATACAAGCAATAGAATGGGATTTTCATCCTAATATTAGGTGTAGGTTATGAGTTTTAATATGTGATTTTTATTATAATATATGTACGCATCAGTAAATTTCTTAGTTTTTCTGGAATCTCCGGTTGCTACCCTTATACAGGGTGACTGGTGAATTACTGTCAATATTTAAGGAGAATACTCGGTACATGATTCTCATTCGAATTATGTAAAAAAAATAGGCACTTAATTTTTGACAAAATTTCCGTATAAATAAGTAAAGTGTTGACACGTTCCAAGTGTTCAAGTGTGGACGCGTGCGGCGGCGTGCTGATACAACACTACGTCACGACACGCGTATATGTGAGTGTCAGTGTATACCTAATCTGTAGGGTGTTAACACGATGCGTAATTAATTACATAACTTTTGGTTAACTTTACTTAGAAGTTTATTAATATTTATGTTATATTAATTTTTATTTCGTCATATATGATCGTCAAATATCACGTCCTCAAATATCGATAGTAATTCACCAGTCACCCTGTATAATTCACATCAAAGCCAATTCCGAATACAAAATGTTTTTATTCTATAAATTTGCGATGACTCCCTCAAAGTGAATAAAGAGGTTTTATAATACAACTAGCTTTCCGCCCGCAGCTTTGCCCGCGTGGAGTTCGGTTATATCGCGTTTCCAAGAGAACCTTTCAAGTCTTTGATAAAAACTATTCTGTTCTTTCTCAAGGTCAACTCCATCTCTGTCCCAAATTTCATTCATTAAAATCAGTTCAGTGGTTTATGCGTGAATGCGTGACAGACAGACAGAGTTACTATCGCATTTATAATATTAGTAGGGATAAAAACATTAGGAGTGAGACTCTAGGTGGTAGTAGTACAGTACCGTCTCTTGAGAACCCCTCAGCGTGTCCGCAAGTCTCCACCCTCACTAGTTGGAGCTCCACAGACTTGATGGCCACCGAACATTCGTCCACACGGACCTGCACACACACACACAGACAATGTTATACACAATGATACATATACAATAATACCCCGCTTAACGCGACCCCGTTATACGCGGTTTCACTATAACGCGAATATCAAAAATTTATTCAGATTTGGACATATTGCAGAGTATAGATAATAATGATGACCGCGCCTTGACCGTATGTCAAACAATTAAAAACAGTGTTGGGTGTTATGAACTTATTTTACAAGAACGTAAACAAAACGCTACCCAAAAGACAATACATGTATTTTTTTCGTAAAAAAATAGAAGTACCTATGTATTGCATAGTGTTCTTAGAAATAAAGTGATTGATTAAAATGATTTTTATATTTGTGTATTAAATTTTGACTGTGTTTAATCATAAACCTCGATATACGCGAATTTCAGTTAACGCGATTTTCTTCGGAACGTATCCCTCGCGTTAAGCGGGGTATTACTGTAATGATATAAAAGATCTACACTCGGTAGTCAGAGGTAGAGTGTGCCCATTCAATTAGGATTTCGAACATTTTTTTTTTTTGTTATAAATGAAAAGATCATATATAAGTTTTATAACAAAACTATTTTTGTTCTTTTTTTCGGTATAATTAAAAAGTTAGATCAGATTAAAAGTAAATTATTGAATCCAGTATGGAAAACATTCCAACAGTTTCTTAACATCTCCTCATTGTAGCATACAGCTGATACAGTATTTTGATATTTTATCAATAATAAAGTTTAAAGTTTAGAATTAATAAAAAAAATAGATTTTTTTTTCAGCAACCCAATTGAGTGTCTCATTAAACTTGAGGGCTTGGATTCTCAATAACAAACAGATATTTGTACTATCATACTACAGTACTACACCTTGCCAGTGATAGGTCGGTCGAGTGCGCAGACAGTAGAATCAATCTCAGCATATAGTTGGAAGTGCGGCATGTGTCGGGAGCCCCCGGCGGGCGCTCCGCCCCTCACCGTTGCTGGCGTGATCTCACATCTCACAGGCTTCGATACCGGTCGCTCTTGCTGATAATACAATCAATTGTAAAGCATAAGACCTATATTATTACAACAAAGTATCATATTGTTCCCTGTTTTAACTACTATAGAACATTTCATTAATAAATTTTACTTAAATAAATAATGTTCAGGTAGAGGAATACCTTGAATGTGGATAACAATATGACATTTAAAAGAAATGCAAAATTTATTGCAATATAAACCTAAATGTTCTTTGTAAAGTATTTAACCTGGTGATTATTCTAATCTAGACATTTTTTTCTGTATTGCATGATAGAATCTGATTTCAAATTATTGGTTATTTGTAATCATTAGATATTTCTTTGCTTACATCACATATTCCAATCAAAGTTTCAAAACACAGCTTAGTCACAGTTACATTTTGTGGGGGTAAGTCAAATCCTCGTAACTACCATTGGATGATTCTCTATAGGTATCTAAATTAGAAGCAGATTTTCAGAAGAAATTTTAAACTGAAATATTTTCTATATAAATGACTTTTAAACTAATTTTTTCACAATAAGTATTAAATTAAACACTAATTAGTAATTTAGAAAATATTTCAGCTTAAACTTTCTTCTAATAGTCTGCTTCCAATGTAGATATGAGGAATTATCCAATGGTAGTTACATGGATTTGCGGTATCCGTAAAAATATAAAATTTGACTCACATGTCTGTGTTGTACAAAAAACTGACAACTAGTGTTGAGCTGTTTGTTAAGGAAGGATCTCCTCATGCCACACTTGAGGGTGTATATAACATTCACAAACACTCCGTGGTAGGTCTCCAATAGTGCGGGGGCTATTGAGTTCTGTCTGGAGACCAGAGGCATCTCAAATGGTATCTCTGTCACTCCGACAGGAATCTTACCCGCTGCGGCTAACTCGATGGTTGTGTTTATTAATGTGATTGGCTAGAAACAAATAAACCCGAGTTTAGGTAAATCTGATAGTAATGTAATCATTTACGGTATATATTTATGGTTATACACAATAAAAGTTTGATTACTAAACTGAACCTACTTAATACTTGCATCTTTTGGAATGATACCTTTATAGTGTTTGAAAATGCATCAAAAATGCCAGCACTTTTGGTGTTTAATTGAAGATTCACACAGCCCTCCATTGTTAAGGAGAGTCCTTCGTGACGCAGGTCCGCATTGGTATCTACAACCACCACGCCAGCCACTGTTTCCTTTGATAAAAACATACAATTAATTAATATCTTTGACGTGATCACTATTTATACTTATGTTTATTGTAATTATTCACTTACTCCTTCATAGTAGACTTTACTCGCCCGTTTGAGATTGATCGTCAAATTTGCAGACATTTTATAGACTTCTTTTATTTATAATAATACTGAAATACTCATCTCTATTTTATCGTTTCTTATGTATTTATTCACTACAAAAACTATTTAGTTACCTTTAATATTATTAATATTAAAGTCTTATTGTAATGAAATAAAATAATGTTATATAGTTTCATATAATTTAAACGGTATGAGCATAAAACTGTTCATAACTACTAAACTAGTTTTATAAATTGCTTGATACTTCATAGAAACAATAATACGTGAAAATGAAACATATGTCAAAATGACATTTGATATCAACAAAGTAAGGGTAATAACAGATAGTAAATTTACTTTGAAATAATTGTAGAAATTTAAATATATTTGTGGGTTTCATATTAATTATTAAAACATTAATTAATTGAGTGTTACACAATACAGAACGATCGTATTGTAAAACTATCTCAACTAAAACAGCTTAGCATGTTCAAACTACATTATCGCAAAATTGAAAATGTCAGTTGTGCAGTAATGTCCGTCAGGGGTGGTTGTATGTGACTCAGTTCGTTTCAAATTACGATTTTTATTTATTTTGCATCGTTTTAAAAATATATTTAATAATCGTGGAAAATATATTAGGGGATTATCTTTGAATACGCTTGTGAAGTGTAAGTGATAAAAATACGCTGTTATCGATTTAAACAGGTGATGCCGATGTTCGGTTCACCCCGAATGGATCGATATCGGTGACTTCGGGTTCGGTTCTCATTAAAGCGTCCCGAGGGGTGAGTTAAGATGGAGAAGTCGGCACGACCACGGACGGCTCTGAACGAGTGTGTCAAGGTGGTGGTGAGATGTCGCCCGCTCTCAGACAAGGAGAGGAACGAGGGCCATGATGAGGTGAGTGATTTGTTGATGTTGGCCGGAGGTGATGCGCAGCTCCAGTGCGTCGATTATATTATACACAACTTTAGATGACAAACAAACCATGTTGAAAAAAACAATATTTATTGCTTTGGATGGAATGAAATATGGATGGTTCCGTTTCTCGTAAACCACTCGCCTTCAAACTGTGGAAATTATTCCATAAACTAATCCAAATTACGTACTCAAAGTAGATAAAGTAGGTATGAATATCTTTTATTTCATAAAATGATTTTTAACATACAATATTATAAAGAAATTACACTTATACACTTTTTGAAAACAAATTTGTGATTCATGCGAGTGGAAACTTCACGATCTCATTTTTCCTGAAAACTTATCAAGCATTTTCAACAACAACCATTAGTCAGTAACTCACTGTCATTATTTTATAAGAAGGTGTTTAGAAATATTATTTTGACAGTTAATAATTAAAATTTTCTAATGATAAAATCGTATTTATAAACAAAATTTCATCAATATAAATATACAACGTAAAACTAAAAGCAAACATTTAGGTGTTTGATTACTGTCTACTTGTTAGTAAACATTTTATCACCATTGCTGTCTGTAAAGAAAGCAAAATCAACAGAAATATTATGAAACTGATAAGGATATTTTAATACACATTAGTAAAAAAATATGAGTGATTTTTAATGATAACGTTTTTCTGTTAATAAAAATCGATAGTATTGTTATTAAAATAATACCATTTGCAAAGTATCACAGCAATTAATTTATAATCACCACGTTCTCTTTAAGAAGTCATGGCAGTTTAAATGCTGCATTTAATTGCCTTTCAAGTGTTAATGATGTTTTTAACGATTTAAACATGATTCAAGGAATGACTTCAATATGTAGATTAAGAACTTTGAAAATTAAAGAGGTCATTTGATCATTACATATCTTCTGTAAGTGTTCGGAATCAATACTCGTTAATAAAACAAGTGGCTATTTGTGACATTAAAATCGATTTTATTTACGATTAGTGTACCTATATATTATATAATAAAGATAAAAGTTTTATATTTACAAAATTTCCATGTTTAAAACTGTCTATATATTTCACGACTTCTACTAGGAGGCTACTAAAGTTTTTAAGATGTATTGAAAACGTGTATGAAGTCACTAACATCAATCAAATAAAATTATACATTAAAAAATACTGACGCTAAATGACGAAGATACACGCTCGAGATAGCTGTTGAGAGTTATAAAAACTGAATTGTTACTCAGATAGGGGACCTCGGGTGGGAGGTAGAAAGGGGGGGTTGTTGGGGACCCGATCGACCATTTACGTGTTTTTTTGTTTGTTTACCTTCCGATCTCTTAAACGTCGGCGACTCGTACTGTTGTTGAAAACATTCCAACGAGCCGCATTACAGAAATGTTTCATGACAATGGTAGCATGGTAATGTCCAAGCGATATAGTGAAGTAGCCGTGTCCGTGCTGTGTACACTCGTCCTAATTATCTTAAAATAAATGTGGAGAGCACGCGTCGCTCGTCGGACGCACGGTATTGCTCTTGACCCGCACACCGTTTCTGGCGAAGCATATTGACCATACACGACTATTAACCGTCTTTTGATTAAGAACGGCTTAGTTGGAGTTGAACCTAAAACTCCAATAGCTTTCAACATTAATATAACATGATCCTGAACATACTCAAAAGTATCGCTCGTTTATTTTAATTAGCTAATTGTAGCTATAATTAATTAATGTATTTTAATTGCACTGTTGTCGAGATTACAGTGCGTTGTTTGCAACACGATAAGTGTGTACGTAATGGGTGAAACTTATCTGCGGCGCCCCGCGAGGCTTGCCATCTTACAGTATTTCGCAAACGGGGGCGTCTCTCCTCGAGTGACTCACGAGCCGCTGCAGTTCTAAAAGCCATTAGATTATTGCTTACCTTTTATTGAATCTGACCGAATTCTTCGAGCCCCGTAAGGTTTATGTATGACGAGATCTGATTAATGGCAAGCTATACTCGGACTGTGATTTATCACTAGATTTGTACTTAAAATTTAAATTAAATTAGCAGTAAAGTAAGTAATCCGATATTAGTCTTAAATCTTAATACTCAAATAAAGAGTGAACGACCCATTCAATCAGTTTAACCTGCACTTATTGTAAAGAAGTCGTTGTCATCATCTGCTTGTTGGATTTATAAAATGATTCAGATGTGTTCTGATACGTAATTAGTTCATTGATATCTCTCACTTGTTATCTCCCGAACAAATATTTGTTAAAGTACCCACAATTCAAGTCGGAATAGTCTCTTAAAAAGTGACAAACACATAGAATAAATATGTAGTATAGGAATGCTAGTTTTGAGTTCGTAGTTATTCAGATTAAAATAATAGTATGAGTAATGTAAGTTTATTCTTATCTTGTGAGTGAACATCGGCCGCGTGCTGTTCTCGCTAAGAACACTGTATCTTAGAACTGAGATGATTTCATGTCCCTCCTAAAGTAACAATCGTGTAAGGTCAGCGACCAATGTATTGTTGCAGTCTTGCCGAGTCTTTACGTCTCTGAGATATGTTGTATAGGTAATATGACGGTCGGCACGCGCCACTCTCGCGTTCGTTCTAATACATTATTAATATCAGCATTGCACGACTTCCCGCTTCACTTTATCAGAGCCGTGGCGCCGGTTTTTTATGTATAATTCAACATTAATGACTGTTTGTACAAGGCTCGCGGCCGGCAGCTCGCGGGCGGAGCTGAGGCCTGCATGTCGTTAAGTTTGCACTTATTTATCTTATTGTTAGCACTCAATATGACATGCAATGTGTGACGATTGTCGTATACCGCGTGTGCTTTGAACTAGCCCACGTAATGTTCCGAGTTTGATTTATTTATATAGAATTATTCCAATCAAATTAACTTATAGCAAAAGTAAATTAAAAACAAATATTTTTTAAATGCAGACTTCGGCGTTGTATTCTCCTTACATCGTAATTCCTAAAAATATTTCAATAATTTTTTTGGACTGGATCAATATTGATCCTAAACTATATTCAATATTATTTTAAGTTGAAAACATGTTGTTATCATTTCTCAGTGCTATTTATGGTATGTAGGTGAGGAAGGCTCGTCCCGAACAGAAATGGTACGAGCGTCTGTCCACCAAGAACTCGGATTATAAGAAACTTAGCGCTCCCTTACAGGTCTGGAGCCCTATTACAATACACCCGACACTGGCGGGGCTTGAAGCAGTAACAGGGAGGGGGAAACTTACACGAGCATTATAACGAATCGTAGTTTGGTGACGGTGTAAACAGTAGATGCGACTAATGTGTACAGGAAACTTATTAACTAACTTAATAATTACATCCCTACAACCACGACTAGTCTAAGACAATAACGTTGTTTAATTTGAACTATTGGGGAGGTAGTGAGGTTGTGGATGGTCGGTCACAGTAGGTGGATGGTATCAATGGAGCGTGTTATGATGCTGTTTATTGTAGTATGCGCACGCGCACCCCGCACGCTGCGCGCGCACGCCAGTGGCGTCCGCACACGATAGATTTAATGACATTGAGCTCTTTATGTTTGATGTCTGGTGATGCTTCTATACATGACCTTATAAAATTTCTTAGATTCTTGTTAATTACAAGATTTTTGAATAATTTTTATAATGATACAAATTCCAAAAAGTTAAAACGTAAATTTAAAATGTCAAAAACCTAAAAAAAATTCTTCAACACTACCGCAGCTGATTGTGCGTCGTTACTAGATTATTTCATGTTTTTTTTACATTTAAAATATAAAGTAATTAAATAGGTGATCAATAAACTAAACGACCGAGGGGTATACTGATGAAAACTGTTCACTAACAAAATAACTTTAGTTATTGCCTCAATTTATAATAAATACAATTTAAAGGTCGTCGTTAACCACACGGGAAGGAGATTCATTGATCCGCATTTACATGTAATATTTACTTACTATAGAAATAGAAGCTTTATAACACGCGGGGAGGTCGAGACTCGCGGACTGTACAGTGTGCACGTTTTAACTATAATTTAATGAAGCTGAAGTAATAAAATAAAAGCTGCGTATAAAACCTAACAAGCTATGTTAAAATTCGTGTATCGGACTCAGTCCGCGAGGAACCTCAATAGTTTCGTGCTATTGATGTATATAATGGTATATTATAATAATTTTTGTGTATGTTCATGGTTTTAATGTTGTGTCAGGTGGTGAAGGTGTGGGCGGAGCGCGGCGCGGTGCAGGTCTACAACCCCAAGGGCGAGGATAAACTGTTCACATACGACGCCGCGTACGACTGTACAGCAGACACACAGACCATTTATGATGAAATGGTGAGTATGAGAGGATACCAGAGACTTCACAGTTCACATTGTTTCTATAGAGAACGGGGTCAGAAAAACCTGGTGCCAAATATCCAAATATGCTCCTAGTATGTGACTACTAATGGTTAATTGGAACTTCTACTGCTTATACTCTTGATTGTTAATTATCTTAAAACAGATATCTGTTATACAGGGTGACTGGTGAATTACTATCAATATTTAAGGAGCATACTCGGTACATGATTCTCATTCGAATTATGTAAGAAAAATAGGTACTTAATTTTTGACCAAATTTCCGTATAAATAAATAAAGTGTTGACACGTTCCAAGTGTTCCAAGTGTGGACGCGTGCGGCGGCGTGCTGATACAACAACACGCCGCCGCGCGCGTATGTGTGAGTGTGTGTGTATACCTAATCTGTAGGGTGTTCACACGATGCGTAATTAATTACATAACTTTTGGTTAACTTTACTTCGAAGTTTATTAATATTTATGTTATATTAATTTTTATTTTGTCATATATGATCGTCAAATATCACGTCCTCAAATATCGATAGTAATTCACCAGTCACCCTGTATAACCATCCCTAGGACGTAAGGTATCTAAAATCAGACAACAATAGGATCACATCATAACTTTGTATTTGAATTTCTCTAGACATTGTAACATGTCCTAATATACAGACACTTATAATGCGTCGTTGTAAGGACAGTATACTATAGATAGTATAGATATACATTTCTTTTCAATACCCTTTTGGAAAATATCATTCCCTTAAATCAATTAAATATTATTGGTCGATCTTGAATAACATTCAATATGCACATATATGTGCCCCCACAATACTTTTTTACTTCCAAAATAAGGTCATAAGTAATGCGGGCGTAGTGACATCCGCATATTATCTTTATTTTTTACTCATAGTTTTCTGTAGTGGTACTCAACGTTATATACTCGTATTCAAATAGCTGTTGTTTCAACCGATCGGTTCGAAATTTTATTACATTTCTTTTATTTTTCTGAAAAGTTGCCAAGAACGACCAGTGGCACTGATTCGCTTGGACTAGTTGATGAGAAAATGAATTAACATTATAAAGGATTACTTTTAAAGACTAAGAAAATAAAGCAGATCTCAAAAAAAAATGCAATAAGTTAATCCTAAGTTGAACTAAAAATGCTTAGTTAATGAGCAAAAAAACTCTTAATTTTTACATATAATGTATGGAATAACACTGTTTGATAGAATAATAAATGTTGTATCTTAAAATGTTCCACAGTTATCTGATACAAGTATGTATTCTTCGTGTTCATAGCACATATCAGCAATTAACAGATCGATTCCTTTGTTGCCGATAATAAAAATCCACTCATAGCGCGCTTCGTGTCAGTGTGTTTGTATTTCTTAAACGATTAAACTTATAACAATGAATGTTAATTCTTTCACTTACATACATGTTAATCATTCCGATTTACGAATCGAAACTAAAGCCAGTGATAACGCTAGTATTAAAAGTAATGAGGAAGTGATAGATACATGTTTTAATTCCTATGATTCATAATATTTTACAATTCCAAATGTCTTTCAGCCGCCCTCGGTATATATCTAAGTCGATTTCCCCGTTTGCGTCACCGATATTCTAACACGTCCTCTATCTCAATATTATGAATATATTTCTCGTTACATATTTCTGTTTTTGGCTCCGCTTCCTAAAACGCGTCCCACGCGGACGAACTTCAATGACAAGCCTTGACAATAACGAAGGTTTAATTTTTCACGCTGACTCACGAGGGTGGGCGAAGGCTTTCAGATATAACCTTCGCCGAGTGTGACCGACTTCGGTGCATCGTCACCTTTTATGTGTAACAATAAAATAACAACATTAACATTTACTAATGACCCCGTTCAAAGGTTTTTATTTTATCGAGTAATTCTTAAAATGACTGCAACATAATAAAAAGTGTGCAGCGACGGACATGGCGTCCCAGTAAGGAGTTTTAGTTCGTCGCATGTAAATAGAATTCAATGATTCATAAATGTCCACATGTTTTCAATAAACACTGCGCTTGAGGAAAAATATGCCTTTGTTAAATATATAATCGCCTTTTGTTACTAAACACTTGATTGTTGTATGTTCGAAGCCCTCGCGTTTTGCGCCGACCACTCAAGGCCTGTACGCGTACAATACTTTATAATTACGTCAGTTTACACAATCACCGAAAATCATACCGAATATCAAACCTTCGACAATAGTTCACCTTCTACCACGCTTCACTTCATTTACTACATTATATATTTTTAAATAATACACTCAAGGTCGACCGTCGCACATTTATTCTATAAATATATATTACTTTTTCTTAAATAAAAAATTCTCTTGATTCCATTATGTGAAAATCCTGTTAGCAATCTAGAAATTTGGCATTTCACTGTACTTCATACATTACGTAACACAAAAGAAATCACTTTTCAAAACATATCGTATGGACTAAAGTTGTTGGTGATATACAAACTCGTTTATTTAGTCAAAGTACATATGTATGTCTGTTTAAACTTACTCGATATTAATTATGTACATTATAATTTAAGTTTGTTAACTAATACAGTTGATTATGTTTTTGTTGTCCAAGTATACATATGTTTGTGGAGTCTCCTTCAGGGAGGTTCTCCTCTCCTCTAACGTCATTTTTTAATCAATCTCGACACTATAGAATATTGTAACTAAACTAAACTGATTTAATTCTGTTAAAGTATGTCTTTTCCTTATTTGTACGACTCATATATTCTGTATTAATTTTGCATATCCAGCAAATGAGATGTAAATTGAAGAACATTTTTATTGGAACGAAGTTTAATTATAAAATACTTAAGTATAGAGCTTCTCATCCATGGTGTATTGATTTGACCAGGTCCGTCCGCTGGTGGCGTCTGTTTTGGACGGCTTCAACGGCTGTGTGTTTGCGTACGGTCAGACAGGCACAGGGAAGACTCACACTATGGAGGGCACTCCGCAACACGAGGGCATCATCCCGCGTGCCTTCAGACACATCTGGGCCCACATCGAGAACACAGCCTCGCCTGACGTCACACATCTAGTGTCCTGCTCCTATGTGGAACTTTACCTCGAGGACATACGAGATCTACTCTCCAAAGACTGCAAGAAACTCACCATACGTGGACAGGTGGGGAGAAGATCTCAATTTATTTATTTATTTGAGGATCCCCAACAAAAGATACACAGTATACAATTTTAGACTAATCAATACTAAATATTACAAAAATTTGTGCTCTTTCAATTACAGGAGACCACAGCTTGCTAATTATTCATTTTTATTTCTACCAATGGTTTTTTTGGAATTAATGTGCTATTGTAAACTATCAAGGAAGAAAGGTACACAAAATAATATAATAGCGCATACATTCACATACTTATAAATTATGTTTAAAATAAAAAGTTAGTTTGAAATGAATGAAGTTTGAAATTACTGCACGTTATATCCATAAGCAAGTAAAAAAAATTAAACCACAACAAACTACTGAGTACTCCGTCCTCAATTTTTTCTACATGCGAGGAAATAAATGTAGGAAATATTTATTCATGTTTATTTTCGTGTCATAAAATTTAAAAATAAACACAAAAGGTGCTAACTTCGTGTGCATGTGGTCATTGTCAAGAATGATGTAACATACATAACGCCTAGACACACATACACTTAATTTTATATGTATAGTATAATAGTTAGTACAGATAAAACGTTTTACATCTCCGTCGTATATTTTTATATGAATAACAGTCTTTATTTCTACACGATCTTTCTGGGAAGGGATTTTTTAATACTTAAATCCTAAATTTACGTACATTAATAGTATGCAATTGATTTAGGCGTTCTTAATTCCTTCGTCATACATCCATGTACATACATGACATACACATGTAATGAGAACGTTTGACGTGTTTGGTCTCTTGCCAATTAATTTAGAAACGAATATTTTTGGATGTCGAATAGTTTTTGAAATCATTAACTACTAAAGTAATACGTTGCATATTTATATAATGGTCGAAATATGAATGTGAAATAATAATCTTTGAATGAAACTAATATTTTCGGATTTTACTTCGCGTTTTATTTTTGATTAGAAACTCCATACTTCCGACGGTTCGGTTACTTTTCAGCAACCGTGATCACGAGCAGACGAGATGTGAGTGTCTGTCAGTTGGTCTGGTCATTTTATCACGAAAAATCTTAGATCTCATTATAATAATCTTGGCAGTTGTTTAATAATAAGAGTATAATATATTTATATACCTTCTGTTGATTCATTATACAATCCTTATCAGTAACTTATGTTATTGATAGCATCTCGATAATTCTGATAATACGACCGTCGTGATAACGTTCAGGTTTCAATCTTTACGATCCATCATTGTGTGTAATTGGAATATCGTGAAGCGTTTGGCTCGAATCCAACGAAGTAACTCAATAACTCGTGAATTAATTTACAAACAATATGAAGCCATTCATAAAGACAGCTCGTTTAATGCTAATTATACAATCAATTAAATTATATGTATATATAGTCATCTAGCCGTCTGTCCGGTGGTAATAATCAGATGTAACATTATTTTTACCTTTAATTTTTGTTTACTATTAATTAATACTCCTGACAGCGCTTTTGATAACAAAAGTGACGTCATATTTCATAAATACATAATTTAAATTAATTTTTCTTCCGCCACCGTGTATATCTATATATAACCACATGTCCAAAAACTATCATCATTCGTCAGGAGTTGCTAATGACCTTCTGTTTTATCATATTTAGAGAGTAGGTCGTCGGTTCAAATTTAAGTCATACACATGGTTCAGTACGTAATATTGAACCTGAAAACTATATGTATGTAAAGTTATCACTAGCGAATGTTATTAAATCATCCCGGTCTTCTCTTGGTCTATTCGTCTACTCGTCCTCGCCGGTCGAGTGGTCGTGTGGTGCTAACGATAACGTCATTTAGTTAAAATTAATTACCGCTCATTCGCTTTTCATTTGATGAATTATTCATGAACCACTCACTTCTTGTACTCTACTATACTGTGTACTACAACACGAAGACATTGAGTAACGACACTGATTGTATGTTTGTATACTATATACTTATAAAGAACGACGGAAAAATATAGTCGTGAGGTTCATTAACGGGACTTTCTATTATTCTTTGTTTAACGAGAATTTTCATGCTTTTCATTTCATGTTCAGAGTTCGGAACTTTGAAAGTCAAAAGGGAACGAGTATTCGGGAATATAAAAAGATTCAGATTAAAATTTATAATAAATCATGAAGTATTCACAGTCATCCATCGTTATTGTTTCAAATAGAACTTTATACACAGAAAGAAACAAAACAGAAGTCATTTATGTGTATAATGAGATAACGCGTTACGTGTTTATAATGTAAAATGTTTGTAATCCTTGAATTTGGGGTAATGTGTGGTTTGCGAGATCGCCCGCCGCGGCCGAGAAACAAAACGCCTGCCGTCTAACATTAGAGAAGACTCGTTGTGTAAGAAATGATTGAAGTCAACATTACAGATATTGCGTAAAACGTGAATCATCCGAATCTCATATTCCAAGGTCTCTCTAGGCTGGATGTAGTGGAAACTCTAAGTCTTTTATAATTAAACAGTTTAAAGATCCATAGTATATTACGTATAGTATAGACTAAGACAGACACTCTCATATGTATATTGACTTCAAGATATTATTCCGTGTATGTAGGCGGTAAGGTGTTCTATCATCTCGTCACTATACGCTGTACCTCAGATTCATTGTCTAACTCATCCACTCCTTAATAATTAAAAGACTGGTTCTAGACGAGGAATACATTAACAAGTTGGTAGTGACGGCCCTGAGACGTTAATAATGATATTATTGAATAAAACACTGTATTATAGGTACATATGTATATTATTTTATAGACGATTATTATCGCTTACATTTGATACAATAAATCGATTATTATTTTTTGTTACACACGATCGAAGTTCATTACACACACATACACAATCACACACACACACGCAGAGCAGAGTCTAGTGTTTGATATGTAGTTCACGAGGTTTCATGTCTTCAGGAGCTGAACGGGTTCTACATCCCGGAAATGACGTCAGTGGTGTGCAAATCCGCGGCGGAGATGGTGAAGGTGATGGCGTCCGGGAACAAACATCGAGCTGCTGCCAGGACCGACATGAATGAACATTCGTCACGATCACACGCCGTGTTCCTCGTCACGCTGGAGACGGCTCACCGAGCCACCAACAGGATACGGTAACTATATGAGAAGGTACACACACACACACACAGACACACAAACACACACACGCACACGCACACATAGACACAGACAGAAACACAGACGCAGACAGGCACAAAGAGAGAGAGAGAATGAACATGAAGAGCTCAACCATGATTCATATTTTAATTACATCTCATTGTTTCAAAAATATGAAATGATTATCACCGCAAACTATATATTGACAGTCATCCCCGTGTGTAGTCGCGTGTTCTCGAGTAACCTGACCCACCGGCGGCGGTGGCGGAGATCGATTTAATTCATCTTATATAATGCTAGGGATTCTGTTGTGAAGTTTTTCCCTCAACACGACCTTCATCATCACACTGGTACACGAACCTTGGCTGATTTAATTCTTGACAGTTTACATTGTCAACAATACAATTTACACAATCAACACATACGTAAATGTGTTTGGACTATTTATACGTGTTCTGTTGTATGCTAGGCAGATATATGTTGTTATTTATCTTAATTATATTATATGACACTCTATGTTAAGAAGTTTTCAATAAACAGATGGACGAACTAAATCTTGGCCAATAAGTTGTTTCATAACTCACATATACCACGTCCGTGACCATATTCGGGTCAGGTCCAACAAACGCCGAGTGTGCTGTGAAAACATTGTGCTTATATGGCTGAACATTTATCTCGACTCCTTAAAGAGTTACTCGCAAAACTGTCGTTTAATATTGTGTGTAATATATCGTTACATTTTATATTATTTAAAAAGATTAAAACAAAATCCGCAAGTTATATTATCGTTAATTGTGATATAAATAACAAACCATCTCGTTTGTATAGTTTAGTTCGCGTGTCAATGACCTCTGCTTGTTATTTAAATTAACTAATTCAGCAAAGGGAGAGAGCACAAAGGGACGCTCCTGACAGAATACATTGTATAATGAGAGCTAAAATAATATATGTACATATGACAATATATGGAACAAAACAATATATAGTATACTAGCTGACCCGGCAGACTTCGTACTGCCTCAATCAAGAAATAAATTATGTCTTATTTATTTTTTGGTGTTTACCTTTAAGCCATAAATCTCCGTATTCTGAAGTGCGACAAAATGATTGACATATTAGTTAGTTGTCAAATCTAATGTCAAAAAACCGTTTGTATGGGAAATAAAAAAAGCGCTGTTTTTAGGGTTTTCCCGGAAATTAATAAAAAAATTTCAGCTTTTAAACTTTCCCTGAACCTCCACGAACATTTCAATGATAAGATAAATCCGTTCAGTCGTTCTCGAGTTTTAGTGAGACCAAGGAACAGCAATCCATTTTTATATATATAGAAGATAGAAGATATATATATATATAGATAGATAGTGATGCCATTGCTTGTCTCCTGAGCGATCATCTTAGATGTTAATGAACATCATGACGCGACTCCGACCCTGACCGAGCTCCTACGAGCGCGTCCTCTAGCAGAAATTATAATAAATCGTGCAGAATGTGTAATGAGGTCATCCATTAGACTCCTGTTATTACATTCGTCTGTGGGCGACGCTCCAAGTGAGTCAGTCGACGCAGCCGCAGCGGCTACTGACAGAAGGAGCCGCAATATGAAACATCTCGTTCAGAGAAGCGACTCGTGACTGAGCTGTGTGTGTTGAATAGTTGTTTATGTTTAATATCGACCACGATGAGCTGGTCTCATAGAATCTACTTACAAGAATCCGACTTGTTGAGGTAAAGGACTATAAGTGAACCTTGAACAGTTTTCATAATAAATTTAGTGACGATTTAACTCGAGCGTCATGTCTGCAGTTTGTGGACGCAGGTACATTAACTTCACTTTCCAGTTTCTTCAATTTGACCCAATTATATTGACATTGAAATATAATCTCGATCTTAATGTTTGCTCTCGTTGTTAATGTAACGTTTCGCCCTGACCTTCGCCCCCCTACACGTCCTCATGTTTTGTTTGACTAATTTCTCCATAGGGACGAGCGGTCTGTTATCAAATGTTACATCACGGTTCGATGTCGCGAGATGTTTAAATCAATACATATTGAACTTCGTCTCTCATTCTCAATCAGATTCATTCCAGCCACTCTCGTAGAATCACAAATAAACTAAACCAAATGTCAGCGGCTCAAATAGAGTCCCGTGGAGTGTATGGATAGTTTGGAATTTAAAATGAAAACGCTGACAATAGACTGGGCAGCTGCAGACAGGAGAAAATGTAATAAATTCATCTCTATGGTACAGGAAAAATTCTCAACCAATTCTATAAATAAACAACTAATCAAGAAGCACATATTTCATTATATATGTATGTAGGGTTGTGTTTCTGTTTGTTAGTCTTCAGGAGTCTTCAGGCGGGCGCTCGGTCACCCGCGAAGGCTGATGTTTTTCACTTTGCTTTTTTACAAACAATTGTTGAAATGTCTCGAATGACGCCGCTCGGAGCTGTGAAATCGTTTTATTGACTTTTTTTACAACATCTAGAACATTCGATGATGAGGTTTAAGGTTCAACACATTACGAAGAAATCATCATCGTTCGATCCGACTCGATACAGTCGGCTAATGTTATATATATTAAAATGTAATAGAACAATGTTCAATTAATTAATTGAGTAATTCGAATAAAACCAATTATTTTAAAAAGAAATCGTAAGAAATCTTTCGTAATCGCATTTTTGTGGTGCATCGTACCGCGGAGGACGCACCTCGAGCAAGCCGCTGCGGCCGTCCAAAAACATTGAACATTGATATATACGAATAATAAACATGCCATAAGTACATATATTAATTAATTAATCTTATAATATCTTAATTATAGTTCGTGTTTTGTTTTTCAAAGGAAAAATTTTACTAACGATACTGACCAGTATAAACGAAAAAAATAATCTGTTATCAGTAAAATACGATTGCTGTGTCCCCGACCCGAAAAAGTTATTGAATTATATTAAATTTGTTTTTCTAACGTCGTATCTTTAAATCGATTATCGTTAATACATTTTATATCTATATATCTATTTGGTACCTACTGTCCCGTTCCCGCTACAAGTCATTGTTATCTGATAACTTTCTATCAAATTTATTATCTCAAGGTCAAGTGATAATCGAAGCATTAAACATGTCATTATCATTGAACACAATTATATGTTATATTGATAATTATTACGACTTTATTTGTTTGTACAACATTTATTGTTAATAGTAGCAAATATACGTATTAGCAAGAGTAGTTGTGACTTTCGATAGAATACCAAGTCTCCAACAGTTAGTGACAGATGTTTCTGTTACACTTATATGTCTTTATAATAAAGTGAAGCCTCAACGATAGAGGTTTTTAAATATATACAATGACATGACACCTAGTATAGAAATGTACCTAATTATTATAGTACTTGACGTTTCACGCATTAAGAATATGATAAAACGAAACATTGACCATTGAGGACCTCCCAAAAATATCTAATTGCCAGATAGTTAAAATATTTTATATCTATATAATGATCGTATATGTATAACAAAACCACTACCCCTAGGACTAAAAAATAATAATTAATAAGTTGACACACATAAAAACTATAGTTAGTTGTATCGGCCTATCATGTTGTTATGGTTCCTACTGCGAATATACTGTGAAGTTTTATGTAAAGATATAATAGATAACAGATATTAATACACACGGAGACGGCGCTCAAAGCTAGTCATAATTATCTTTATGACCGCGTATATCGTAAACTATTCATCGTCGATCAATACCAAGTCATTCCGACACTCAATAGCTCCCGAGGAGTCCATCAAAGTATATTTAACCCAGTCAGCTTCACAACAACACAAGTCCTTCTGATACTCTCGCTTGACCTCAATAAAAACTTTTACTTATCATTTAGAAGCTTAAAATTGTTTCAGGGTCTTTTTGTTGATGCATTTATTACATTAACGTCGAAGGAGCCGAGAAATAAACAAAATTATCGTTTTAAAAACACGTTAAAGTCGTTACCACGTGGATTGGCTGCTAATACTTTTATTTGTGTCCATAAAGACGTGTGATTTATGACACATTTTATTAAACACCATAATATTCCTTTAGTAGTTACGAAGCGACGATGACCTTCACTACAAGTAAATAAATTGACTCGTAATATTATAAATAAAATACTCACTTTTCAAACTCGATTCAACCAACATAATACTATGTTAATTCATAGTAATGAGTGTCCTACGCCTGTATTTAACTCCTACGTCAGAACAATCGATCGTAACGCGTCTTCGATTATTATGCAAGTTAACAATGACGTCATAAGGAGGCGGTCAAACATACTGGACAAAGACAAAAACACACACACACACACACAGCACACACACACACCTTAGAAGATAGACAACGGTCAGATCTGATATGGTAATCGAGTCATCCTCAGGAAAGAACTTGAAACAATGACAACATGTGTATATACTATGTGGATATTTGTTCAGCTCATGACACGTCCTATACGGTCGATATGTTTTCATTTACTTTGTATATTTTTAGATAATGTACAGAACACTTAGCATAACATATTTGTTTTAATCTAATGATGTGATTATACATGGAGATACTTAGTAACACTAATTGCGGACGATATTTTTATTGTCGTCCTACATTTTAATTCAATGTGTTGTTAGTGGTTGTAATAAGTGTTTAATCATTATTTGGATGCGTTTACACACACTCGGTCACGCTCCACATACACCCTCGACGTGTGTGTGTGTGTGTGTGTGTGTGTGTGTGCATGTGTGTGTGACCACGAACGGAAGTGTTCATAGAATCGAACTCAGAGACCAGCTCCAGCCCGCCGAGGGTCCGGTCAATGTGTTCAATAAACACTTCCGACCGAACGGCGCTGAGGATCGATGGCTTTATAGTATTAAGTTCACACGATGCATTATATGGGTCGAGAGGGCATCAACTAATTGTATCACTGATGTGTATTGACTTAGGCTAATATGATGTCACTGAGAACACAGATGTGCAATGAATTAAGATAAATTACTATATTTTTCTATATAAAATAACTTCACTTATAAGCAAACGTTTAAAACACTTTTATTAAAACTCGTTGCTTTAAATCTAATCATTCAATGAGAGTAACATTAGTAACAACGTATATGAGTATGTCGTATGACACGCAGCGTTGGGAAGTTGAACCTTGTGGACCTGGCGGGCAGCGAGAGGCAGAGGAAGACGGGAGCCGGCGCCGAGCGGCTCAGGGAGGCTGCGAGGATCAACCAGGCGCTCTCTAGCCTAGGGAACGTGATCTCTGCCCTCGCTGAGAACAGCCCTCACGTGCCCTACAGGTACAGAAATACGCATACACTCTCTTACAATTAGTGTGTACAAAACGGAGTTAATGAAAACTATGGTTGTGATATTTCCAGAGACTCCAAATTGACTCGGATCCTGCAGGACTCGCTGGGAGGTAACAGCAAAACGATAATGATAGCGAACATCGGACCGGCTTCATACAACTACGACGAGACCATCACCACACTCAGATACGCGCATCGAGCGAAAGGTGACACATACATCTAGTGTTAGTACTGGTATAACTTACTTTGATACAGATTTAATAACAAACTTGTGTATTGATTCACAGCGATAAAGAACAAGCCGGTGAGGAACGAGGACCCCAAGGACGCGAAGCTGAGGGAGTACCAGGCGGAGATAGAGAGGCTGAGGACGCTCATAGAGAGGAGGAGGGCCGCCGAGAAACGGAAGAAGAACAGACCGCAGAGACGGAACAGAGCGGAGTGTGAGTGGAACACGGGCTGAGGGTCGTTCATGGCGGGCGGGGCGATATAAGAGATAGATTAATGAGTGTTCCCCTTTCATTACAGCCGAGGAAGACACGGCCAGTATAGAGAACGAACATATTTTGGCAGAATCGACCATAGAACAGGAAAAGAATAAGACCGAGGAGCTGGAGTCGCAGATAAAGGCACTGGAGGAGCGACTGGTGCAGGGAGGAGGAGGGAAGGACCTGATAAACAACTTGAACGAGACGCAGCAGATACTGGAGCAGAGGAACCTGGAGATAGCGGAGAGGAAGAAGAGGGAGGTGGAGATGCAGCAGAAGATAGACCTGGAGGAGGAGACTACGGCCATAGTCACCAACACGTTCACCACGCTACAGCAGGAGGTGGACCACAAGACACAGAGGTACGGCGCGGAATATATAGACTGAGAATATAAAGATACAGGACGATCATACATTACTGTCCAACAGGTTAAAGAAATGTCTGTCGAAGTACGCGTGTCTCCGGGAGGAGGGCGTGGAGCAGCGGGAGGCGCACGACGCGGAGAGACGTGAGCACGAGGCGCTACACGCGGCGCTGCTGGCCGAGCTGCGGAGGAGGCTGCTGCTGGCCGACAGCTTCGTGCCGGAGGCGGGCCGCGCCACCGTGCTGCGGCTGCGGTACAACGACGACACGGACACCTGGGAGCTGCCCGCACACAGCGGGGCCGAGCCGCTCACCGACCGGCCCGTGGCGTCCGGCGCGCGACGACCGACCTGCGCGCTGGCCCTGGCCGCCACCGAGCCGCGCCGCCGCAGCCACAACCTGCTGGACCTGCGCCCGCTGCCGCTGCCTCCCACCGCGCGCCGACACCTGCCGCCGCCCACCCCCGCGCCTGCTCCAGCTCGCGCCCCTCCCGCCCCCCGCACACACGCCCCTCTTAAGGTGAACAGCCCCCCTAGAGCCGCTAGCTCTCCCTAGTTATGTCCACTAACCGTGTATCAATGTTTCCAGTCCGTGGAGGTGGTCGGCCGCAAGGAGTCAGCCGTGGACCGCGGCCGGCTGAGCGCGGCTCGTCCCCGCGCGCCCTCGGCTCACCACCGCCTCGGCACGGCCGGCGTGCGGTAGAACCCCCCCCCTCTCCCTACCCGCCCCTCACCCCCTCTACACCCCTCACACCTCACATGTCGCTGACCGTGAGTCAGTTCGGCCGCTGTCGGTCGCCAGTCGAGCCAGTGGATATAACCAGACTGTTCTTTGAGTCCATTAAAGTTAACGAATTATAATGTAACGTAACATTAACTAGATAGTTATATATTGAAGATGGAGCCGGATCATTAACTGTTGCCGCGTTGCCTCATTCCTCCGGCACACACACACGGCCCCGCGCCCCCTCACACACACATTCACACACGCACCTCTGTGTTTCCTCGTGTGTGCGTGTGCGTGTGTGTGTGTGTGTGCGTGTTGTGTGTGTGCGCGTTAGTTGTTTATAATATTATTTAAAGTATTCGTCACAAATTCCGTGTAGAGTGGAGGGCGATGTTGATCTCAGTACGTGTTATCTGCAGCTGTGAGTCGTTTCGTTTTTCGCGTATTTTTTCTACGAGTATTGGTTTTAGTCTGTTTACGTGCTCGTTTGTTTGTTTTGTATTATTATATTTTACCTTTGTTGTTTTTAGTCAATTTTATTTTTGCTTCAACGCTGCGTCCGTCGAAGCGGGTGATATTAGATAGTTGTAGCAAACGCGGACCGGACGTCCGAACCTAACGTACGAACGAGAACACGTACGGGTTAAGTGAGCTGTTCAAATGTTACCAAAGATGGAAACGGTCCATTCCAGGCGTCGCGCTGTCAGAACATGTTCCTCTTAATATATTAATGTTTAATTATGGGATTCGTTATATTTTTATTTCCAGACACGGTTTCTAGTCAATGATTCTTATATACAAATATTATGTAAATAAATGTTTTATTGTAGTTATTTAAAAAAAGGGAAAAAATATATAGCGTAAGTAGAGCTTCGTTCGCACAATACTCCCGGAGTCGGCTCCTGAGAGCGAGTGGGTCGAGTCACGTGATATATATAATATAATATACTGGAAGGCGCTAGTCAGCTGTGCCCATACACGCTTATACTCACTAATAAACATTTTTAATTTTTATTTTTGTTTTATTTATTCCTATTTCTTGTTATTCTGTTTCAAGGCCAATACACGATACAGACACTCGATCTTATTACATACTGGCCGGTGGAGGCTTCCTTCAACACTTTTAACTCAAACTTGATCAATAATGACAAACTTGTAAAACTCTTAAATTTTTAAGTTATTATCTAAATTTATTATTAAATACTAGAAGCCCTGGCGAACTTCGTATCGCCCTATAATCAAGAAATATCTATTACGTTTTTTTATTTATATTTTTGGAGTTTACCTGTAAAACATTAATCTACGTGTTTTGAATTTTTTTTTTTTTATTGTAATGAATATGCTGTTAGCCCTGCGGCTGTTACAGCGTCACCGGTAGAGTGGGCCAGTGCCGGGACTGACCCGTTTCGAGGGGACCTGAAGGGCCCGACGTGTTTTGAAGTGCTACAGAATGATTGACATATTAGTTAGTTGTCAAATCTAATGTCAAAAAAAACGTTTGTATGGGAAATAGAAAAGGGCTGTTTTTACGGTTTTCCCAGTAATGAATCAATTTTTTTCAGCTTTTATACCTTCCCTGAACCTCTACGAATATTTCAAGACTAAGATAAGATAAATCCGTTCAGCTGTTCTCGAGTTTTAGCGAGACTAAGGAACAGCAATCCATTTTTATATATATAGAAGATTACATACAATTAAAAAGATAAAAATATATAAGTACTCAGGATCTGTGAACATTGATGATATCAATATTTTTTGTGTTCTAACTCTACAGACTACATTTTATGTAGTTTTGTGCTAGTTTTTAATTATTAAATGCTTATTTACTTCAGATATCTTATTAATACTTATAATGACAACTTTCATACACTTTGCTATAAAATTTGAGTGTTATTGTCAGATTAACAAATAATATAGAGATATAGAAAAAATATAACTTTATAGTTTCTTAAAATGATTTAGAAAACTTGAGAGTGCTTCTTTTTGCTTGTAAGAAATAATATCACAGATTTAATCTTTTTTTACCTATTGATATTTTTGTTTCATTACCTACACCTTTGTATATTTGCCTCAAAAGTCTGACAGGCGTTAACCGTCTACACTCTATGTAAGGAAAATAAACTTTATTAAAATCAAATAAGGATTCCTATTCAATAGCAAGAGGTGAAATGAACCTATAGTTTTGTTACAATCGAAAACATGAAATAAAGAAATAAGTATTGATCCTTCCAACAGATACGAGAATGGATTTAAAGATATTTGAATTCTACAGGACAATAAAAAAAGATTTCATTAAATAACAGAAATACTACCTACGCATTAATTGTTATTCCATAATTATACTGACACGCATAACATTTATCGAATAATCAAAGTTTAAACATGCCTCTCAAGTCTCAACGTATTGGAAACGAGCTGAAACTAACACACTACTGGACCAATACTGACCTAACGTAACCAGAACTCACCGCCAAGAAACTAGAAACAAAATGAAAACAAAAAGCATCCTAATCGGCGATCTGTTTCAAAATTCAGATGCAACAGACATTTACCCACACACACACGAATGGCCATCAAACTTATAACACCCCCCTTTTTTCGTCAGGTGTTAAAATTTAGTTGAAAAAATAACAATTATAAAAATAATAGTTGCTGCGAAAGAGTCAATCTTCTGTATATATAAAAATGGATTGCTGTTCCTTAGTCTCGCTAAAACTCGAGAACGGCTGAAACGATTTGGCTAATTTTAGTCTTGAAATACTCCTGGAAGTCCAGGGAAGGTTTAAAAGGTGAGAAAAATTAGAATAATTGCCGGAAAAACCATAAAAACAGCTCTTTTCTATTTCCCATACAAGGTTTTTTTTGACATTAGATTTGACAACTAACTAATATGTCAATCATTCTGTCTGATTGAAACAGGCAAAACCTGATTATTTATGGCCTCTAAGACGGAATAGAGTTCGCCTGGTCAGCTATACCTACATATATTACTCTTGACCAAACTAACGCGGACGAAGTCGCGGGCAAAAACTAGTCACAAATAAAAGAAAAATTTATGCCCATGACTATTTCTATTAGATCCTGGTGATAGTAAATAAACAGATTTCATATACCGGATAGCATCTAATATCTATCCGTATTTTATTAAACCAGATTCGAACGTAGTTACTCCCACAACTATTACAGTTTCTTATTAGTGCTATGGCGTCATGCCATGAAAATCATCTATTTGGCTTTGTGACGGTTATCACCCTACGCATAATTTATTCTCTCAAAACATTTCGGTCTAACTCGTGATCATATTATCCTAGTTAGAGAACAGTTTTAATGTCTTAGTGATCATCATTTAGCCAATCTTGGTCCACCGCTGGACATAGGCCTCGCTCAATTCGCGCCACAATACAACTTATGTACAAGCATATATTATATATTGATATAAGAATTTAGCATGTATAACCACTATCTAGAGAAGAAAAACTGGAAACCAAACCCTATGCCAAAGTAGGCCAAAAACCTCCCTATGGCATTAGTGATGGTGATATAAAATAATCATAATCTAAATATATCGGATTATACAGTTTAACTGCGCGAGACGATCACTGATACATATTTTTAAGTTTCAACCGATCACCTAAAACTTTGTTATGTCTAATATATCTTTTAAAGCTCCGGCACAATTAAAGAAAACAAAAAAAGAAAATAGTCATAAATTTTTTTCAATACAGTTGGTCACACCGCTTGTACGCGATCTCTTCCAGACAACCTGCAACAAATAACAATCATTGCACGACATATAAAATATTGTACAACTACATATACAGGGTGACTGGTGAATTACTATCGATACTTGAGGACGTGATATTTGACGATCATATATGACAAAATAAAAATTAATATAACATAAATATTAATAAACTTCTAAGTAAAGTTAACCAATACTTATGTAATTAATTACGCATCGTGTGAACACCCTACAGATTAGATATACACACACATACACACGCGTGCAGCGGCGTGGTGTTGTATCAGCACGCCGCCGCACGCCTCCAAACTTGGAACGTGTCCACACTTTATTTTTTTATACGGAAATTTGGTCAAAAATTAAGTACCTATTTTTTTTACATAATTCGAATGAGAATCATGTACCGAATATTCTCCTTAAATATTGATAGTAATTTACCAGTCACCCTGTATAAGACATAGTATATCGTCGATGAAATACCAATACCTCCTAAGTGTTGGGAATCTAATTTTACACCAGAACAAAAGAAAAAAAAGACCTAAACAAAATTAACATGTATCAATAATAACATAGATGTAATAAAATTATAATGATGAACAAGAAAAGTTGTCTTAGTTAGCTTTAAATAAATAAACTGTATAACATTTTTAGAGAAAGCTAAAGATTTAATTTTTTTTAATCTATGAAGGGAGAGCATTTCACGATTTAATATCATAAACAGTGAAAGACTATTGAAAGGTTTTTGAATTATAGTCAGCAGCGATATCTATACACCTGTGTATAGTTTAACAGTGCCACTGTTTTTTTGTGCTTATATATAAACAAAAAAACAGAAACTAAATAATTATAATTAATAAATTGTCAGTTGTATACATAAAAGAAATTTATTTTAATTTAAATAGACCTTATACAATAAACTAGTAATTGTAAAAATTCGGCAGTTTCCAAATAAAAATCGAATATTTTTTTTTAAGTGACAACACTAAAATAATCGTCAATTTAAACGATGCAACAAACGTCTCTTAATTTTAACGGTCGTTCAATTTAAAAAGTGCGGGGCTTTGTTTCGGTTAAAAAATGTGAAATTTTCTTAATTTTTTAAATTAACAATACTAAAATGTCGGAAAAACTCAAAGACTATCAAGTGCTTGACGTTTTTTGCGACGGCTCATATAAAGTAAGGCACAAGGTCACTAATAGTATACATTTGTGGAAGGCTTACAATTGCTCCTCTCCGATGAACAATTACAAAATGTGGATAATGAAGTGAAAATATTGAGCAAAGGTTTATCTGGCAACTTCTTACGTTACTACGATATACGATATTACATGGTCCGACCAAGACACTCTACTTTACTTTTGTTCTCGAATATAATTCTTGGCAGAGTCTTGAGGAACTGATCACACAATGCAAGACGCACAACAAGCATTTTGGAGAAAGTTTTATATGGTATTTACTGCTGGAGTTGGCTCGTTTATGCAAGACGGTCGAAACTCTAAATTTCGTCGCTTTGAAGAAAAGTATAAAACCAGCTTCGATTTTCGTCAGTGAGGATGGTGATTTGCGAATAAATTGCTTCGAATTATTCGAAGAATCTGTTGGGTCTAATCTAATGCAAGAAATCGGAGAAGTTATACGAACATTGTGTTACCTGCCTGGAGCTTCTGATGACAAAATCCGCGAGTTTCGTTACAGTGACGACCTTCAAGATGTTATAAGCTTCATAACAGATGACAAAAATGCCAACCTCCGCCCCGACGTGGTGCTTTACCATCCAACTGTACTTACAAACACTGAGAGTGTAACAGGTATTACACTCAAAAGTATTCTCATGTCAAATGAAGTCTCAGGTCAAGATTCAGAAGTAAACAAGTGTGATTCTGAAAAGGCTGTTGAACAGATGAGAATGATTGAACCCCTTCCAAGATCTCACTTCAATGGTAATGTGAGCCCTGTGTATTGTAATTTGAGTCCTAAATGGCAGATGAAAACAGATGGTGATGGTAGCAAGTCTCCTATGATGTCTCCAATGTCTCCTACTATTGCTGCCCTAGCACTGGAGCTACCAGGTTTCGTTCCACGCTGTAGAAAGCCTTATACAGAAGCTTTGGATATGTATAATGTTCCTCGGAAAGTTTCAGAAGAAACATTGAGTCAACAATGGATGTCTAGACTCATTGCTTTGAGGCAGAGAGAGGAATCATTGAATGTTAGAGAGAGAAATCTCATTGCAAAAGAAATTATCAACAGTCCAAGTATCGAAATGGCAGGTCATGAAGATTCCGGGGAAGAATGTCATATGGAAAGCAATGGGATAACATTGCCACCAGTATTTACACAGGCTAAGGGAGATAGAAACCAATGCGTCCTACAACGGCGCCAAAAACGGTCTAGCTCGGTCAGAACTAGGAACAGAAGGAAGAGTTATGCTTACGAAGACTTAGACAGCTCCTTGTCAGCAGATCCCGGGGATAGCAGCATCATTATAACAGCTGCTAAGATCACTAAAGATAATATGCCTCACAGGAATATATTTCCTGAAACATCCTCTAAGAAAGTCCACTTCACATCCAACAATCCATTCGTTGAGAGTGATGACAGTGTTACATTGACCTTTTACGAGTTGGAAAATGTGAAACCAGGTATATCCAAAACCAAACCGAAAGAGAACATTCTAGATGACATAACAAAGTTTAAATATTTAGATTTGGAGAAAATTACTACTGAGAAAAGAGCTGCAATGCAGTGGAATCACTCGTCACCATCAAAACAGGCAAAGATATCAGGGAAAGTGTTCAGTGATATTACTAACAAGGGGCTGAGGAAGACTCCTTCTAGAAGTAGTGTTACATCTAAGAGTAGTATGTGTAGAAGTGCTTTGTCTAAGAATCAATGGTGTACTGATTCAAAGGTAAGCCAAGATAGTATGGAGCCCCAGTTAGATCACAAAATGCAGTATTCCTTAACACCTAAAGCACCACCTGACATAAAGAAGTCTCGTAGGAAGTCTCTGTTGCCATTTAAAACACCATTTAAATTTAAAACTTCTACTAAAGTGTAATATGTAATATTTTTTACTGTTGAGATGCAATTAATATCATACATCATTTATAAGTGTATTAGTATAGGAACACTGGTTGTGGTATCTTGAGCTTCTGGTAGCTTGTAAGTCTGTTAAGTTAGTTCAATAGTTCACATTTTACTGAACTGAATATATTTTTCTTTATTTTATATTTGTATATAAGAATGATACGGACAAAAACCCACCCTAATCTTAGATAGTAGAATGAAATTATATAATAAAAATTTAATTGTATAGTATTATTATAAAATTTTATGTGAATTGTCTCATTGTATTGAATAGAATATATTATATATTAAGAGTATATTGTAGTGTTCTGACACTGTTTTTATAGTGTTTGTCAAGAACACATTAGTCTGTGGTCTTCCATTTTTCATTATATATTAATTAGTAATATACTATCTTTTCATTTGATATAAGATATTTTGAGGCCATACTTGTAGGTGTGTTAGTTGTGTAGCTTCTATATTTAGTTATATGTAACGTTTTAGAATAGCTGGGATTATAAATAAAATAAAAAGGTTAAGGAAAACCTTGGAGTGTTTTATTTATCAACAAATACAATAGCAACAAATTTACTTTTTCTTATTCAAGGCCTTGTCGGCTCCCTCGAGGAACTTCTTGGGCAGCCCATACTTCTCTATCAGCATCTTAGCCACAAAATGAGTCTGAAAACATTATATTACTTATACAATAAACTTTTGATGAATGTACCAAGTAAATAATATCTAATCTTACACAGCAAACTTTCTTTTAAATCAAAACTTTTTTTATATTAGTCAAAAAGCTTATAATATTCCTAATTAAGCAAATCCTTTCTTTTTTAAACATTCATATTTTACAATATCTAAGAGAAACAAAGCAGTTTAAATACAATTTTGATATAATATAAATTAATTTTAATATATATATATTTCTTCAAGCAATATGAAAACTAAAACAAAAAACTGGTTAGGAATAATTGGAGGTCTTCCTAATGTGATTGCTTGCTTTTGTTCAATAGATATTAACCGTCAGTATATAATATACCTGATCCCCTTGTATCATGAGCTGATCATGTTTGCTGCCCGGTGAGCGTGTGACTCCACAAGCCGCGCCTGCCCCTGCCTGCCACTGGCGAGTCAGGCAGGAAAGCTCCAGGCCGTAGTCTTGAAGATTGGAAACCAGAGTTACCTGCCACATACAACATTAATATGTACTGATGATGAGGGACGAGTTTTAGACTAACAAACGACAAGCTTTCCGCCCGCGTGGAGTTCGGTTATATCGCGTTTCCAAGAGAACCTTTCAATAGTCTCTGATAATAACTATCCTATGTTCTTTCTCAAGGTCAACTCTATACGTACCAAATTTCATTAAAATCAGTTCAGTTCAGTGGTTTAGGTTAAAGCGTAACAGATAGAGTTACTATCGCATTTATAATATTAGTATAACAGCTGCCATAATAGAAGATAGTATATACATAACATATAGATGTAAGTAACCTTCTTGTTCCCGCTGCGCATGACGACCTGCATGCTGATGGGTTGCAGGCGCACTTTACTGAGGCGTTGGGTGCCGTCGGCGAAGCACGTTTCAGTGGCTGCCGTCATACGCGCGAGGACGCACGACATTACCTCCTCGCGTTTCATCACCTCCTGGTACCTCATAAAACATGAATTACACTTCTTCTTCCTGGCAATTTCCCAGCTTTAGCCAGTGTCTGCCAAAACTCATCCGCAGAACATGTTATAGATAGTTTCGGCTAATTGTTTGTTACGACCGGCCGTCTGCCTGACATCAACCCATTTATGGGAATGATTGGAACATGAATTACACATACCACAGAAATTCCCCCCTCCCCACTCCCGTCTAGCCTTACGGCTTCTATGTTAAAACTGAAGAAAGTAATAAATATATTGTTACTAATTTTTATTGAGTCAAAAATTCTTAGAAGACAATTTTGTGCGTATGATATAAAATATATTGAATATTGTAGAAACTGAATGTGTGCTAATATTATATGTATGCTGACCTCCGGCCGTCTCCCGGTGACCTTAGCGAGCGTCGCGTCCAGTACGACTGACCCGCGTTGTGGCGCGACCAGCTCGTGACTCTTGATGTACTCGGTCAGTGTGACGCGGACCTCGCTCGCAGACAACGGCGTGCCTTTCCTACATACACACAAAAACTATCACATCTCGGCCGGTCTATCATCTGTATATCCCTACTAATATTATAAATGCGAAAGTAACTCTGTCTGTCTGTCTGTCTGTTACTCTTTCACGCCTAAACCACTGAACTGATTTTAATGAAATTTGGTACTGAGATAGAGTTGACCTTGAGAAAGAACATAGGATAGTTTTTATCCCAGACTTTTGAAACGTTCTCTTGGAAACGCGATATAACCGAACTCCACGCGGGCGAAGCTGCGGGCGGAAAGCTAGTATATAGATAAAAATGGATTGCTGTTCCTTAGTCTCGCTAAAACTCGAGAACAGCTGAACGGATTTATCTTATCTTAGTCTTGAAATGTTCGTGGAGGTTCAGGGAAGGTTTAAAAGCTGAAAATTTTTTATTAATTTCCGGGAAAACCCTCAGAAACAGCGCTTTTTTATTTCCCCTACAAACGTTTTTCTTTTACATTAGATTTGACAACTAACTAATATGTCAATCATTCTGTCGCACAAAACACAAAACACGGAGATTTATGGCTTACAGGTAAACACCAAAAAAATATATAAAAATACGTAACAGATATTTCTTGATTATAGAGCGATACGAAGTTCGCCAGGTCTTGTAGTAATAAATAAATAGTAAATCTACTAACTTGAGAGGCTGGAATAAGTCCACGACGTTGGCCGTGATACAGTACAGTTCCCTGATGGTGGGCGGCACGTATTCGTCCTCGGCCCCCCTCTCCCCGCCAGCCGTCCCCCCCACCGCCCTCCGGACCGCGCGGTGTGACGTCACGAGGGGGTGAGAGGTCGCCACGGACACTAGGGCGTCCACTCCCTTCTCTATCTCGCGGACTTCGATGAGGCCTTCCTTAAATTATAAATAATTTGAAGCGATTATACAAGACAGGAAGACTGAATTACATAATATATGTTTAATACCATGTTTCTTCATTGATTTACACATTATTATTGTGTATGTAACCTGGCAGGCGACTTCACAGAAGTATGCGAAAAGTCCAATAAAATGTAAATTAAAACCGAAATATTTAGTTTAATTTTTACAATTAATTTTTATAGAATTCATTTTGTCATTAATTGTTTTTATTAAAAATACACTTAAGAGTTAGTCTTATCTGGCAGTCACTTAGTAATCAGTAATTATTTTAATGTCGAAACAAATTAACAAACTTGGTATAATATGTAGTAGATACTTCCAATATTAATGTTTTGTAAACGGTTAATAGTTCATATATAACAAGATGTCATGTAGATGTCGCGACCAAGCTACCTCTGCTAATCACTAAATGTACATTATAATACATCGTACCGTACCGTACAATGTGGTTCCGTATATTGTAAACACTATATACATTGCATTAAGTATTATACTGGACCGTACCCGTTGCATGGCCTCCAGAAACTTGCCCATCTTCTTGAAGCTCGACTTCTTAACATCTAAGGTTCGGTCGGACGGACACAGCGGCATGAGGTGGTTCCTTAAACAAACACATGCATCCTATTAACACAGAGAATCAATACTAATATTATAAATGCGAAAGTTACTCTGTCTGTCTGTCTGTTACGCTTTCACCCCTTAACCACTGAATTGATTTTAATGAAATCTGGTACAGAGATAGAGTTGACCTTGAAAAAGAACAGAGGATAGTTTTGATCACAGACTTTTGAAAGGTTCTCTTGAAAACGCGATATAACCGAACTCCACGCGGGCAGAAAACTAGTCATATATAAAATATACTTTATAATGTCTAGAGTAGTCTTTGAATACGAAAGGTGTTCTTTAGTACATCTTGAACATGTTCCCCAAGTCGTAACTCTTTGGAACAATCCTAAATGTTCAAAGTTAATCAAACAATACTAACTTGTATAATAAGTTCGTCTTGAGCGGCAGTTCAACATGTTTAGTCTCCAGTTTAAGAAATGAAAGCAAACACCAACGAAGGAGACCGTCCATGTCACCCGGGATTGAGACTTCACATGATACATCTGAAAAAAAAACATGCATTATATAAAAGGATCAAGTAAAAGATGAATCGTTACTATTGAAATAATCTCACGCCATTGAAAGACGAACCGGTGAGAATTCTAAAGGATATTGACATTTTGTTCCAGATATTAAAAATGATATAAAGTTTGATCAACTACAATCAGCAGACGCCATTTTAAGAGATATAGAAGCATGTGTTGACGTGACTCTCTAATATATTTGTTTTCTTGTTTTAGTGTATTCATTTGTATTGTTTATTGTAAGTAAGAAATTACAATCAACATCAGAATTTTCGCGAGTCTTATACATTTAAATGAAATTCATATTTTTAGGATGTACTATGTGACTTTAATTTTGATAAAAACTACATACTCCCAACGTTTCGGCTACTTTACAGCGACCGTGATTACGGTTAGGTGAGATATTTATCAAAACTAAAGTCGCATGGTAATATGAAAAATATTAGCTTCATTTAAATCATTATTATCTCATTCTAGAACATCTATCCACATCTTCACTTGTGTTATTTACTACCTGACTCTGCTGTATTATTGAGGTCATTATTTTCCTCGTCTTGTGATACATTTGTAATTGTTTCAGGGACTGAGTCAACAATGACTGCCGGTTCATTGATGGGAGCAGACTCTGTCTTCACTAGACTTGGCCATTCGTCTTTGACTGGTTGAATGTTTAACTGTGAATGTTATGCATATACAAAATATATATAATTTGGAAACATTTTGAATTAAATTATTTAATAATTCCCTCCTCTTTTCTATATTTGTTATAGATTTTTAAATGAATAAATCATAACATAAACAAGATAATGTAAGATTTATTATTTTCAATCAAAGACTAAGTATTTTTATTAATATACAGCAGTATTAAGTATGAAGTAATGTTACCTTATTGATCTCATTAGTCAAAAGTTCAGTTATGTTGTAGGATCCAGGATCTAGTTTGGGTCTCTCTATTTTCACAAATTTCTTTTCTTTACACAATTGATCCCCAAATACATGAAGGATTTCCAGACAAACACCCCTGTCAATTGAAAAAGCTTAATTTAGATATAATGAGAATATATATATGTGTATGTAATAAATAATATCTATATACACTATTAGTGACAAAAATTCTATGTTATTAACTACATCATGCAAAAGTTCTTAAGCAAAAACATTACAGAATACTTAGAAATTTTCTATCTATTACAACAAATGTGACAAGCACTTAATAATCTTTTTAAACCTGACACCTGACCTACATTCTGTCTCTCAGTAGTTCAGAGGAGGATATTGTGGCTCGTCCAACTATACAGGCAGCGGCATTGTCCCCGGTACAAGCAGCTACCAATGCTCCTGAAGGATACTGGGGGAACTGACCGTGAGTGTTCACACCAGGAACATACAGAGGGGCCCCTCCTTGGATCTGAAGAGTTAGAATACACATTTATATATACTTTCCTTCATTACTTCTTTAATATATGATAGAAAATAATGTAAATACATAACACTTATATTAACAAATGAAAGATATTAACATTAATGGATCAATGACTGTAAAAATTATGTCCTATTAGGAGAGGTTATGATAAATAATTACTAAGGAAAATAAGATCACAGAGCATAAATCTTACCTTCTATAATATTAAAGGGTGAGTGTATATTAAGTTACACCACAATAATCAATCAATTCAATCGATATTATAATGAATTATATTCTAATCAATATTGAAATCATATAAATCTATATATTACCTTACTTAGAACTGGGGTGTGTATACAAATAATGGGCACCAAATCTGGGGCTTTCCACAGAGCACAGACAGTTGGGATCAAACTTTCACCGAGATCGATCATGATGGGTACTCCATCCATCACATACACTCCTGCAGTGTCTCCAGAGTGAAGCACTAACTCCATATAACTAACATTTGATTTGTTCGGAACTAACTCCTTGACTTTTTCTTCAGTAATTCCCGGAAACTCATATTGTATACGTTGCGCAAGTTGTTTTCTGAAATATGAATCCTTGAGATTCTGAAGTCTTGACATGAAATTTAATTAAACATTAACTTAAATGACTACGCAATGATACCTACTTCCCTGAATTTTTCAATGTGTTGTTTGATTTTAATTTGTACGGTTTGGCGAACATAGTTACTGGGTATTTAAAACAAATGTAAAAAAATAAATTATTTAGTATCTAATGAGTTTTAAATACCCATACTCTGCGCGCGGTGTTTTTGACACTATCAAAAGGAACATCTGCTGTTGTGACTTATGTGATATGTCAGACGTCTGAAGTAACGATTCATGAACTGACATGTTGTATTCTTATTAATATTGGTTGGGAGCATTAATGCTTGGAGGTGAATGTTTTATTTTAAAAACAATTCCCATTCCACTAAGCTGTTATTAGAATTATATTTTTTTTATTATATAAAAGGAGCAATACGAGCACACGTCATACTTTATAGGAAGTATTCGCCGTCGCCCATGGACATTTATAACATAAGAGGAAGGGCAGGAAAGGGCTGGAACAGGAAAAAGGTAACATGTTCTATCATTCATCGGACTCAACGCAGCCATTAAAGGCTACCTGACGCCGATCTTCAGTGAAAGGGTTATACATCCCTGGTGGAACCAGCCCACGTTCTAGATGTAGGAATTTGACACAGCTAGGCTCTGCCTCCAATATGGTGTGAAGTTATGAACTCTGTATATGGTGTGTTTTAGAAGTCTACCACTTCCTCAGGAAACAGTTCTACTGAAAGAACGGATACAGTGCCCAACCATTTTAAATTAAATTATTTTTTTTTTAATGCTGATAAAAAAATACAATATTCATTAATTGCAATAGTTGCAATACTATTATAAAAATAAATAAATTAGTATAAATATCTATGTTATACAAAATACTTTATTCATTAAATATATAAATTATTTACAGTATTTTATTAATATCTTAAGTTCATTATCATCGGCCTATCAGAGACCACTGCTGAGGAAAGGCCTCTTCACATTTGGATAAGGTTTGTCCATTAATCACCATGCTTACTCAAGGCGGGTTTGTGATTTCAAACCTATAATTGTGAAATTATAAGTCCAGATTTCCTCACGATGTTTTGCTTCGCCGTCTGTCAGTTGTGTCCAAAATATTCTCTTATAACAAGTACTTTCTCTGAAAAATCACATTGGTACTTGCATGGTTTCTACCCCCGCGCCCTCATACACGAGAGGCTGGCCTTTAACCTCTAGGCTACTATTCACAATATTAAGTAATATAAATGAATGAAAACTATTCCCCTAATCTTATACATTTAAATGAGCAATTCTTGTATATATAACATATTTATTGGAATCTCGGAATCAGCTCTAACGATTAGTAGGGGATTTCGGCGGCGATAAATCGATCTAGCTAAGAATCATTTTTAGAAAATGTAATTTTATTAAAAAAAATACACAAGGAGTCGTTTAAAATATGACTCTTCCTGACATCTATTGGCGAATAGTAATACTACTTTTTACTATTTGCTTTTGCTAATTGCTTTAACGACACAACAGCAGATGGCGTTGTTAAGTACCAGGAAGTCAATGTTTGTTTTTTCTGGGACACGAATAAACCAAATAGCGTATATTCACCCTTATATTGTGTTGTGTCTTCTTATAACGTGTTCACATAAAAATGCCTAAACGAATTAAAAAAAAAAACACAAAATAAATACTAATAAATAATAATCTTATATATTATTTTTAATAAATATGACTCTTCCTGACATCTATTGGCGAATAGTAATACTACTTTTTGCTATTAGCTTTTACTAATTGCTTTAATGACCCATCAGCAGATGGCGTTGTTAAGTTCCAGGAAGTCAATGAGTGTTTGTTTTTTCTGGGACACGAATAAACCAAATAGTGTATATTCACCCTTATATTGTGTTGTGTCTTCTTATAACGTGTTCACATAAAAATGCCTAAACGAATTAAAAAAAAACACAAAATAAATACTAATAATTGCTAAATACCGAAAAAAGCTAACTTATTATAGCAGCTTCTTCAAACACGGCAGTAGCTATTTACAAATGCTATGCAAGAATCATAATTTATTGACAGTTTTTTTTAACTTTGAATAAAGTTGAAAAAAACTGAAGTGATATGACGTTGGCGTACTTAGTTTCGTTGAGATTGTAGTACTTAATTATATATAATGGATAAAGGTTGATAATAAATGCGAATTAAAATAAATTGCAGCGTAATTGTTGAGCACTACAAACGATTAAACTTGTAACAAACAGAAACAACCTAAGAAATAAATATACTTTTATATTCACGAATGTATTGAATATTATATTACGTTTTTTTACTAATTTTTTATACATACAAGTTCATGATCCGAACTTTCGGTTTTTTTTTACATCAACCGTGATAACGGGCTCGTACTGCGTAACTTAGCATTATTTGGATGCGTACACAATTTCAATACTGTATATTTTTTATATATCATGTTAAACATCATTATTGTTAGCAAGTAGGGGAGAGTCGGATATATCGTACCACTTTTCACTTTAACTCAAATATTTCGACTAAAACACGTCTTATAATAATTAATACAAATGTAAAATAAAGTTTCATATTTTAGCTTCCTAAGAAGAAGAGAACAGATCCTTGCGATTATTCTAACATTGTTAAAAATGCTTTTTTATAGAGGCTTGCCATCGGTACGATTTAGCCGACTCGTCGTTTTAATCGTACCACTAAGTCTTTAAATCGTACCATGGGTGTGTAAGTCGTACCACTGAATGAAAGACATTAAAATTCTCAATCAAATTATTTATTTTTGACTGTTAGGTAAGTAATAAAACAACATTATTTATATCTTTTAGGTAATAGAAACATAATTTTTAACCCTTAGGTTATATAAAGGAACTATAAGCTTTCTCAGTAAAATAACATGATTATACTATGATAATGAGGTCAATCAACATTACTAATAAAAATGAGACAAATAAAAAAACAGTAAACTATAATAATAAAGTAACAGTTAACAAGAATGTTATTTGTAATATAATTATTGTACATATTTCTTAATGGAAACAATCATGACAAATGTTTTCAAAAATTCGAAGTACACGTCTCATGTAGCCACCGTTTACAGCGAACGCATTGAATCGAATCAACTTTTGGACTCTTCTTATCCTAGTAAGAACAATTGCACTTTCGACATATATTTTCAAGATAATCATCGCTGTCATCATCATCATCTAGTTCTACAACAGTGTCTCTCCTGAATCATCGCTACTGGTGATGGAATGAGATCGTTTCCTCTTATAACTTTTGTTTTTGGCCTTGGGTAGTACTTACTATACGTACTTGCGGTAGTACTATAGGTACTTGCGGTTGGTAGTCGGGTAAATCGTACCAGTACAATTTAACCAACTGCAAATGGTACGATTAAACCAACTAAGGCATTTCTAAAACAAAAGCAAATATCCGGCATAAACTCAAAACTGAGCCACGCAACAAACACCCCCAATAATCTAGTATACGATTGTGGAATAATAAAAAAAAACTGAATAACTATAGCTTACCTTTATTACGAGTTATCTACTTACGAATGTACGACAATATTTATATTAATTCCTACAAAAAATGTTTTTTTTATTACGTGCACAGTTGTTAACTCATGTCGATTTAAACTAGTGGGTGAAGAGGGATGGTGCAGGACCACGATTTGGCGTGGTCAATGTAAAAAAAAATATTCATTAAATGGGAAATTTAGAGGTGGTACGATTTAAATGCTAGTACGATATAACCAACTCTCAGTATTAGTACTTGAATTGGGCAATCTTTTTCTTAAATTCGTCAATGATGATCCTTCAAACATTTAAACGCCAATTATGAAAAATATTTAATAAATGTTTTGCTAATATTAGTTTTATTCAAATGAATGGGGTTTGAATTAAAACTAAGTAGGTACATATGTGTCTATAAGCAATTCCCTTTCAGGTTGCTTATCTTTGTTAACATATAGGTACATATTAAGATTGTTGCGTTACTATATATAAAGTAGTAGAATAATAAAATAAAAAAAAACACTAGAAAATTGACCGACGAACATAAATCACAAAATCCGGATCAGTTAATTTCTTTCACACAACGATATTATACCACACATGTGTGAACGTAGTCTTTAGCTTATAATGTAAAATTTTAATTTTCGTTAAAAGTTTTATTGAAAATGTATCTTATTTTTATATAGTTCTGTATCGTACTGAATTTCGAAAGGAGAGGAAAGGGTGGGAACAGGGAAAAGGCAACCAACTACCTTCCTCATCGCACGAAACGCATCCATTAATGGGTACTTCACACTGATTTTCTGTGAGAGGGTGGTACATCCCCAGACGAGTCAGCCTATGTTTCAGCTTTAGTAAATTGACCACAACTAGTTTCTACATCCAAGTAATAAACTCTTTAAAAACGCAGGAATAAATGTCAGTAAAAATAATTTGTTTTTTACAGAATATTTACCTTAACAATAAAAGTAGGTTCATCATGGGGTTGAGGTATGAAAACCGTATATTCGAATGTCATTTTACTTCTAACAAACTGAAATTGAAAAAAGTGTAGGTATATCACGGCCATATTAGTTGTCAAGGCAATTAGTCATCGACACAAGACAGTAAACCATTGGGTGATATCTTTGTGACAGCAAATCCTCAGGTAATAGATTATGATTATAAGGGATTGGTAGAAACGGAATTCTATTTAAGTGCACATATTTAAGAATATTTTGTTAAACCTATCTTTATTTACGAAAACAATAGCAGATATTACTCAAAGGTTTTTTTTTTGTATTAGGTAGTTGAATATATTTTAACCAACGAAAAAAGGCATTATGAAATATAGATTTAAATATTTTGTTCTTACAAAATTCCGTTAATAGTTCAACTTTGTCTCTTACAGTTACCAGTGTACTATACATAAATTGACAAATTGACAATTTAAAATATTTTGAGTCAATGGTCTAGCAACATTGCTTAAGTAAGTCAATGTTGAGGCTTAAAAGGACTCGTATTCGAAGCCGCAATAACTTGTCTAAAAAAAAGATAAATCAAAATTTACTACATTTTATTTTTTGATGATAAACTCCAATTCGCATAACACAAGAGTTACATATATATCAAACTAGTGAGACGGTGAGCGGTGACGGCAGGGTGTACGTTATTGGGGCGAACATCTTGTTGTAGTAGGTGTACCGGCGTCTGTGAGGAGTCACTGACGCACGGACCGGCACCACGGGCAGGGACTGCGGCGCTGGCACTATCATCTTACGACACTGCAGACAATATACTTTTGTTCAAAATTATCTATCAATAGTACAATAAACAATATTTAAGTGGACTATCTTTTTAGCCCTCGTTACACAATCTTGTAATAAACGTCGTAATGTGCAGTGCTTTTGTCTGTTCATATAATTTATTATCATTAGTATAGCAGCCGGCACGTAACTCCGCAAGGTACATCAAAAGTGGTATTTTGTTGCTTATCATTAACAAACTCGTAACAGTAACAAAACAAAGGGTTCAATTTAAGTGCTCGCAAGTGGACACTGACTTCAACAGACCACTAATCCCGCGCACGAGACTTCCTCGCGTGCCGCATGAAACTTAGGACTTTTCTATATATCGCCTCTAGTCAAGCCAAGTTACCTCGATAGGGAGTACATATATATCTTTAATTTGCACTCTTGACGACTGTCATAGGGTGCCGTAAAACTTTACATGTAGATAAAACTTCGTAAAAGCTGTTCAATTAATGATCCCAGGACCCAGACATAATAAATATTCTATCAAAATGGAAAGTATTATAAGGCTAGGTTTGATCGCCTTTGAAAATTTGAAAAAATTTGATCGGATTTGAAAACGAAGCATCTTTTGTATAGAGAGTTTACCATAAAATAACACTTACCTAATATTTTTTCATCAATATCTGGAATCCATCTTGAGTCAAGCAACCATATTTCTGCCTTTTGCCAGCAAATATCGTCTAACTCCCCGTATAGGTGATGCCACTTTCTTCGTAGTATCAATTATATAAAACATTGAATTATTTGAGCTCGCGAATCATTTTATTCTAAGACTCATGATGCACCAACTAGGTATTACCTGGTTTTTAAGAATTGATAATAACCTTTGATTATCAATTCCTAAAAACGTGAGATCATGAACTCTACGACCTAATAAAAGTAATAGATTAGGTATAGAAGCGCGACGCCACCTCTTGAAACATCATATAGGCTAGTTTGATTAGGAATGTGTGAATTCATGTAATCCAATAACTTTTTTGAATTCCAGATGGGAGGCTTTGCGGATTTTACCATCCAGTCTTACTGCTGTAAAATGCTAGCACTCGAAAATGATTGAACACGTAAAATAGTTTCGTTTTCACTAACTTGTGCAATCGTTTCAGTTTGAACATGAGGCAAACTTCCCCGTTGGGTTTGAGAGTTAAAAAGAAGTTTGAGAGATAGCTGGGAGATGGTTTAGCAAGTTCCCGCACCTCTGTTTTGATCATGTTTTTGATCGCTGCTGACATTTTGGTGTTAGTTTTTGTTCTGTAACACCGCATTACTATGCAATTTGGGTTGATAAAACTTAGTTTTACATAAGAGGGAATTCGGACACGATTTAATAGTTTGCAAATTTTTTCTGGACATCCAAAATGGCTCCAAACACTATGAGACTATCTTAGACCACCTCCTCGATATCTTAAATGATCATTTTCCATGTTTAGGTTTTAAAGAGACTGAGGTTAAGATGTCTTTGATTTGGATCTATCTACCATTTTATTTGATGTAAATGGGGGGTTCTTTAAAGACTGCTGGGTCAGTTTCCTTCTTTTTGATGGCTTTGACCAAAAACGGGATCATCCAGTTGTTTACTGGTAGTAGACCTAGCCCTTGTATTTTAGACTCATCGCTTAATCTTTCGAATAATTTATCTACCCCTCCTACTATCTGAATATAATTTTGAATACCCTTTCTATTAAAAACATATTCTGAACTTGGGGTTATTTTATAAATAACATCACTATGCAACTCCTGTGGAACTTATGTTAAAAGTGATTCCCTTCCCAAATTAAGTATTTGTAATATATCATCCGTTATTCTGTTATACCTATAATCTTTTGAAAATAATGATTCGATTTTATGAATTAGTAAAGTGGTTATTTCGATTCACTTGCCGAATTCACAAGACCCTGCAACGTTTTATGTAATTCTGCTTTTTCATTAAGTAAAGCGTTCGTTCTATCAAGCAAAGGTTAGTTCTAATAAATAGGAACGAGATCATCTTTTAACAATGCTGCATCAAAGCGTTTAACTCAGTAGTCCCCAAACTTATTTTTCTCGTGGACCACTTTCAAAATTTTACTGGTTTCGGTGGACCCCCTGCTGCTACATTTCTACCACATTCTTAAATTCGCCAAAAAATAAAAATTGTGTCAGTTCTGAGTTCTGTCTCTATATTCCGATAGGTAAAATAAAATTTTAGAAATTTTGGAAACAAATGAATGAGTGTTTTCCTAGTGCCTCCTGGCGCATCTAAGAAAAACAATCCACCCTCACCATTATCGATTCTTTGCACAACAATATCATAAACTAATTTTTGTTCCGTGTTCAATCGAGGAACAGACTCTGATATTTGTTGCTGTAAAGAAGAGACATTGTAGTCCAGTTCTCTTATTAAATCACTATTGACTTCTCCGATTCCTTGTGGCCGGTTCATTCCAAAATCTGATAATGTCTTCCCAAATATAGCCATCACTTGGTCTTGAATCTTAGTTAGCGCCTCGTTATAAACTAAATAATAATATGTGACATTGGGATTATTTTGTTGTAGTCTGTTCAAAATATAGTCAGACATATCATTTTGGGACTTTTCCCATAATATCTGAGGATTTGAGAGACCACACGTCGCTATGGGAATGGCAAAAGATCTCTCACCTTAGCTGCTGATCTACTATGTCGAGCCTCTTCTAGTGTCGAGTCCCAATGATTATTTATCATTTTCTAACTTTCATTATTATCGTTAATAAATTAATCAACTGTTAGTAAATCAACTGTTAATAAATTAATCAACTGTTAATAAATTAATCCACTGTTAGTAAATCCACTGTTAATAAATTGATCAACTGTTAATAAATTAATCCACTGTTAGTAAATCAACTGTTAATAAATTAATCAACTGTTAGTAAATCCACTGTTAATAAATTAATCAACTGTTAATAAATTAATCCACTGTTAGTAAATCCACTGTTAATAAATTGATCAACTGTTAATAAATTAATCCACTGTTAATAAATTAATCAACTGTTAACAAATTAATCAACTGTTAATAAATTAATCCTCTATTAATAAATTAATCAACTATTAATAAATTAATCAACTATTAATAAATTAATCAACTGTTAGTAAATCCACTGTTAATGAATTAATCAACTGATAATAAATTAATCCACTGTTAATAAATTAATCAACTGTTAATAAATTAATCCACTGTTAATAAATTAATCAACTGTTAATAAATTAATCCACTGTTAGTAAATCCACTGTTAATAAATTAATCAACTGTTAATAAATTAATCCACTGTTAATAAATTAATCACCTGATAATAAATTAATCCACTGTTAATAAATAAACCCACTGTTAATAAATTAATCAACTGTTAATAAATTAATAAACTGTTAATAAATTAATCCACTGTTAATAAATTAATCAACTGTTAATAAATTAATCCTCTGTTAATAAATTAATCAACTATTAATAAATTAATCAACTGTTAGTAAATCCACTGTTAATGAATTAATCAACTGATAATAAATTAATCCACTGTTAATAAATTAATCAACTGTTAATAAATTAATCCACTGTTAGTAAATCCACTGTTAATAAATTAATCAACTGATAATAAATTAATCCACTGTTAATAAATTAATCAACTGTTAATAAATTAATCAACTGTTAGTAAATCAGCTGTTAATAAATTAATCAACTGTTAATAAATTAATCAACTGTTAATAAATTAATCAACTGATAATAATTTAATCAACTGTTAATAAATTAATCCACTGTAAATAAATTAATCAACGGTTAATAAATTAATCCACTGTTAGTAAATCCACTGTTAATAAATTAATCAACTGTTAATAAATTAATCCACTGTTAATAAATTAATCACCTGATAATAAATTAATCCACTGTTAATAAATTAACCCACTGTTAATAAATTAATCAACTGTTAATAAATTAATAAACTGTTAATAAATTAATCCACTGTTAATAAATTAATCAACTGTTAGTAAATCCACTGTTAATAAATTAATCAACTGTTAATAAATTAATCAACTGTTAATAAATTAACCCACTGTTAATAAATTAATCAACTGTCAATAAATTAATCAACTGTTAATAAATTAATCCACTGTTAATAAATTAATCAAATGTTAGTAAATCCACTGTTAATAAATTAATCAACTGTTAATAAATTAATCAGCTGTTAATAAATTAATCCACTGTTAATAAATTAACCCACTGTTAATAAATTAATCAACTGTTAATAAATTAATAAACTGTTAATAAATTAATCCACTGTTAATAAATTAATCAACTGTTAGTAAATCCACTGTTAATAAATTAATCAACTGTTAATAAATTAATCAACTGTTAATAAATTAACCCACTGTTAATAAATTAATCAACTGTCAATAAATTAATCAACTGTTAATAAATTAATCCACTGTTAATAAATTAATCAAATGTTAGTAAATCCACTGTTAATAAATTAATCAACTGTTAATAAATTAATCAACTGTTAATAAATTAATCAACTGTTAGTAAATCAGCTGTTAATAAATTAATCCTCTGTTAATAAATTAATCAACTGTTAATAAATTAATCAACTGTTAATAAATTAATCAACTGTTAATAAATTAATCCACTGTTAATAAATTAATCAACTGTTAGTAAATCCACTGTTAATAAATAAATCAACTGTTAATAAATAAATCAACTGTTAATAAATTAATCCACTGTTAATAAATTAATCAACTGTTAATAAATTAATCAACTGTTAGTAAATCAGCTGTTAATAAATTAATCAACTGTTAATAAATTAATCCTCTGTTAATAAATTAATCAACTGTTAATAAATTAATCAACTGTTAATAAATTAATCCACTATTAATAAATTAATCAACTGTTAATAAATTAATCAACTATTAGTAAATCAGCTGTTAATAAATTAATCAACTGTTAATAAATTAATCCACTGTTAATAAATTAATCAAATGTTAATAAATTAATCCACTGTTAATAAATTAATCAACTGTTAACAAATTAATCAACTGTTAATAAATTTATCAACTGTTAATAAATTAATCCTCTGTTAATAAATTAATCAACTGTTAATAAATTAATCAACTGTTAGTAAATCCACTGTTAATGAATTAATCAACTGATAATAAATTAATCCACTGTTAATAAATTAATCAACTGTTAATAAATTAATCAACTGTTAATAAATTAATCCACTGTTAATAAATTAATCCACTGTTAATAAATTAATCAACTGTTAATAAATTAATCCACTGTTAATAAATTAATCAACTGTTAATAAATTAATCCTCTGTTAATAAATTAATCAACTGTTAATAAATTAATCAACTGTTAATAAATTAATCAACTGTTAATAAATTAATCAACTGTTAGTAAATCCACTGTTAATAAATTAATCAACTGTTAATAAATTAATCCACTGTTAATAAATTAATCCACTGTTTACTAATAAACTAATTAAAACCTATTCACGTGTTCTTAGAAGTTAGAAAGACAAATGACAATATTTAATAATAATAAAATAGCGAAAAAATTATATGAACAGTTTACCGACCTATCAGAGAGCCCCGTTTCATTAGTTAGTTGTCAAATCTCATATCGAAAAAAAACGTTTGTAATAAAACAACTACTAATAAATTAAAAATTAATGAAAAAAACATTGTCCAGCGGACAAAATTGTGAATCTAGAGTTTAACTCATCATTGACAGATAATTTCATTTATCTGGGGAAAGCTAAATAATTCTATTGTGCCTTGAAAACCGAATAACATACCAACCATCACAATTAAATCTTTGTAACTCAATTAATTCTTTAAGGTATTTTTCATTTTATTTCATAAAAAGCAGATCTTTTATTGTCGTACTAATTTCAGATAATATATTTAGCTGAATTGATGATTCATCATTAGATCGCTTTAAATTTAAATCGCTTCAAAGTGACGCGTTACTATCTAGCTTTACATTTGTATTTTCATTGCTTTTTGTTTTAAGAATTGTTTAGACGGTAACTTGTTGAAATACGAAATCAAAATGAGCATAACTTGCAGTATTTAATTTTTTTCCCGTTTTTCATTTTACTGATTTACAATCACAACTTCTCAAAGAAACACTTTCACTATCGCTTGAACTTTTTGTCCATGAGTGCCTTCTTTTCCGAAAATTTGAATTTTCTTCAATACCTTCAGATTTCATTATTTATAAACAGAGGGGTTTCACTTAAAAAGTCTTATAAAATGACCCTTAAATAATCTGGCTGTTTAACAATTTTCCGACTTGTAAAAGGCGCGAAAAACAACGCTATAATGAAGAATATTCCAGCGCTCAGTGTTTTATATAATTGATGCTATAGATAAATTGGCGCCACGACGATATTTACTGGCAAAAGGCAGAATGATGATTGCTTGACTCAAGATGGATTCCTTATACAAAATATGTAAAATAGTATTATATTTTAGAAAGAGTCAGAGTGCAGTCTCAAGCATTCAACCTGGTGCTCGTGGAGAGTTGAATCTAATAAGTATAATTTAGGTGCGAGTGAGGTGTGGTACTGCCGACTATGCATGATTATTAAAACGACAATGCTATGATATCAAAAGATTTATTTTCAATTAAATACAATAATAAAAACTGTTGGCACAATATTGCAAAATGATAGAATGACAGAATTATATATTGGAAGGAGTACGTATCATAAGCTCAGTTTCACTCTGGGTGGAATTTTACAATAAGAAATAAAAGCCACAAGCATTTTACTGAGTTTCAGAAACAGCATCGTCATCTTAAGAAAAATATGAGATGAGATATGTCTAGTCAACTGTGAAGTTTAAGATTTACAAAGTGTGGTGTATTTGGTTAATAAGTAATTATTTTAACAGAATCTATCTAGTGCTTGTCTATCTAAGTGCAAAAATATTTATATTCTATTGTACGAAAATATATTTATGATGTGTGACTTTAAAACTTACAAATTTGTACCCATTGAGGTCGCCGGTGTGAGGCTACGACTCATTATAGTCCAATCACACAATAAGCTCCCGTTATATACGAATATTAAATGTATATAAATGAATAGATACCCCAAATGATGACAACACAGTGATTTAGATACACAAGAAGATATGGATGCAAATATATCACTCTAACATAATGTGAGTTATTAAAGATCGAAGTACTAAGGAATACATGTGTACCGATTACATACACAGTTCACATAATAATGTTTAATGTATCGACTTAAAAATAATCTTAAAATTAATTTAAATATAAAACATTAGATATTGATTGGAAGATAATAATTAACTTACATAATAATTGTTATGATTATAATTAATGTTACATGAGAAATTCATTATGACTAGTCTCCCCACGACTGGAGTATTGCTGATTGTTCATTAAATAATAAAGACTACTCGCTACTGGTTGATAAATATGAGATGCTTAGGAGATCTACACAACCCTCACTAAATACTTTAACGGAAAGACTAATCGCGTCTAGTGATCGAACATACATCGGCTTCCAGGAACACACAGCGGCAGCCCGCGCCCGCCGATGTCAGGATTATAATAATGTCAAGCGTTAAAACTAATGGAATGAGAAACGGTCGCGTCCAGACTTATCTCGGGGGAACCTCCCGCGGCGGTGGACTACGATATTTGGCTTTGATGTGCAGAAATGGCTTTTTGGGAGAAGTGTTGTCGGCGATGCTGGCCTCCAGCGACAGGCGGATGCTCTCCTCGATGGCGGCCTGAGTGAGCCCGGTCGCACCGATGGAGGCGCTCTTTGTGAGCGGTTTGGAGAAATCTATGGGCGTCGCGAGGCTCATGCTGCGAGTCTTCTTAGCGAAGTTATTGGCCAAAGGTTTCTTGGGACCGTTGACGGGGGTGGACGCGAGGCTCTGGCTGCGAGTGGGGCGCGCCGCTGACTCACTGGGCGTGCTGGCGCCGCTCATGCTGCGGGTCTTCTTGGACTGATTCAGTTTATCCGTCCCACAAAACGATTTCCTTTCATTGTTGGGGGCGCTAGCTAGACTCATGCTTCTCGATTTTTTAGGTGCGTTTATTAATGTGTTCGAGGTGAGCGATTTGCGTAATTCGACGGGAGGAGTCCGGATGGACCTCCCGGTCGGCGTGTTCGGAGTGCTGAAGCTGGCTGGTGCGGATTGCTTTCTAGCGCGGGGTGCAGGGGACTTCTTGTCCGTAGACTCTTTGAGAGGCAGGGTCAGGGCGGATCTGTTCCTGGATGATACCGGCTTATTGGGTGTAGAAGTACGGCGGAGCGGGGAGCTCTTCCCGCTATCGGACTTGCAAGCAGTTCGAGCTTTATCGAGCTTAGGATCGACGGGAGAGGTTTTGCCGCTAATAGATGATGCCTTGCTGTCGATGGGAGAGACGGTGCCGGCGAGGGAGGTGCTGCTGGGTGCGGGGGAGGGACTCGGGGAGTGCGAGCGAGCCGGGGGAGGGGAGGGAGGCAGCGGCACGGGGAGCACGTCACGCCGGCCCTGCGTCACGAGGCGCACCTGACAAGGTTCATGGCGGGAGAGGAAGTGCTCGAGCGTGTCCCAGCCGCCGCCCACGCGTACCATCATGTGGCGGCCTTTAAGTAACTGAAATGAGATTACGCACCAATAAGTACATTTTTTATATGTAGATAAGGGATGAAAAACGTATAAGATGATTTTTTTTCGTATGAGTACTAACTCTAATAAACACGTTTCTTCCAGCGATGTTGTATCTCCCTTCGCCGACTTTCTTCACCTTCAGGAGCTTGGAACATTTCCCTGAGCCGCAGTTGCAGCCTCGCTCCATCAGACGCGTTACGAGTTGTACCTGGTTACATGAACAATATGATTGTGTTAATGGATGTATTCAATATATATTGAACATATAGGGTAATAAGTCGGTGGTGGAATAGATGTGAAAAGGCCCGCCTCTCATGCACGAGGGTGCGGGTTCGATCCTGATCCGGGCAAGTACCAATGTGGTTTTCCGAGTCATATGTACTTTCTAAGAGTATTATGATTAATGCTGATACCCAAAAAGAGGGTTGATGTCAGGCAGGCGGCCGGTCGTAAAAACAAATAGCCAAAACTATTCACAACATGTAAGGCAGACCCTGGCTATAGCTGGGAAATTGCCAGGTAGAAGAAGAACATATAGTGTAGTGAGTGTAGTGTGTTTACCCTCTTGTCTAGTTCGTTGGTCGGTCGTAGCGGGACGTCTGTGTCAGAGCTGGATTCAGTGTCCACGGACCTCGTGCTCTCTGCGTCGGTATTATCCTGCAGCGACGGACCAGCTGTAAATATATATAAGTATAAACATCTGTTTCTTAATTTTCTAAAACTTTTACAAAAATATACTTACAATCATTTGGTTCTAGCGATGAAACAGCGTCTTCTTTTTTAGACCTAAAACAAAAAATATGTGATTTAACTTGACAATGTTCAAAAAAATAAATAATTTGACAAATAATGAGATCGAAGATTTTCGCGAGTACTCATTTAAATGAAACTAACTGATTTTACTTCACGGGCAGACGAGATGTGATCACGGTTGCTGAAAAGTAGTCGAAACGTCGGGAGTATGTAGTTTCTAATCAAAAATAAAACGCGAAGTAAAATCCGAAAATATTAGTTTCATTTAATTTGACAAATAGTTGAACCTACTTGTCTCTGATAGGCGAGGGTGAGTTTTCTCTGAACTGCCAGGCTGCCCCTGACATTGCAGAGTCTAGTCCAGAGTCTCGTTCTTCCAAAGCGATCTCCTTTTCCAATTGCACGAGCCCTGGAGGCTCCACATTGAACCTGGTCGCGAGCCGAGCTACCTCTAGCAGACACAGGATCACTTGACGCGGTTGGTTGTGTAACACTAGAAATATATAAATTACGAATATTATCTAACCAGAGACACTTCGGTTATTTAATATCTCGCAAAGGCATTATTTTAACAGCAGTGTCAAAAAGATTCACGACCTTGCTATAAATTATCTCAAAAATGTATTCATGTGAGGATTAATTTGCACAGCGTTAAGAAATTATAATATGATTTTCAAGTATTAAAATTGGATCCGATTGTTCATCTTCTTAACTAATTGAACGTACGTCAGAAAGGCATAATTATTCCGAGTATTTTACTTCTAGTGTGAAAATAATAAACTTATAACATACTTTTAAATAGGGTTCTGTTGCGCTTAAGGACTAGTCAAATTTCACTGATAATTATGTTCACAAATTTCCGATATTACATTTTATTTATATCATTCTCCAGAGTGAAAAACACAATCTTTAACTCAGGAGAGTTTTGAGAATGGATAAATTAATAAAATATATATTAAAAAATAACCTTACCTTAGTCTTGGTACGGTTTAATTGATTCATTAGATTGTATTTACACTTCTAAAATCATTGAATTGTATGTGGGGCAGAGCATTCCGTTCAATACATGACAACATGATTTATGACTATTGATTATACAAATTCAATATATTACACAGTAAAATAAAAGGTAAACTAAAGCAGAAACAAAATTAGAATAACCATATATTCTTGAGGACATTCATCCTCACAATATTTGTGCTTTGTGTTAAACAAACTATGAATATTATAAAGTCTCACCCAGATCATCGCTTTCAAACAGCAGGTTCTCATGAACACCAAGTTCTCTACAGAAGGTGATGAAGTTCTCAGCGTTATCGCGAGAGAAAAAGCTGCGACGAGCTGCTCGCTGCCAGCAGCGGCCGCGGATAGCTGGCACCGGCTGGACGTACAAATAATACGCACAACATTACTTGTCTGAAGAAGGAATTTGAGTGGCGAGCAAATTAAAACATATTGGCCAACCGAGGAATCAAATTGGAGAACTATTCTCCAGAGGCTAGCAATGTAAGTACTCACCAGGTCGTCAATATTGGTTAAAAACGACATCTCCCATGTTGCTTTCATCAAAAATTATTACATACTAGCTTTCCGCCCGCAACTTCGCCCGCATGGAGTTCGATTTTATCGCGTTTCCAAGAGAATCTCTCAAAAGTCTGGGATAAAAACTATCCTATGCTCTTTCTCAAGTACAACTCTATCTCTGTACCAAATTTCATTAAAATCAGTTCAGTGGTTTAGGCGTGAAACAGACAGACAGACAGAGTTACTTTCGCATTTATAATATTAGTAGGGATAGAAACAACAAGAATAGTGTTATGTTATCACGTATATTTCATATAATATAGTGTGTGTCTTACGCCGACTATGAGTCCCTGGTGCAGCGCCTCCCTCGCTCGCTCGTGTATCACCACCGCCAGTTGACACAGCTCCGCGCCGTTGTCCAACACATCCAGGAAGTTCTCCCCGTTCAGGTACGTGATACCTTCAACAAACAGGTGACTTGGAATTATAACATTAAATAGACATATAAATATGTAGTCGTGGTGGCCTAGTGGTTAAAAGCCCGCCTCTCAACATGATGGAGCGGGTTTAATACCTGGCAAGCACCAATGTGAGTTTTCCGAGTCATATGTACTTTTTAAGAGTTTTATTTAGTCACCACTGACAGACAGTAAAAGAAAACATAGTGATAAAACCTGGACTTTTAATTCCCAATTATAAGTTTGAAATCGCCAACCCGTCTTGGGCAAGCGTGAAGAGGCCTTTGTTCGGCAGTGGGCTCTATACAGTGGATGATAAATATAGACAACTAAAGTAACTTTATGATCATATGAACTATATTCAGGGCTTATTTGTAAATGGTCCACTCTTAAATGGTAGGAAAACCACTGGATCTGTTCCACCGATCCACTTGTGACTACATCATAGTTATTATTATGTTTACAATGTAGTAATGTAGAACATGCTTGAACCGTATTCATGGTAGTTGTAAATTACTGTTTATACCATTAACACGTAACATGAATGGTCCAGCGCGCTCGACGCCTGCCGTCCGTTATCTAACCGTATGTTCAATATGCTAACCGTCGTATTGTCACGCTCGTCTGAACCAACGGACACGCTCCCGTGACGTGTCAAAATATATCGTTTTTATAAACAATAAATCTCGAACTAAAATATTCTCGTATAATCAATTGAATAGCCTTCCAAGGTGTTACATAAAATACTCATTTATAATTCATAATCAGCTTGATTGCCCTGTCCTGAGATATAGTTATTTTATTTATTCTCTAGAACTCGCCAAATGGCACGTGTTTTCTATAATGCAGTACGTGATAAAATGAAATAACTACAAGTATGGGTTATTTATAACATATTTTAATATTATCTAACTTACTTTTGTGTATGCGTAATATAAATACAATAATATGTTGGAGGTAAGCTGTTAAATATAAAAGTAGATGTCATAAAGAGTGTCCATATGTTAGTGTCTTCACAGGCGGCGGCTCCAGTGAGTGTACGGTCTCCTGGTGTATGGGTGTGGTGTCAGTGTACATGAGCGACCCTTCATCTCATGCATTATTGATCGCTCGGCTCACAGCTCAGATAACTTTACGATAAATGATACCTTCATCTTGTTATTATACTGGAATAAATTCCACATAAACAACCCGACGGAGAGTATTCCTCTCTGAGACAATTCACAGCCGACAAAATTAATACCGAATCAAATGCTAAGTCTTCGGAACTGTTCTTAATGAAATTTTCGTTTGTTCATATCTAGCAACATCAGATCATAATAGACTTTGTCTGCTAAATTTACCGTAAGAAAGCCAAAAATAATAATCAAAATAGGTTGGTAAAAAAAGACTTTGTAAACGTGAAGTCTATTTTAAATAAAAGATGAAAGTTGCCGCTCATAGACCAGATAAGGATCGGGACAATTCGTCTTACTTATATTCAAACAAAAAATTTACTACATAATAATCAACGACCAGTAATTTTATGAAAAAGTTTTTAGTTAAAAGTACTCAATTGGTTTTTGGATATTCAAAATAAGAAAATGGGAAAGATAACTAATAGTTTGAAACTTAGAGTTATAAGCAAAATAGAAGAGTAATCGACTGTACCAACCAACTGATAATAAGTTGTATATTTTATTTTCAATCTTGGTGTTAGATATGCAATAAATACATATAAATTACAAACATTCAAGTTATGTTAGACTCATAAATATAAATGCACGGTCAGTCGTTACTACGAGTATCGTTGTATTGTCATTGAATGCCGGTTACTCTCTAATCCTTCTATGCGGTTGCGTCATATAATAAATAGGAGAAAAAATTGAGGGGACTCAATAAAAAAAGTCTTTCATGAATGAAAAAAAAGATAAATAAAATAAAATTAGCTAAGGATAGTGAACAGAGGAAATGAGGTGTGTATTTTACTAGCTACTTTTTTATTTTTTCTTGGTTTTCTTATTAAACGGTCCGGTTGCTTTTAAAGTTATTTTATATGTATTCTTCGTAGTGGTGTTAAAACAAGTCTTGCATATATTACGAATTTTATTTTTTTAATATCTCTCCCTAATAACATTTGCGATACAGAAGAAACCAATCAAAATTAGTTTATTCAATGATATTCCTGGTGATCATGTTTTCTTACTTAAATAATCAAGAAATATGTTTGAAAATTGTTTTACAACTTAGTATTTATGTAATACGAAATATATTACACCTATATAAATATTTGAAAATAACTCTTAATATCAATCCAATGCGAGTGTTTAGTTTATTTCTACATGTCCTCTCTTATTCGACTGGACCTTTGTCTTATTCTGCATACATTCCTCTGTCTATTATTATCGTATACATATTTTCAAATCATTCATACAGCTCTCAGCAAGTCACAGTCGCGTTTCGTTATACGACTTGTAATTTCAAGGTATGATGTTGTTGGTGTCTCTTTATTAATGGAATTTATATGAATCTAACAAACTCAATAATATTAATATTAATAAAATTTTGTTCTAGTTGTAAGGAATAATCACGGAGACATTGAACGAGTCCCAGCAATTCATACTGCATTAAAAATTATACAAAATAACTCTAAAGAACTCGCAATTATTTTAAAATATCGACACTGTAAGTACCTACAGTTGTTCGAGACGGAATTATACAAGAATACAAGTATATTATATATTATTTTTAATATTACTCGATAGGTTATATTTAAATAGCAGCTTGATTATTTCAAAACTACTCCGTGGTGGGTCTCTCGGTCGAAGGTCGATTGCTTTTCTGCAAATAAAAATGCAACGACCGACGACACGCGGACTTACAGATGTAGCCTCGAGGTACTCGAGCAGAATATGTTGTAATATTAATATACATATTATAAATAAATGTTTTGTTATACTTATACTTACAAGTTATTTCACTATAACTGATAGGAGAAAGACAATATAAGACGTCAGGCGGCAAATATAACTTCAAATAAAGCCGTAATCATATCCAATTAAATATTGAATGATTGTAAGTGATGCGTCGTCATAATTGAATATCTCAGTGTTGCCGGCTCCGCGGCGGCTGGCAGAGGCGGGTGAGTATTTATAACCAACAACTTCACACAACAAAACGAGATGTGAAGCTTATAGCGTCGCGTGATAAGAGTAAAGATATTAACATACTGATAGCTATATAGTTATTGATTGAAATTACTTTAATATATCCTAAATCAAAATATTTACGTAGTCTTTTTTTTATATTTGAAGTGGTCCACACGTATATTTTCCTAATTGTTTTAAAATTATAGTTCTGTTAGAGATCTAAGTCTAGTCATCCCCTGTATGTAAAGAGTTCCGAGCACGCGACGTTTCTCGTGAGCAGTTATTACTGTAGCAGTTCTGTTAGCTCACCTTGACTTTATCCAGTACTGAGTACACGCGCCGTCTACATACAACCGGTTACAGGAATTCAGGTTTTTTTTTTACAAATAATTAGTTATGCTACATGAATAAGCAATAAATATAAAAAAGATTGCAGCAATCAGAAAAGGGATGTTTAATACTAATTTTCTGTTACATTTTTTCTCTTACTAAGTTAAAATCCTAAACCTGTATAAGTAACAGTATCAGGTGATTAGATCTAAACGCGATTAACACGTATAATTGTAGATCTTATAACGGGAGTCGTAATTGCAAATTGTGTCAACGCAAACGTTCCGCCAACGGGACTTTGGTATCTGAAATTATTATAATATAGCACTCGTCGGCGCCGGTTCAAGCCATCACCTGTAGCGATACTCGCTGATTCATTATAAACATTAGGTACTTCAATTGTTTAGCGAGTTATATTCGACCTACTTATTTATTACATTCGAACGTGACAGTTAACAGTCTCGCCATAATCACATCTGTGACTCATTTGAAGGCTTCAAAATACAATTGTTATCTAAAACACGTAACCATCAAATATAGATACATGCGGATTTAGTTTCGGTGCGTTACGGTATACCTATCGTATCGACATATTATTAGTATTCTATATTCTTTCTTGAACGACACATCCCCTGTCTTTCAGCTGTCATAAATATTATAATCCACACTGATTCATAGCAACTTTCCTTAATTTTAGCTAACTGTTAGATTAATGTATTGGCTTTTAGTTTCGCTTTATTTTAATTATTTTTAAATATATAAATAAAGATGCATTTAAGTGTAGTCGCTAAGAGTTTTGACTAGATTAATATTTTCTATATATACTGGGGTTCGCAAATTAAAACTAAATATTTAATACAATTGGTGGAACTTAAAAGTATGTATGTATATCTCGTCGACCGATGACCAATATGTGGATTGTATTCTGTAAGCTATGCATCTATTACCTTGTTCAGTTGTAACAATCATCCGCCGTACTTATTGTATAATATCTGTAGTTAGTATTGTTGTTTGTATGTAGCTGGGAGTAAGTACCTAGTGTGCGTGAACATAATTGTTGTACAACATCCATACCCTTGAAACTTTAATGAGATCATTACTCGATATTATGATATATGCTATTAAATATTTAGGATCATTTAGTGTAAAACTAATTTCTTAACACAATTTCGCTCTCAGAGTCAGTTGCCGTGGCCAAGAATAGAATTATAACAATTATTATAATTACGTTGAGTCAAAAAATTTACTTCGAAATAAGCTAATGACAGATGACTTTGGATAGGTGGGACGAAGCCTGTCTTCATGAGCACGTGGGCATGAAACGGGACGACTACGACGCGGATCCGATACGATACATAACAATAGACATTAAACACAAATATTGTATAGTGGAATGTGATGCTGTATGTATCCCTACTAATATTATAAATGCGAAAGTAACTCTGTCTGTCTGTCTGTCTGTCTGTCTGCTACGCTTTCACGCCTAAACCACTGAACTGATTTTAATGAAATTCGGTACAGAGATAGAGTTGACCTTGAGAAAGAACATAGGATAGTTTTTATCCCAGACTTTTGAAAGGTTCTCTTGGAAACGCGATATAACCGAACTCCACGCGGCGAAGCTGCGGGCGGAAAGCTAGTAATGTTGATAAAGTTACAGAGACGATGTAATCATAGAGTGTTTTATAACGAAAATAAGACGAGCGTATATCTTTGTATATCATTAATGCGTGATACAAAATTATGCATAACTTTTCCACTTTCATTACCTTTACAGTTCTAAAATAACAGTTTCATAAAAAGAGTCAGTAAGTTAGTAAACGAAAGTGGGTCGTGTAGAGTTTTTTTAATATTATGTTTAATTAAAGTTTTAAACAAGTTACGTCTTGATTGGTAATTATTAGTTTGATTCTAAAAATATTGTTATATATCGGATTGATGACAAAATTTTGTTCTATTTTTAAGAACAAAATTATTTATAAAATCATTTCATTTTATTCCAATTAATCGAAACTTCTATCTCTCCGTCTAAATAGTATATCTAGACACGATAGACTTACGCATTCAGGGGCTTTAAGTAGACGAGGGAATTGCAATTCTTTGCTAAATGATAATTATCATAAATATATTCACCGATAAACGTTCAAGACTGCACTATAACTTAAAACAACTATCTGTCATATAAGCCGCGTCGTACATTTTGATTTCAAGCCTCCTTTCCTCCCACGCGTCCTCACACTCCGACTGTAAACATCACAATATGGCGCGATGACATAACCTACACGTGTTAAACGATAACTACACTGTACATAACACCGGTTACGAAATAAACACATTATTGGATGAATTATGACGGTGGAACATAGTCTAAATTAAGATGTTCCTCTTTAAAAACTGAGTACAGCGTGTTGAACTCAATAGGAAAATTACTTTAACAATAATTGATAATGAACAAACGACTCAAACAGATGATTATTTATAATTTGGTGGAACATTTATCTGTGAACATGTCACTACAATAATTGGGTATTGTTCTTCAGAGAAGCTTTGAAGTCATTACTTCGAGAATAAACATGTACAGAAGATTTTATCTTAAGGAATCGATCGCTGAGTTGAAATTAATCGATCTTTGATTAGTGATTGGTTAAACGTTTATAAAAATAATTGTTAAATCTATACGTGTACCAATTGCAAATTTTACATTTAATTATTTTTTATTTATTTTCACAGATTAATAGATAGTTTTCTTAGCACTTATCCACTGTAAAGCGAAATAATTAAATAAAATGTATGAATTCAATCCGTACAAGTCTACACGTATCTATTTATGAAAATTAATACAATTCTTATATTATTATTTTTTTAATTTTTCTCTGTCTTATCAAAATATATTCTTCTCTTATATGTATTTCATGTATGTCTTGTATACTTTGTACGCTTTTAATTCTCATCTAGTCTTGTTCGAGTCGCCGCTGGCTTGTTATACCGTTCGTTATTCAGGACAGAGAAACTCGTAAAATCAATTGTCACGCTGTCGCCGGCGCCTGTCACTTGAGACTTATCTAAGTAGGAGTTCAAACACTGACATACGTACACGCTACTTACATGTGTAACGATTTTCACTGAGAAAACAACCGCAGGGGGAGAAAGAAATCTATTAGGAAATTTACGAGTAAATAATGTTTATAGAAGATTTTTACGTAGAATTTTAATAATTACAGAATTATATTTTTTATATCCTTTAGAATGATGACTTAGGCTAAGTTTGCGCTTACATTTACTCCAGGAAGACAACTTATTTACGAAATTTTTTTTGTTTCTTATACAGGGTGACTGGTGAATTACTATCAAAATTTAAGGAGCATACTCGGTACATGATTCTCATTCGAATTATGTAAAAAAAATTGGTACTTAATTTTTGACCAAATTTCCGTATAAATAAATAAAGTGTTGACACGTTCCAAGTGTTCCAAGTGTGGACGCGTGCGGCGGCGTGCTGATACAACACCACGCCGCCGCACGCGCGTGTGTGTGTGTATACCTAATCTTTAGGGTGTTCACACGATGCGTAATTAATGACATAACTTTTGGTTAACTTATTTCGAAGTTTATTAATATTTATGTTATATTAATTTTTATTTTGTCATATATGATCGTCAAATATCACGTCCTCAAGTATCGATAGTAATTCACCAGTCACCCTGTAGAATGAGATCGAGTCTAAGTCCACTCACCTATAGTTTTATTGATCCAATCAGCCAAATCCTCTTGCAGTGGAAACAGCTGCCTCGCCTGCGAGTACAATATCTTCTCCCTATAAAAGTCCTCATCGTCAGAGCAAGGCGTCTGCGCGGCCAGGGCGCAGTCCGCTCGTTCAAAGCTGCTGGACATCTTCCTATTGACCACTACGTCGCCGTGCCCCACATGCCTCTCCTCGGGCTTCCCTTCGAAGGTGCTCCTGACGTACTCGAAGGCGTTCGTTCTCTCGAAGGCGTTGAAGATCCTGTCGTAGTTCCCGCTGAGAGGACGCTCGAAGGGTTTGCTCTCAGGACTCGTCACCGACCACGACGCGCGGCTGCCGATAGCGGTCGGACCACAACGGTAGAACGCCATGACGGCTTACGAATCTACGGACAAAGTACGACGTTACATTAAACAGAAGAACTATCATTTAATTTATAATCATTCAGATTTGAATAAAAACATTGGTGATATGAAAGGCGGCCAAATATACCCGATTTCTTGGCGCCAAGCGATTTAAAGTGCCTTTCATGTCTCTTAGCGAGTAATTTGTTTATCAATACTAAGTAGTACATTTTAAAAGTTATCAGTAAGTCAATTAGGTTACACCTCTTAGTGTCAAATAATCAGTGAATCATACACGTGTGTTTAGTATTGTTCGCGTCAGTACTAACTGTTGTGGAGCTGCGGAGGAAGCGACCTTCGACCGACTCACCAGATCATGACGGGAGGTTTAAAGCCGACGCTAATGTGTGTATCAAGGGACGTTTTTTTCATAACAAAATTTAATGAAGGCCATTCAGTTATATGTAATTAACATTCGTAAAAGGTTTAAAACAGAAATTCATCTGTGTAAGGTCGTCACTTCTAATTTACTGTCGATAATGTAATTCGTTTGGCTTTCAGCCGATGAAGTCTTGTAATTAGTCTTAAAAGAAGTAAAACATTTTTTTCATTACTCGTTTAACCTTATTTTCACAAAATTGATTTTCTTTTTCGGATATACCACTAGCCGTTATAAGAGCTTCAAATTGTTACGGGTTTGTAGACTACACACCAAATTATATTTTCATAGATAATTTCAATTTGCAATATTTCAGTGTTCGTTCTATGTAAACCATGTAATCGATCAATATTAGTCAATGAGGTGAACGATTTGTTCTGGGAACATCTCGGCAGCAACGGTATATCGGTGTTGTTAATATTATTTGATGAACCAAGTTACAGTTCATGTTATAAAACCTCTAATTTATATGAAGATACTTCTATTAAATAGCCTATTATCCTAATTATTTATTGATCTTAGTTCTACTTCAAGTCCAATGACGATTATAAGTGATACGTGAAAGATTTGTGTAGTAACATCCTGGACGTACAGGGTCGAGCCTTGAACCCGGCCCGAGCTGGAGGCGGCGTCTCTGTATGTCCATATAAGAAGTCATCGTGAGAACAGCTACGTGAGATAAGGATAAGTGATTTGTGAATGCTCGGAGCTCGGAACAAATTGACAATATGTATTTGAGGCGTACGCGTCGTAAAAGCTTATTTGGTTTGAACTATAAAAGAAATTGCGCAAAGCGAGGTGAGTACTCGGCGCGGGGTCTATGAACAAGGAATGAGTTTTTTAAAAGGGATTGAATATATGACCGACAACAATATGTAAATGCTTTGTTATTTTTTCCCCGTGATTTCGTTAGAGTCCATTGTGTTCCGTCCTGCGTGACTCGTTCTGTACATACCCGTCGTGATTTTGCAGCAATAAAAAATATAAGTACCTACATTCGATGCCAGTTATTAATAGAACGCATTACAACAGGCCTTCGGTATGGATTTATGAAAAAAGGAAATAAATTACTTAACATCTCCCATAAATTATTGTCCTCATTGGATATGCAGCTCAACTCAGAATTGTTTTGAGTAAATTGGAAATGGAAAACCTGACTGGAACAGACCGGTACGGAAGAAACAGCACGCTGTCACGATATAAACATATCGAACTGATGAAGTTGAAACAGTGCCTCATCACGCGACATCATGAACACAGGAGACGGGCGTACAAATATATCCCTCCTTGTAATAAATACAATACTTTCACAATGTTTATGGTTATAAGGATACCAACAAACACATGTGAGGCTTCCAGGGAGGTACGGTATATTGATTCTTTTGTTACAAGGGGTTGACTTACTATTATTCCTGATACATTATTTCCTAATCCTCCAAGCAACGTTTTGCAACAGTGTCGCCTTATAATTCAAATAGAGGCCATAAGTCAAGCATGAAACAATGACAGTATTCATTAAAAGATTATTATCAGAAGTAAGTGTAACAGCGTGAAGGGAACATTCAACACGACACCTACGAGCTCGCTGAAATGAATGATTAAAGATGTTGGACGAAAGACGGAGGTCGGAGCGAGCCACCAGATAAATAGAACCCTTCACTACTTTTAAATAGGATGTAATTTCGACTGATAAGTGATATATTTTTTTTATTTTTTGGCCGCACGTAAGGTCGGCCCACGCAAACCTACGAATAGGTCAAGTTGAGCAAGCGTCCGCGCCCGCGCCGCACTGCAACCTTATTTATTACCATTTACGATAAATCTTCGCGTCCTTACGAGATTCTCTGAAGTAACACCGGCCACAGGATAGGTTCGCCTTCTCATATACTTTTAGTTATTATAGCAAAGTGTTTTAGATATATATTATTTAACAAATATAGGTATAGAATAGTTTTGTTTTTAGGTTAATAACAAGCTTTTAAAAGAATAGCTGAATTCCGCTTAATAACGCCCGAGGGAGAAGTCAACAAAAACGAATGATTAATTTTAATTTGAAAACAACCCTAGATTCTTTAGGGACTCGTTAGTGGCTTACGCGGCGCGTATAGAAGGACAATCATTTGTTAATTAAGAGTAACAGAACAATACAATCAGTATTAGTATTCGTTTCCTCATTCCACCAGATATGCAAAGTCTTCATAGGTAATTGTCGTTGGACAATAGTCGTTCGTTGCTCCCGCCGTCGACCGGCCAGGCGGGGTGCGACTAGCCTTAATTGGATAATAGAAATGTACGAGAAATTCTGTGTTGCACTTTTATTTTAGAAGTTTCCATTAAAAAACGCTGCACACGCCTTTACTTTAATACATGAACCTAATTCTGCATATTTGACATTTATTTATGTCCTATAAAATTTTAAGTGATTATAAAAGCAACCCTCGCTGGCAGTCGCCGTGGAGATTACAGTATTGATCAAATTATGATTGTTCGACATTGATAAGGGATTCTTATATAACTTGATTTGCATAATCCATAAGATTAGTGTACATTCTAAGTTAGATTTATTTACACGAGAAGTAGGATTATTTAAAAAAAGTAGATCTCGGTAGCATACGTCGGCAATATTGTTAAATTATTTAGTTTGAAGCGTGTATAGTAACAATTGTGATAATGTCTATTAAACTCATTATATGTATAGAAAAAATTATGATCGATGAGACATTTCAAGACAACATTTTCATTTAATTATATATCTAATATTTTTTATACCTTTGGCCTTTGGGACCTACATTTCAGCACTTACATAATTATATAACTCCGTAATACATTTGTATTACTTTATATAACACACACAACTACTATATTTAAAACAACCAATTTAATTAATATTGTTTGTTAAATATGCTAATAGACTGAATGTATAAAAACTTGAAGATATTTTTTGCGAGTCGTAAGTCGACTTCCTGGACGAACGACTGAATGAAGTAATTATTATTATAATGATATATTCACGAATCATTTAAAGTTGAGTTGAGTCTTGTAATGGCAATCATACAAAAGACGAGTAAAGACAAAACATGAACTTAGTATTCTCTACAGAGCGTTCAACGACCCCAAAGGACGTAGGAAACTGTTATTGTGCCGATATTGTGGCTTCAAACGAGCGATGAGTTGAAGATCTTTTTATGAAATAAATAATAAAATGCAGACAAATGTTCTTATCTTGTTTATTCCATTGTATTCAAAAAGATTCTAATACGCTCCTTATTTTTCCTTGTTATTTTTAATTATTAATTCGTCATAATAGTATTTAGAGAACGATCTCTATACGATACTAAAAGTAACTTAACCTGAGACGTTATTAAACAGAAAGTATATCATGTACCGGTATCAGTGACCAGGCTCGCCACAAACAGTATAACACAAATTTCTCCATCAGCCACATGTACTTGGGTAAGATATTTCATCGATACTTCCTCCAGCCACCAATAACTATCCTTTTAATTGACAAAAATATACATATCTCTTTAATATAAAGTAACAAACCAATGCCGACTGACCTTTTTGATAATATTTTATAGTTCATTTTTTTTACTTTCTGTTATTTCGTATTAACTTTGGTATATATTTTAACTTTATATAATACAAAATCAGGTAATACTAGTAAGAGATTTGAAATAAAGCAACAGACCTCCATGTATATAGTAAAGGAATTCGCGGTCCAAAAATAGTGTAGCAACGTAAACAATGCGTCCCCGATATGTAGAAATAGTTACACAAGCAGACTAAGTGAAGACGGAGCTTCATTCAACAGAGATTATGTTTTATTATGTGTTGTTCTTTTATTAATAACAAGTATGAATTACTACTGAATTGAATCCGAACGCTGGCGCCGACCGGAAGACTCAAGCGATATAAATATTGTTTATACTTTTGAGGAACTTTTGCTATAAATAAATAACAATAACACGAAACTTTGAGACTGTATTAAAAGTCACTATAAGATATAAGAAAAGCGGGCGTAACCGCGACAGATGAATAGTCTCATAAAATGTTTAATTCAACGTTGGACCGTAATGTAGGAGGTCTATATGAGAACGAGTTCAGCTAGTCAGAAGTACGGCAGCGAGTATTGAATAAAATAACTTATAAATAACATATAGTGTCGAAGTTGAAGTTTTATAAGTATAGCAACGTTTCTTAATATGATCACATAACGATATTAAACTTCCTATTATTTTAATTCCTCGTCGGGCCCACTGCACAGCGAATAAACATTTTTTACTGTAATATTGTTGTTCCGTGATTATCGTGGCGCCGGATGACGCCGGTCATTACATCGTTTAGTTATTAAAAACATTCGATATGGATTTCACTTTTTATATTTTATAAGTAACAGTCACAACATTGACGTTAAAATATTATTTTGTTCATGAAAGTTAAGAGCGTTTCTATTGACCAGAGTCAATCTTAAACAATGTACACATGTAGGTACTGTGAATTGGTTATTGGAGTAAGGGAAATGAACCATCATACATTCGAGGGATGTCTAACGACTGCTTGATGACGTCCTATTGTCGACTCACTA